TTTTTAAGTAGAGACGGGTTCTCACCATATTGACCAGGCTGGTCTTGAACTCCTGGCCTTAAGTGACCAGCCCACCTCGGCCTCCCAAAGTGCTGGGATTACAGGTGTGAGACACCACAACTGGCCTTCTGTTTGGCATTTCTTAGATACAATATGAATGTCACCCCAGCGTGGCCAGCTGGGCCATCCCCTCCCCTCTGATCCCTGTCACTATCGGTCTATGAGACCCTGGAAATTCCCCTGCAGGGAGACAGACATGCCCATTCCGAGAACATTGCAGGGAAGGGGCCGTTTCCAGCAGGAAGAGGAAATGTGTTCTCTATACATAGGCCCTTGGCACTCGTCAAACCCTCCTTCCTAAAATGGGCCCAAAGGGTCACTATCTGTCTGCCACTTTGTTGGACTTCCAGTCGGTCAGCCACAAACAAGTCTTGCTTGGGAAGAGGTTGTTTAAAAGGTGCATGACAAGCAGATCGGGGCTGGGACTCAGTCACTGCCCCCGCCTGGATAGGGCAGGATGGCAGGGGGGCGGTGGAGCAGCCACAGTGGGTCCTCTCTGGGGTTTGTCTGCCAGCATCTACGGGGGCTGCTCTGGAAATACTAAGACCAGCTCCAGCCACCAGCTGTGAGATCTTGAGCAAGTCACTTAACACCATGGCGCCTCTGTGTCCTCACTTGCAAAAGTGATGGGAAGTAATAACAGTACCTACCTGTGGAGATCTGGTCAAAATTAAATTCATACATTGGTATGTGTCATGAGAACGTGGATGCAGTTGTAGTTATAGGTGACAGAGATAGACTTACCTTTCCTGAGCTGCCTTTATGTCCAGGCCCTGTTCTAGGCCCTGGGCATATGTGGACCCCATGACCCCACACACTGCTCTCTGAGAACCGCGTCCTGGTGTGCGGAGACATGCGTTAGCCTGAGCTTCAGTGCCTCACTGTAATCAGGGCTGAGAATACCGAGCAGGTGCAGGGAGGAACCCTAACTTCACCCTGGGAGTCAGGGAGGGCAGAAGGGTGTGAGCCAGGCAGGAGAGTGAGGGGTGCCATCCAAGTGGAGGGGGCAGAGCCAGGTCCTGGGAGCTGCCGGTGGTCCAGTCAGGGTAAATGAGGAGGCTAGACATGCAAGGCTGAAAATGTGTGTAGGAGAGGAGGGGCCTTCCCTCCAGGGCAGATCTATCGCCTCCTCCCAGGCCCAGGGCTCCTGATGGCCTCTGCTGCAGCCTGGCACCGGCCCTGTACCTGGCAAGGCCTGAGGTCATTGCTGCTGCCTTCACCCTGGCAGAGGCAAGGAGCAGCTTTTCATCTGGTTCTGCTTCCTACATTTGAAAAATGAAAGCGCTCCCTCTCCTCCTCACGCAGGCATACATATTTCATACGGTCATTAGGCGGTGGCACTGAAGGACTCACAAATCTTCCCTGGCCAGCATCGGCAGCCTGGGTGGGCAGTGAGAGGCTCTGGGGAAAAGGGTCACCGTGGGAGCCATGGCCGTGCCCAGCTCAGTGTGGGCAGGGGAAGGCAAGCCTTGCAGGGGTTGGGGGGCATGAAGCCAGCTTCTGCTTTAAGACAATCCAGTCCTGCCTCCTGGGGCTCGTCACCTAATTTCCCTGAGCCTCAGCTGCTCCAGGCTCCAGGGTGGAAGGGACGGGATATGGGCACCTCACACATCCTTCCCGTCCTGACAGTCCAGGGCAATTCTGTGGGGTACCCTTATCTGAAGGGCTCATCCCTAGGGCTCAAATGTGACCTTCTCCGGGGGCAGCACGTCCCTCATGACCCAGGCCCCTCCCTTCCTGCACTCCACTTTCTACTTCCCAGCTGCTCTCCTCCACCTCCTACCACTGTCTCTCCTCCACTTCCCTTTCCTTTTTCCTTCTGCCATTTGCTCCACTTCTGTCCTGTTTCTTCTGGCTCCTGTCTTCTTTCTCTTCACCCCGGTCTCTCTGCCTCTTCCCTGTTTTCTCTGCACCATCCGCTTCTTACTGGAATTTGCTCATTCATTTTTCCAGCATTTATGAAGCATCTACTACATGCCAGGCACCATCTGTGCCGCGCAGTGAGCCCCACAGGTGCCTGCCCCACTTTTGTCTGTCCCCAAACCCTTTTCCCTTGACAAAGGCACATGATGAGGGCCAAGGGGGTACAGTTTGGTCACACAGTGACCTGTAGGGGTCTCCACACCACAGTGACCCCTCACAAGGGGCTCAATGGCATCACAGTCAGATCTTCCCCAGACCAAGCTGCAGTCATAACAGCCCAGCAAGACCATGCTTGATGATCAGGATCGTCAGTGGAACGTCGGGGTGGGAAGGGTTCTGGGATTCCTCCTGTCCCTATGAAGGAAAGAGGAATCTGGGGTTACTGAGAGCAATGTGGTCTCCTCTCGCCTGGAATAACCAGGCTCCCTTCCTTCTGAGAACAAGCGCCCCTCTTGGCTCAGAGGCAATAACTGATGGAGGCCAAAGGCATGGCTTGATGGCACAGGATTCAGATCCAGCACCATTATTCTCTAGCTTTGAAGCCTTTCATAGACGATGTACCATCTAGATGCGTCACTTTCCCCATCTGTAAATTGGAAGTGATGCTAATAATAGTACCTACCTCACAGGGCTGCTGTGAGGATGGAGAGGTCGTAGGTAGAAGGTGTGCAGTAGCCAGCAGTGGCTGCCACTGTCATGAGGAATGGCCCAGGCAGTGGGAGAGGACCAGTCCGGGAGCCAGTCCTGGGCTGGACGGTGGTGACATGGCTCAGCGCCTTCCTTTCACTTGTTCAGCGTGCGCCCCTGACGACCCTTGATGAGGTCTGAGTCTGGCCGGGGTGGTGGCGGGGACAGAGGTCTGCACAGTCTGTGGGAGCATGAGCTGTGGGGACATTGAATGGAAATCAGAGGCAGTCCTGTAGAAGCTGGCAGTCCAGAGCCCCCAGAAATGGCATCTTTATGTCCAGCCAAATTTTCTGGATAACTAAGATCTTAACCCTTTGGGAATAAGCACTTTTTTATTTCATTCATCTGGGATAGAAATATATTTTTCACTTACCTGCCTTTCTGCACTGAATACACTAAACACAGATTAGCTTTTCCTTGAAAATTCAGGTTTATCATAAAGAACATAGAATTTACTAGATTTTTATAGAATCCAGGAACCTTAAAAGGAACCTCAAAAAATATTGAGCACAAAGACATCAAAACATATTTTTAGCTGTGCGGGCTTTATCCACTTATAGAGACACCTTAAGTATAAAACAGATGCAGGTGGACCCAAAGTCAGTCTGAGGCCTTTCCCTATGGGCATCTGGTGGCAGGCAGTGGTTTGCCCAGCTCTAGGGCAGTAGCCTGGGAAGAGAGCAGGGGTGACATCTAGAACAGCACCTTGCATGGACTATGTGCTTCATAAATAACTATTGAATGAATGAATGATGTCATTTAGCCTGCACTGGTGGATTAGAACCGTGCCAGGAACAATATAGAAGTCATTGTTTCCAGCCATAAAAACCAAACCCCCACTAGAACTGCAGGCAGGGGGTAGATGGAGGAGGCCTCACAGGGATGGCCACAGGGAAGGAACACCAGGCCGGGGTGAAGAGGCCAGTTTCTGTCCCACTCCACTTCTGACCTGCTTCTAACCCAGACTGGCAGCAGGCTTTCACCTGGCCTCACTGGGGTCTGGCCTCCATCATGTGGCCTGTGAGATGGATGGAAATGTCTGATTTCTCCTCACGTGGATGGCTGTGAGGAGAAAATGAGGCCTTAGTAAACCTGGATGTTCTTTGAAAATGTGAAAGGTGTTTCAGCCATGCAGGCTGCCACCATCATTGTCCTTGTCATCTGCATAAAGCTGGTCTCTCTCCCTTCTGTCTCTTTTGACGGTAAGTGACAGAAACCCAGCTTGGACCAGCTCAGTTAAAAGAGGTCTTAGTTAGCCAGGCACAGTGACTCACGCTTGTAGTCCCAGCTACTCAGGAGGACACTGCGGGAGGATCCCTTGAGCCCAGGAGTTGGAGGTCAACCTGGGCAACATAGCAAGACCCATCTCTTTAAAAAAAGAGAGAAAGAGAGAGAGAGAGAGAGAGAGAGAGAGAGAGATCTCAGTGAACTCACAAACCAAATCAACTGTGGGGAAGGAATGTCAGATCAGATTCAGGGATCTGAAACTACCAGGATTCGGCCTTATTTTCTCCTCGCTCTCCTGAGGTCTGGGTGCAGCTTCATCCTCCCCGAACGCCTGGCAGCTCCCAGTTCATGTCGTCCTTGCTCACTCACTGGAGGAAAGCTTTTATCCCCAGCAACGCAATAGGAAGAATCCCCAGAGAATTCTGACAGACCCAGCTGTGGTTAAGGACCACTCCAGGCCAGTCCCTGTGGTGAGGGACAGGCAGGCAATTCCCACCCAGGCCTTTCGTGCAAGCAGGGAGAGGAGCCAGAGGAAGCAGGTGGGAGGGTAGCAGGGTGTTTCTAAAAGTGAAGGCCGTTGAGCAGAAGGTCTGCCTTACACATGCAATGGATTCTTTCCAGGGTCAGAGAAGGGAGGGACTAGGTACCCCATGGGATTTCCCCCACTGGCTAGCACATCTGACTTGGAGGCTTTAGGGATTGCGGGAGAAAAACCAGAAGAACCCACTAGATGTTGAACCCACACCCACCTTCATTTGTGATACTTCACAAAACCACAGGCTGTGATTCCAGGCCACGGGTCCAGGGTCTCTCTCCCAAGCCCTCTGAGCATCTGCAGAGAATAAGCTTGCCCAGCCTGGTATGAGCCCAGGACTGGTGGTTTCACTTAGTTAGAGGTGCCTGCTAGACCAGTCCTGTGGAACTGGGCCCTCCAGTATAAATTCAAACAGCCAGTAGTGGCCAGTGACATCCTTCTTGAACAGCATGGCTCTAGAAAATTCAACCTGGGCCAAAGGAGTTGTGTGGGAGGAACATGGGTTTCCTGGGGACCTGAAGCCTCAGCTGCGTCCGGCAGTAATGACTTTTTGTTCTCACCATTGCAGGCAACAGACAATGATGTGGGTACCTTCGGGGAAGTCAACTATTTCTTCAGTGATGACCCTGACAGGTGAGACTGTCCACAGTCCCTCAGGCCCCTCCGCAGTGGTCCTTGGCCCTCCCCAGACTCATCAGATCTAGGAACTTTTCAGTGCCCAGGGAGGGAGGGTTCTGGGCCCTGTGGCTGGAGCACTGGACTAGAAGTTGGAACCCATGGGCACTGTGGCTGGTTTGACACTGATTGTGGCACAGCCTTGGTCAACTCTCCTCAACTCTCTGGGGCATAGCTTATGTGACTTTCAAAACATAGCCTTTAGCTTAGGGAATGGATAAATTGTGTCTCCGAGGGGCTTTGAGTACTAGTGACTGCACACTGCCACCACCACCACCACCACCACTGCCACTACCGCCACCACCACCACTGCCACTGCCACCACCACCACCACCGTCATCACCACCACAACCACCGCCACCACCACCACCACCATCACCACCACCGCTATCACTGCCACTGCCATCACCACCACCACCACCACCACCACCACTGCCATTGCTGCCACCGGATCCCCACCACCACCGCCATCACCACCACCACCAGTCATCACGACCACCACCACCGCCATCACCACCACCACCATCACCACCACCCATCATCACCACCACCACCACCATCGCCACCACCACCGCCATCGCCACCACCATCGCCACCACCACCACCACCGCCATCACCACCACCACTGCCGCCACCACTATCACCACTGCCACCACTGCCTCCATCACCACCACCACCACCACTACCACCGTCGCCACTGCCATCACCACCGCCATCGCTACCGCCACCACCACCACCACCACCGCCATCGCCACCGCCACCATCGCCGCCGCCACCACCACCGCCATCACCACCACTACCTCCACCACCACGATGGCCACCACCATCACCACCACCGCCATCACTACCACCACCGCCACCGCCATCACCACCACTGCCGCCATCACCACCACCACCACCATCGCCACCACTGACATCGCCGCCACCGCCGCCACCACCGCTGCCACCACCACCACCGCCACCGCCACCATCACTATCACTGCCATCGCCACCACCACCATCGCCACCACCACAGCCATCACCGCCATTGCCACCACCATCGCCACCACCACCACCGCCATCACTACCACCATAGCCATCACCACCATCGCCACCACCATCACTGCCACCACCACCACCACTGCCATTGCCACCGCCAGCCACAGCCACTATGTGTCAGGCTCATCATAGTCAAGGGTTTCACATGCATTATCTCATGTCATCCTCACAGTGAAGTGACAGAGGAACTCAGTGCCAGGCACTTTTTTCACTTTACAGATAAGGAAGTGCAACTCGGAGAGGCTAAGTCACTTGTCCAAAGTCACATAGCTGTTAGTGCTATGGTCAGGCTTGTGCAGGTGACCTTCACGACTAGGCTACACAGTCTGCCTCAGGAGGGCTTTCAACATTCAGAAGCCCATAGATGGGTCACTCACCTCCCTCCCTGACACATGCCAGCCTTGCCAAGTCACCCCCCACAGTAACATGGTCTTGGCTTGGTTCTAGGCCATCTCTTTCCCTTGTCTTCAGTTAATCCAAGCCAAGGGGCAGCCCTTTGACTTTTTTTTTTTTTTTTGAGATGGAGTCATGCTCTGTCGCCAGGCTGGAGTGCAGTGGCACAATCTCAGCTCACTGCAACCTCCAGGGTTCAAGCAATTCTTCCGCCTCAGCCTCCTGAGTAGCTGGGACCACAGGCACATGCCACCATGCCCGGCTATGTTTTGTATTTTTAAGTAGAGATGGGATTTCACCTTGTTGACCACGCTGGTCTCAAACTCCTGACCTCAGGTGATCCACCTGCCTCAGCCTCCCAAAGTGCTGGGATTGCAGGCATGAGCCATCATGCCTGGCCCCCTCTCACTTTTAACATGCTCAAGGGTCACGTGTCTGATGCATTGGGAAGCCCAGTGGAATGAGTGAGGCAGTAGCTGTCAGCTTGAATGACTGGCCCCTACTATCTGATCAAGAAAAGATAGGGAAGGGGCTGGGTGCAGTGGCTCATGCCTGTAATCCCAGCACTTTGGGAGGCTGAGGCAGATGGATCAACTGAGGTCAGGAGTTCAAGATCAGCCTGACCAAGATGGAGAAACCCCATCTCTACTAAAAATACAAAATTAGCTGAGTGTGGTGGCACATGCCTCTAATCTCAACTACTTGGGAGGCTGAGGCAGGAAACTCACTTGAACCCAGGAGACGGAGGTTGTGGTGAGCCAAGATCGCATCACTACACTCCAGTCTGGGCCACAGAGTGAGACCCTGTCTCAAAAAAAAAAAAAAGAGATAGGGAGATTGTTAGGTGCATCTGGCCGTTCTCTGCCACTTGGTAATGGGGACCTCAAATGGGAGGAAGGTGCCAGTCTGGCTGAATGTACAAGGGCACCCTTGCCCCAGGGGACCCATGTTCATGTGGCCTTATCCTGGTCATCTTGGATGGTCTTGTCTCTTCCCATCTTCTGGGCCTAAGACTTTCCTCACTCCAAGCCAGAACCTTCCAAGCTTGGTGGCTGGCAGCTGTGGTCGGAGCACATAGATGTAAACTGACAGCTCAGATGAGGCTCCTGAGGGGACATTTAGAGGAGGTGGTTGGAGGGATCATCTTGCCGGACCTTGCTGCTACCTGAGAGATGTCTGCCCGCCTCCCACCCAAGACTCAGTTCCTCAAAGTCAAGGGGCAGCTCCCAAGAGAGGACCAGCCATCCTGCCCTTCACCAGCTGCTTTCTTCCAATTCAGAGCATTCTGGTGCAAAACAATCTGAGACGGCAGAAGTTTTTACCCTCCCGATTCTCCACCATCTAAATATCTGCAGTAGGTGGGAAGCCCTGTTCACAGCACGAGGAGGGTCATTCTGTCTAGGTTTCCTCCTTGCTTACATCAGGCGACTCCTCCTCCCCACCCGCTGTGATCCTGATCCCTACCCCCACCCACCCCACCTTAGAAATAGCGGCTCTTCTCAGGTAGGGCAAGTGAAAAGGAAGGCACATTTCGGGCTTCATTTATTGCCACCCTGGACGGGGACAGGCTGGGAAATGCCGGCCTCATCAACAAGCCCGTTTTAAACCACAGTGTTCCTTCCCTCCATCCTCCCGGCCTGGCCCAGGTTCTCACTAGACAAGGACATGGGACTCATCATGCTGATTGCCAGACTGGACTACGAGCTCATCCAGCGCTTCACCCTCACGGTCATTGCCCGGGATGGGGGCGGCGAGGAGACCACGGGCCGGGTCAGGATCAATGTGCTGGATGTCAACGACAACATACCCACCTTCCAGAAGGACTCCTACGTGGGTGCTCTGCGAGAGAACGAGCCTTCTGTCACACAGCTGGTGCGGCTCCGGGTAAGGTGCCAGGGAGCCCTGCATTCCTGCCGTGCCTCTTACCCTTCCCCCGTGCTTGCTTGTTTGCCACCTTTTTGTTTTCTGTTTGTATGTTTTGAGACAGGGCCTCACTCCTTCACCCATGCCGGAGTGCAGTGGTACAATGAGAATTCATTGCAGACCCAAACTCCTGGGTTCAAGCAATCCTCTTGTCTCTGCCTCTACAGTAGCTGGGACTACAGGCTTGAGCCACCGTGCCTAGCCTGTGCTTTCCTCTTGACCAACCCCCTCGGGAACCCACCGCAAGAGGGGCTGACCTCCCATCAGCAAAGAGTGCTGCATAGATTTGGGGGTCAAATTCTTGGTCTGCGTCAGCCCTTCTCTGAACAACACCTCATGTCCTTGATACCAAGTGGGGCATTGTACACAGTATCGGTCTCAGCTTAAATATTAAGTCAGCATTTAGCAAAAGGATCCCACCCGCACCCACCTGCCACCATCTCCCTTAGCAAGGGAATCGAGTGGGGAGCAGTTCCTTATCTCAGGACCCCTTCTAAGCCCTTAAATGGCCGACTAGAATCAGGAAGTGCTGCAGCTGGAAGGAGCCGCAGAGACCATGGAGTGCAACCCATTTTATAGAAGGGGAACCAGGAGGGGAGAGGCTTGCTCACAAAAACATAGTTACAGGTTCGCAGTGCCAGGCCTAGTCCTGGAATGCTATTATCCAAGTGCCTCCTGCAGTGAGTCCCCCACTAGGCTTCAGTGACCTTTGACCAGAGACTTTTAAATGTGTCCCCTTCCCCATGCTGCCTACCCAAAGGGACAGGACCCAGAGCCTCCATTTGGAGCTTGTTTCTGAAGCAGGCAGGGATGAAGGCAAGGCTGGAGGGGTGAGCACGGGGGATATCAAGAAGGATGGACCATGTGCCTGCCCAGCCTTGCCATGGTCCCCCATACAGCCCTTCCCTGCTCTGCCCCTGTCCCCCGCTCAGCAACAAGTCTACCCTGAGTGGTGGGGACCGTGGAGGCCCTAGAGTGAGGGACCTCCTGGAAAGAAACTCATGAACTCGGCGCCCACAGAAGACAATTAAGGGGAGGAGAGATCCCTGGCCCCGCTCCACGTGCCTTCTTTCCTTGATTCATGCAACATGCATGGATTAGACACCTACTGTGGCCCAACACCGGGCTGGCCTGGAGGTTTGCAGCAGCCATCGAGAAAAAAGGTTCCTGCTCACATGAAGCTGATGGTCTAAGCGAGGGAGGCAGAAATTAAATAAGAAATTACCACCAGCCGTAAGGGGTACACAACCCAAAGGCCCTAACTGGGTCCTGGAGTCAGGGAGGGCACCTGCAGGTGGGGTGTTCCAGCTGGGGTGGGGTGGGAGGTGGTCATGGCTCAGCCTCTGGGAAGGCCGGGCCTCGCCCTCTTCTTGGGCCTCCCATCTGCACTCTAGATTCCCCAGGCTGCCTCCACACCAGCACATGGAGGGGAGGAGGACGTCTGCTGGGAGCCACAGGGTGGCCTCCAGTTGAAGGACCCGGGGTGCCTCCCGGGGTCCTGGGCCAGGACATGACCCCGGGCTGGACCACCCAAAAAAAGGAGCTGTGAGCAACGTTACCCTCCCTCCCACCCTCTTCTGGCCCCACGCCCTTCCGGCCCCCAGTTTTCTGCAGGCTCACAGCCCCTGTCTGCCCTCTTCCTTCCAGGCAACGGATGAAGACTCCCCCCCGAACAACCAGATCACCTACAGCATTGTCAGCGCATCCGCCTTTGGCAGCTACTTCGACATCAGCCTGTATGAGGGCTATGGAGGTAGGTGTGGGGCAGAACTCGGGGCCCAGCTGGGAGGAGGGCCAGTGGGGTCTCTGCACTCACACCTCCCTTGCTGGGGAGGGGCAGGCATCCTCTGTCTTCCTGACATCCTGGGCTGCTCGGGAAGCTGCCCCAAGCACCTGGGGCTGGAGGAGGACGTGGCCTGAGTCACCCTTCCGTAGGGTCGGTATCTGTGTCTCTCATCAGTGGGATCGCTCTCTGGTTCTTCTGCCATGACCAGCCCTGCAGTTGAGCCAGAAGTCTGATGTTAATAGAATCTCTGGGGTGTTCTGTTTCTTACCAAGGCTGCAGGCAGGTCTGTGGGGTGGAAGCTCATTAGCCTCCCCACTCTTTGGGTGGCCCTATAGGTGCAGGCACTCTGCACTGTGCCCTGCTGCCCGCTGTGAGTCCCCATCCCTAGAGACCTGGCAAGAAATAGCAGCAGCAGCAACCTCAGGCAAGAGAGACCACTTTATTTTTCGGATAAGGCAGCTAAGACCCAGAGACAGGGAGCAACTTGCCTGAATCTCCTAGCAAAGCTGCCGAGCTTGGCACCAAGTCCCTGTGTGGTCTGGCCCTTGGCTGCTCTGCCAGCCTCAGCTCTCAGCAGCCCTTGCCCCATCAGAGTCCAGCCTCTTCAAACACTTTGACGCTGTCTGCCCTTGCCGGTGTTCACCCCCAGGTCTTTGCAAAGTGTGTTCCTTTAGCCAAGAAAGCCCTTCCTCCCTGCCCCTTGGTCTCCCCTCCCCTTGGCTGTCCAGTGTGTAGCCCCTGGCTAGCTTTAAAGGCTTATTTGACACCTCCTCTTCCGGGAAGCTTCTCTGATTCCTGGAACCTGGGTTAGGTGCCCCCAAGGCAGAAGGGATGGAGGTACATTGAATGACTCTGGGTCCAGTCCTTGTTCCTCCCACTGCCCCACAGTTAATTCAGAGAAATGCCATTGTAGAAATTGCAGCTCTGACTGGGCGCAGTGGCTCACACCTGTAATCCAGCACTTTGGGAGGCTGAGGCAGGTGGATCACCTGAGGTCAGGAGTTCCAAACCAGCCTGCCCAACATGGCAAAACCTCGTCTCTACAAAAATTGGCCAGGCATGGTGATACGTGCCTATAATCCCAGCTACTTGGGAGGCTGAGGCCGGAGAATCACTTGAACATGGGAGGTGGAGGTTTCAGTGAGCCCAGGTCTCACCACTGCACTCTAGCCTGGGTGACAGAGCCAGAAAAAAGAAGGGAAGGGGAGGGGAGGGGAAAGAAAGGAAGAAAGAAGGAAAGAAAAAGAAGGAAGAAGGAAGGGAGGGAGGGAGGGAGAGAAGAAAAAGAAAGAGAAAGCCACCACGCCCAGCTAATTTTTGTATTTTTAGTAGATGGGATTTTGCTAATGTTAGTCAGGCTGGTCTTGAACTCCTGACTTCAAGCCATCTGCCCGCCCCGGCCTCCCGAAGTGCTGGGATTACAGGTGTGAGTCACCGTGCCCGGCCCTATCCCTCTCAAAAACTTAAAAGTTCCATGCCTCTGCCTGCCCCATACCTCACCCTCCTCTCAGCCAGAAGAATCACCCTTAGATTTTATAGTGCTAAAGCAATAATCTTGTTTCCCTTTTCCAAATAGAAAGTTGTAATTTAATATTGTTGTAATGCCTTTTCAGACCTCCCATGTCCCCCACTCCCAAGCCAATATGCCTTCCCTCCCCAGCTGAGAATCAGTGGCTTAGCACAAGCAAGTACTAATGGAGAGACTTCAGGCATGTGCAGTGGTGGGGATATTTCAGGGCAGAGACATCTGTCTTAGCTCCCTGCAAACCCTGCCTCTCAGCCTGGGTCTGCCTTTGGCATTAGGGTTCTTTACCCACCTCTAAACAGAGTTCTGTTGAAGGTAAGGCCTGCAGCACCTAACCCCGAGTACCTCCCCATGGGGTCTAGACGGTGCCGAGAATGGGTGACTGGATGGGCATGAAGAACTCATAGCATAAATTGGGGAGGAATGGAGGGAAGAAAAGAGAGAGATGGAGAGAGATGGGAGAGCGGGGCGCAGGGATAGTGGCTTACGCCTGTAATCCTAGCACTTGGGAAAGCCCAGGTGGGAGGGTTGCTTGAAGCCAGAAGTTCGAGACCAGCCTAGGCAACACAGCCAGACCCTGCTTCTACAAGGAAGAGTTTTTTAAATAAAAATAAATAAAAGAGAAGGAGGAGAAGATGATTAGAGAAATAGGGCTAGAGGAGACTGAGGAGGATGCTGCCTTCTGCACCCCACTGCCCGGTCCTCCCTGGCATCCCCAATGCTGGGCAACAACTGGGAAACTCTGTGCTTTCCTGGAGAGAGGAGTAGTGATGGGGCAGGGGCTAGAAGGCCCAAGGCATGACCCTGTCCTCTGAGCAGCCTCCAGACTGATGGGGGAAAATCCATAAAGAAAAGTGCCAGATGAGTGAGTCAGACAGACAGACAGACAGACAGATGACAGACAGAAAAGCAGGCAGGAGCGCCTACTGAAAAAGAGCCTGGGCTCTGGATTCAGCCAAACCTGGGCTCATCTCCCCACTCTATTAAGTTGAGAGCTATGTGACCTTGGGCAAGTTGCTTCATGTCTCTGAGCTTAGTTTCTTCATCTGTAAAAGTGGGGCTTACATTACCACCAACTATCCATCACCTGGTGGGCTCAGCACTGGTCTGACACATTTCAGGCAGTCAGTAAACCTCAGTCGAGATGGTGAGGCTCCAGGTGTTCAGAAAACAAGGCAGAGCTGGCCCGGGTCATGCCAGCCATACCTTCCCTCCCCAAAGGGGATCCCTGGCTGAATGGGCATCTCAAGTTTGCTTACAGAGGGATCTGGCCTGTTCCTGTCATTTCAGTAATCAGCGTCAGTCGCCCGCTGGATTATGAACAGATACCCAACGGGCTGATTTATCTGATGGTCATGGCCAAGGATGCTGGCAACCCCCCTCTCAACAGCACTGTCCCTGTCACCATCGAGGTGTTTGTAAGTACCCAGGGCCGCTGGCCTTGCACTTCCAGGGTGGTGAGTGCTTCCTATGAACCAGCAGTGTAGACTGTGGCCTCCACCTCCTTGGCTGTCCCTGCAGCTTGGGGAGTTACCCAGCAGTCATCCCAAAGTCTGCCCCCAGCAAGCCTCTCCAGTGCTACAGCAATTTAGCTGTCTCCCCGCTTGGCCAGGGAAGGCCTAGGGCCCTGGTACTCAGGAAGAGACAGATTGTCTGCTCTGACTTCATTTGGGGGCTCCAGGACACCCTTGGAGGGGAACAGGAGCTAGGAGTCAAGCGAGGAAGTGTTACGGGATTCCTTCATTGATGGCTATGTTCTGTGAAGAACAAGAGAATTACCGGAAGGTCTTCTCCCTTCTCTCTCTCTCTCCCTCCCTCCCTCCCTCCCCCTCTCTCTCTTTTCTTCCCTTTTCCACTCCTCTGAAGATCTAAAGGGGTCTGAAACCAAGCCACATTTTGTCTGACATGAATATCAAGCATACCTTAGTGCTTTCTGTGTCTGAAATTATCAGTTGCTGAATCCATCTCCATGCTGGTTCATTTGCCCTGTGCCACACGAGGATGCAGAGCGTGGTCTGACCGCAGAGCCAATGGGCCCCTCTGCACGGAGACCTCCCTACACGCAGCTGTGCATGCGTGGCCTGCCCCCCTCCCATCTGTGGGAGATGGCAAACACGTGTTGATGGAAGAGTTAGTGCATTATCGGCTCCAGGAGGATTAGATCAGATTGTCACGTTTGGAGATGCGCTGTGATTTGACATAAGCTCAGGAAAGTCTCACCCTGGAGCAGGCATGCTGGAGAGCCTTCCTGCCACAGCCAGCTTCACCAGCAGCCTCCGCCACTGCCCCACACTGGGCCTTAACAAGTCTGTCTTCTCAACCCGGGACAGAAGCTGGGGCCAGCTCCCAAGCAGAAAGGCCCCCATCTGGGCCAGGGACTCTATTTTCTTGCTGAATAGGAAGGAGCTGGAAGTGATGGGAAAGTTGAGGTGATACCTGCCGGGGAAACTTCCAGATGAACACGAGGGAGCAGAATTTCAGGGTGACCAGGAGGGTGAGGCTCTACAGAACCAGTATAGCAAAAAGAAGGGCAGAGAGTTGGGGCCTTGCTTCTGGAGTCGTTATGTTCTGGCACCTCAGGCTTCAGGGAGTGTCAGGGGAAGGATGACAGAGACCAGATCTTCAGAAGCCTAAAAACCAGCCGGGCGTGGTGCCTCACACCTGTAATCCCAGCACTTTGGGAGGCCGAGGCAGGTGGACCTGCAGTCAGGAGTTCGAGACCAACCTGACAAACATGGAGAAACCCCGTCTCTACTAAAAAAATGTACAAAAAATTAGCTGGGTATGATGGTGCGCAACTGTAATCCCAGCTTCTTGGGAGGCTGAGGCAGGCGAATAGCTTGAACCCAGGAGGTGGAGGTTGCGGTGAGCCAAGATCACACCATCACACTCTAGCCCAGGCAACAAGAGCAAAAAATATCTCCGTCTCAAAAAAAAAAAAAAAAAAAAAAAGAAAAGAAAAACCGGCCTGACTTGAACCTGTAAACTTCCACCTAGAAACCCTGAGGGTGTTACCAGGGAGTGAGAATGCATTTTCTGCCAGTCATGACCATGGGCTGGCACTCTTCACCCCGTGGCCCGACCCTGACCGCATCACCCAAACCTGGGCTTAGTTTCCCAGCCTTGACTACAGCCCCCAAGCCTCCTCTCATCCCAGCTGCACTCACAACCCTGACCAGCCCACCCATCGCTGTCAACCCACCAGGAGGCTGCTCTGCACCAGGAGGCAGTGAGTTCTGGGCTGGGACCCCAGCAGGACGTGCAGGGTAACGTGCAGCCTGCTCCACACCCCAAGGCGATACCGAGTGGAAAGAGGGGTGTGGGGCTGTGTAGCCATATGGGTTTGAAATCTGGCTCTGCTATGCTCTTGCTGTGTGATCTGGGTCTCTGAAACTCAACTTCCTCATCTGCAGAATGGGGGTAATCGCGGTACCTGCCTCATGATATTTTTGTGAGGATGAAATGAGATTGTGCAGGTGATACCTGGCACCTGAAATGTTGGCTGTCACTCCAGCCAACGAGACAGCCATGCATAACAGCAGCTGCCTCCACATCCCAGCCTATGGCTAGTGCAGATGGAAGTTCTGGTGAGTGGGCAGGAGCGGAGAGGGAGCCGGTTAGGCTTTGGGGAGCGGGTACCGGAGAGGGTAAGAGTAAGGGAGGTCTAGGGCAGTAAATGCTCTGCTCTAGCCCAGGGCCCGGACAGGCCTAAGTAGCCAAATGGAAGCTCACATGTGCTGAGCTGCAGCAGTATGCCAGGTCCCCTTCAGTCCCGCTTTCCAGATGGGGAGGCTGAAGCTCAGGGAGGACCCATGGTCACCAATGCCTTTCTTCCTCACTGGTAGAGCTACGACTTGAACCCTGACCTGAGTGACTCCCACGTTGACATTTCCACTATAACCACAGGCCTGGAACCTGGGTCATCCCTATCCACGCATGACTGAGACCAGTGCTTCTCAAAGTTCCCCATGCCCTGGAATTCCCTGGGGATCTCATTAAAAGGCAAATTCATAGTTAGTGGGTCTGAGGCAGGGCTGGGATTCTGCATTTCCTCCCAGTTCCCGGGTGATGCAGATGCTTCCAGTCGGGGACCACACTTTGAGGAATAAGGCCTTCAGAGATCCACCCTCATGAGATTTTGAAACCCTAGCTCTGCCCCAAACTCCAGATGCATCCCAACCTGTGGCTCAGCTAAGGCAGGGACCAGAGCATCTCTTTGTGCCTCAGCCCCCATCAAAGGGGCCAGAGCATGCAGAGACAGGAAAGTGAAGGGACCGAACTCACTTTTTGTCCCTGCAAATAAAAGTGTGCTCCCCAGCCTCCTTCCCCAGGACCACAGAGGGGAGTCTCCATGTGCAGGGGTGCGTGGGAGCATGAATCCACCTCGCTTTGCACTCGGCAAGCTGAAGTGTGCCCTGGCATGGAAACACAGTGGCCTAGTAGAAGGGGCCCCATTTTCAAATTCCCTCAAAGCCATCCCAGGGGCCAGCAGGGGCCCTGCACTTTCCTTCCGAGTCCACCCTGGCCCTGGGGCAGCCGGAGAGTCTGGCAACAAAGACAGGTGCCACCTTGGCTGTAAGTGAACGTTGTCTCTCTACCAGGGCCTCTGGATGGCACAGTCACTTATGTCTGAGGACCGCACTTGAAAAGGTCACCGCCTTCAGGCTGATTTTGCACGTGGCTGGTTTTTAAGTAGCTGTCACTCGGCTAAGCGGCCTCCTCCCTCCACCAAAAGGATTTTCTCCCAATTGGAATTTAAAACCCAGCAGCAAGGAAGTCGTGGATGGCAGCATTTCTTGCACAGGTTGGGGGTGGGGAGAGGCAGATGGAAACCACAGGGCTCCAGGAGGAGGAGGGGGCCGGAGGGGCCAGGTGATTCTTTTTCATCCGCTGCTTGTTGGTTTTTAATAAAGAAGTCAAACTCGGTTTGTAGATTTCCCATTAGGGGACAATAAGCTTTTGTAGAGCGAGCCGCTGAATTAGAACTAATAGCGAATGCAGCGCCAAGATCCGGGGAAATATCACCGCTAATAAGTTTCTGCCTCATGCTCTGTCACTGACATTCTCCACACCGTTTCATGCAGCCAGGCAGAAGCTTAAATGTATAAGTATATGGGGCGCTCGCGCCCACACCAGGACAGGGGAGATGCCCAGACACACAGTTGGGGCACTGGACATCAGGGGAATCCTGAGACTGCTGGTATCTAGGGAGAGGGGCAGGTCAGCATGAGCCAGGGTGCCATCCAGAACCAAGGAGCAGATTGGAAAAAGAGAGGATCATTCCTTTCTGGGCACCCACAATCTTAGCAGGCTGAGACTCTCTGAAGTCCCATGGGGTGCGCAGCCAGATAGCAGGCCCCTGTCTCTTTCATGGCTGCTCAGTCAGCAGCAACTCCAGCAAAGGGGTCTTAATACAGGATCCTTTCCCTCTAAGAGCTCTCGGTTCCATGAGAAGCCAGGCCCTCTCATGGAACTCCTATTTGCCCTAGCAAATGAACAGGAATTGCCGAAGACTGTAGCATAAAGACTGCCCACTTGTGCCGGGACTCAGCCTGACTCCTGAGCTCTGCACTGGGGCCCTTGGGAAAGGGTAGAAGGCCCAGAGCCAAGTGGGCTGGGGAGGCTTCTTCCAAGAGAGGAGCAGGGAGGAATTCTTGTTGGGGGGTTGCATGAGCTGTCAATGAAGATAAGAGTATTAAAGGGCAGGAAAGGCTTTTCTAATTGAAGAGGAGGGGCCACGGTGTGAAGGAGTTGGGGGATGCGTAGGACGAGGGAGAAGCTGCCCACCCCGCCCTGCCAGGCTCAGCCCCTCAGCCAAGCACCATCCTATGGCCACTGGCAAAGGCTGGGCTGGAAGAGATACTGCTTTAGAAATGATAGGGTGGGGCTCTGGACCAGGGCTGCTCAGGGGTTGGAAGAGCCGTTGTTCTTATGTGCAAGGAGGGGTCCAGCTGTACCTGCCTGCAGCCAGCCCAGGGCCAGAATTTGGGCTCTAGGAACCACCTGAACCTGACCTGCCACTGCATACTTTGGTATCTTTGGGGACAGTCCTAGAAGCTTTTGTCATCATCCTGGTGGACCTGCGCAGGGGTCCCCAAGTGGGCATCCCCAGTATGGGAGCTGCAGGTGCCAGTGCTGGAGTGAGCTGAGAGCTCAGCTAGAGAACCCGGGGAAGCCTGGGGAGCTGGCAGCTGTTGGCAGTCACAGCTGCTGCAGTCCCTCTTGCTGGGCCTCTCCGTCCCTTCCTGAGGCCCCCATGTTTCCCCAAGGCTAGTCCTACCTCCTAGAGCTGTAGCCTGCCAGAGGGTTACCTGACAGCCTGCTGACACCCCACCTGGCTCTGGTTATACGGAGGCCAGAGCTCCTTAGTGCCAGCCAGGCCTAGCCTGCCTCCTTGGTGCCCACCTTGGTCAGCTGGCCAGCCCACCTGCCTCCCTGGCTCCTGCAACCTGTCTGTTTTCCTTCCAGGATGAGAATGACAACCCTCCCACCTTCAGCAAGCCTGCCTACTTCGTCTCCGTGGTAGAGAACATCATGGCAGGTACCACAGGCTCAGGTTGGGGGCTGGGGGACACAGGAAGGTAGGCAGCCAGCTGTCGCAGCACCCAGGAAGTGCAGACCCCAGCTCTGCACACAAATTCTGGGAGGTTCATGGCCTTCTCTTTTCCCAGGCCAAGCTCCTGTGACAAATGAGGGAGTCTCTGGAAACATCTAGTTATCTGCCAACTGACAGCTAGTTACAGAGCACCCACTATATGCAGGTGCTAAGCTGGGCACTCGGTTCCTGCTCTCCTGCAACTCTAGTCTAGTGGGGAAAGAATAATCATTCATGATTTATTAAGCAGTGTTGATTAAACAGTCTCAAGTGTGCAGAGGGCTTGAGACTACAGCCCTGTTGAGGCAGGTCCCATGATTTCAGAGGGGTGGCCTTACAGCATGGCCTGTGTTCCTATATGAGGATGCGATTGAGGGCTAATCTCTGGGCCAGGCTCCGGTTGCAGGGTTCAGCTTGCAGACCCAGCATCACCAGCTCCACACTCAGGTTCCAGGGGATCTGTTCTGCCCCCAGGGCAGACTGGCAGCTTCGCCCTTACCATGAGAGCAAATTATCTTAGCCAGGAAAATACCATGGCAGAAACTGCTGCAGTGGCTGAAGGAGACTGAAAGGTGGGAGTCAGGGGCAGTAGAGTCAGAGATGCTGGAGTCGTGGATGATGGAGTCAGGGGTGGTGGAGTCAGGGATGGTGGATTCAGGGGTAGTGAATTCAGGGGCGGTGGAGTCGGGTGATGGAGTCAGAGGTGGTAGAGTCAGGGGCGGTGGAGTTGAGTGGTGGAGTTGAGTGGTGGAGTCGGGGACCGTGGAGTCGGGGGCGGTGGAGTCAGTGACGGTGGAGTCAGGGACGGTGGAGTCATGGATGGTGGAGTCAGGGACGGTGGAGTCAGGGACGGTGGAGTCATGGATGGTGGAGTCAGGGGCAGTGGAGTCGGGCGGTGGAGTCATGGACAGTGGAGTCATGGATGGTAGAGGTGGGTGAAGTCGGGGGCGGTGGAGTCAGGGGCGGTGGAGTCGTGGATGGTAGAGTCAGGTGGTGGAGTCATTAGCAGTGGAGTCAGGGGTGGTGGAGTCGTGGATGGTACAGTCAGGGGCAGTCGAGTTGTGGATGGTAGAGTCAGGGGCAGTGGAGTCATGGGCAGTGGAGTCAGGGGCGGTAGAGTCAGGGGTGGTGGAGTCAGGGGCAGTGGAGTCAGTGGCAGTGGAGTCAGGGGCGGTGGAGTCGGGTGGTAGAGTCAGGGGCAGTGGAGTTGTAGATGGTAGAGTCAGGGGCAGTGGAGTCGGGTGGTGGAGTCAGGGGCGGTGGAGTCAGGGGCGGTGGAGTTGTAGATGGTAGAGTCAGGGGCGGTGGAGTCAGGGATGGTGGAGTCAGGGGCGGTGGAGTCAGGGGTGGAGTCGGGTGGTGGAGTCAGGGGTGGTGGATTCAGTGATGGTGGAGTCAGGGGTAGTGGAGTCGTGGGCAGTGGATTCAGGGACGGTGGAGCCAGGGATGGTGGAATCAGGGATGGTAGAGTCAGAACTGCTCTTCCCTGGCACCACAAGATCTTCTAATGAGAGTCTCTGGGTACCAGTCTGGCACCTGACAATGAGCTGAGTGGCTGCTGGGCTGCATCCAGCCTACCCTCCCTGTCCTAATCAGGCATCTCCTGGAGAATATCACTGTTAAAGTGTCACCCCCAGCACTCCCCACCATCCCTGGAGACTCTATCCAGGAGAGGCCTTAACTATGGCACTTAATTCTTTTCAGGGGTATATTAGGGCTCGTGTTCCTGTCCTGCTTAAGGCAGGCCTGAGGGTCGTGTTTGAGGCCCCAGGGGTCCCTGGAAGAGGACACAACCACCTGCCTGGTCTCTTGCCCCCTCAAGACTGCTGATTTACACACTGGATGGTTACCACCGCCCCTGCAGCCCAGTGGAGCTCCTTGTGGGGCTCAGCCTCTGGCCTCCATGCTTTATCCCTCAGGATCCCAGCAGCAAACCCGCAAGTTAGACGGTATCGTTAGACCCAGTCCCAGAGGAGGAGGTGATACTCAGGCATGTGAAGGCGCCTGCCGAGGCCCTGCGGGTGCCAGTCTGGGTATGAAGATTCCAAGAGCCTACACACCAGACCTCCTGGCTACTAGGCCAGGGCTGGCAGTAGGTGGCAGGAGGAGCTGCAGCCAGAACCCCTGGTGGGCATGACTTCGGGACAAGCTGCTCTTAGGGTTTGGACAGGGTGGCTGGAAAAGCTGATCCCTTGAGTCAGGATTTCATGGCGCTGGAAATAAAGATGAAGGCCTTAACTGGACGTTAAAGAGAAAATAAAAACTTTTGTAAATACCCTGTGAATAAGAGAAAACTAGATTGAAATTGATTATAGTATATGTAGAATAAGTTAATATGGAGCTTCATGTCTTTTTTATTCCAAGTAAAAGCTGGCCAATTTGAGTGTATTTAATATGGCAGCCAGCCAGGCAGGAGCCGGGAGCCAGACACCAGAGGGCCCAGTCCATCCCTGAGCCTCTCATGGAGCCTTGTACCTGTGCAGCCCAGCAATCTGGGCTCCAAGAGCGGTGGTTGAGCCGCCCTCATCCCTGGGTTGCCCCAGCAGTCAGGACTCCCACCTCCCTGAGAGCTGGTCACTGGGAAGGTCCCATGTCCTCCTCTTGGGCCAGCACAAATCCTGCTCCCAGGGCTGGGGCTGTGAGCCCAGGGGCCCAGGATGAGCAGCAACCCCTACCTCTGCCTTTTTTCCTCTGAAGGAGCCACAGTGCTGTTCCTGAATGCCACAGACCTGGACCGCTCTCGGGAGTATGGCCAGGAGTCCATCATCTACTCCCTGGAAGGCTCCGCCCAGTTTCGGATCAACGCCCGCTCAGGTGAGCCCCCCACCCCAAGGATCCTGGTCCTCCGCACCCTGAGGCTGACTCTCCATACCTGGCCCCAGGGCCAGCCCCTGGGCCCAGGTCTCATTCTTTTCAGTTTTGAGCAGGTCAGCTTTGAGCACCAGTATAATCCCTGAAAATTAATTTGAGTGTGATTACTGACCTTACCACAAAAAATCACAACATGAATTTATCCAGTGAAGGATGTCTTTCAAGGGTAAAGAGTCGTATTATGTTTTAAATGTGTTTCATCTTACAAACAGCTGTGTTAACACACCCCTCTTCAGGAACCTTTATTAAAGCCTCAGCATCCCCCTCCCTCAGTTGGCTCCTCTTCTTTCACAGATGTGTGCCTCCGTTTTCCCACCTGTAAAATGAGGATGATCATATCAGGGCTGTTGTGTGGGTTAAATGATGTGTAATATGAAACACTTTGAATAGCCCCTGGCACATAGTAAGTTCAAAAACAATTACTGTCATTATTTTCTTTTGTTTATTCACCTGCAAGCCCCCTGCCCCCAGCTCCCAGCTCAGCCCATGTAACTCTCTTCTTTCTTCTTCATCTCTTCATGTACATTCCTCAGTTTTCTCTCCTCCTTGAAACTGGGAGAAAAAGGGGGCAGAAAGAAGCAGCAAGAAACCCAAGCTTTCAGCCAGACCTGGGGAAGAATCCAGGACCCCTGTATATTCAGACATGATTCAGAAATTGGAGTGGGTGCTGTCTGATCCAGGTGCTGTGCCAGGTGCTGGGGTACAGGAAGGAGTAAGACATGGCCCTGACCTCATGAAGTTCCAAGTCAGCTCAGTGGGCAGGCAAGACACCCCACTTCCAATACCCACTTCTGTATGAGTAAAAGGAACTGTAGATGTCAAACAGCCAAACCCTCTCTCACTGGCTTGAGACAATAGAAATTTGAATTCATACAGTCAACCCATGCAGTTGTTGAGTGGACAGCCCTCCACATGATGATTCTGGGACCCAGGCCCCTTCCATGTTGTGGCTCCGAGGTCATTGCAGAAGGGAAAAGAGCATGGGTTGTCGGACTAGGAGGAGGTAATGGGCCAGCCCCTGCCTGGCAGTCATATCCAAGTGATAATTCTTGTCTGGGAAGGGAGCAGGAATCTCTAGTGGACACTGGCCATTTCTGCAGCAGGTGGTCAGTGGCCCAGCAGGGCATTAGCTCTTCCTGCTATCCATCCCTCTGTGGTGGAAGTCAGCCTTCAATCCCTTTTTGTCCCCCTTTCCTGGAGGCTTGGGGAGCAGATGGCTGGTTCTGATGGGCACAAAGACTGAGGAAGGGGACCCAGGGCCACTGTGAGCCTCTTTTGCTACCTCTGAGAAAGTGAAGGCCTTACTCCCTGCTCTAAGGAACTTCCACCCACAGTGAGCCCTCATTGCCAGGGCTCTCAGAGTAATGTACCACATGCCCAGCAGTGCTGCAGGAACTCTGAGCAGCAGCCTCCCATTCCGCCATCCTCACCTGTGAGACAGGTACTAGCCTTATCCCCATTTTCCAGATGAGGAAGCTGAGCCACTGGGGAGGTTGAGTAGCTAGACTGAGGACTCGCAGAGCGTGAACTTCTGACTCCAGAACCCAGATATGAAAGGTGCCATTACCTGAGCAGCTCCCTGGCCTTTCAGCCACCCCTGCCCTTGCCTCCCCAGTCGGGGCTCCAGCTCCCCCAGGGGCCTTTAATGACAAAGACATTTTCTTGCTGCCTTAACACGACTTTGGCTCCAAAGGTGTAAGCATTTTGCTCTGAGCTCGGTCAAATTAGCCAGGCCTGCTCCACAGAGGTGGCCTTAATTGGATCTAATTTCCCAGACAGGAGAGGCCATCGATCATGCCGACAAGTTCATATTTAAAACTTTTTAGAGATTAATTTCTTCCTCGCCCTGCCAATTAATCGACACCACCCTGGAAGGGAGCGTGGCTTGTTGGGCAGACCTCTGTGAGTCTTCCATTCTTGGCCTTGGCACCTAAGCTGCCCTGTCACCCACCCCGGGCTCTCTGCTCAGCGTTACACAGAGCAGAGGACAAGCCAGCATGCCACAGAGGGAACAGCCAGGGTAGAAGCGGTCCTAAAGGCAATCTAGCCCAGCTGCCTTGTTTTACGGGGCGGGGGTGGGGGGAGGTGAGGTGGGGAGGTGGGGAGGGAGTGGGAACCAAGCTCAGAGAAGTTAAGCGACTTGCCCAGGTCACACAGCACAGACAATGGGGATAAAATGATGGGTAGCATACAGGCCCTGCCTGTGGGGAATGTTCACAGTCCATTGGAAGGAAAGTCATTCTCTGAGTGTTGGGAGCCTTACCTAGAATTTAGCCTCACGACAGCTCTCCCTGGAAGTCACAACAACTTCCATTTATAGATGAGAAAGCTGGAGCTTAAAAATATTAAATTTTTCTAAGGCCAGGCATCTGGGAAGGGCCATAATCAGAATTCACATCCAGGTCTCACATCCTCACCACGTGGGCTCTCCCATGGCTCACGGAAGACGGTAAATGGCCTGGCTGCAGTGATTGCTGAAGTCCGCCGTGACTGGCTCATGCTCCCAAGAGCTAACGAGGCACTCAACTGCGAACTCCATATTCAATACCACCAAGTTGGGAGCTTAAAATGGGCCCTGGTGGGACTCTTTACACCAAGGAAATCGGCAAATGCCTTTTCTTTTTATTTTGGGGAGCCAACTGTCAAACATTTACTAGCACACCGCTACCAGGGTGATAGCTGTATTTCAGTTATACCAAAATACAAAGACCAAATACAGGTGAACAAAAAATGCTGTTGAATTGTTCACATTTAACACACAAAAAAAACTTGAGGCAATGTAATTATGCTATTCACAGTGTAATTAGGAAATTATTTTATAACTGTTAATTATCAATGCGTGTTAAGTTTGAATAGGTTGAACTACCCAGTGATGAGTCATGAGTGAGAACGCACATGAACACCTGGTGTTTTTCTTTCCTGTCATTGTATTTCTGTGGCTATATAAATAAACCGTGCCTGGCACTGTTCTGGGATTTCTGTGATATTAATTAGATTAACCTCACAACAGCCCTATGAGGTAGGTCCTATTATGGTTCCCTTTGGATCCTATGAGGAAACTGAGGCACAGAGGTTGGCAGTAACCAGTTCAGGATGATAAAGCCAGCAAGATAGTGTCAAAAGTCTAAACAAGAGGTGATCTGTGACTGAGCCCAAGGCCTGATGGCCCTCCTGCCCTGTTCTCGAGGCCCTACCCCCAAGAATCAGCCTAGATTTCCACGAATCTGCAAATATCTCCTCCTCGTGGGGTTACGGGGTTACGTTGCCTAGCTCTGGGGACCCGGCTCCCAAGGCATGGGAGCTCTGCCGTCTCCCACAGTGAGCGCCATGTCAGGAACACATCCAGGCTGCCAGATCATGGTACCTCTTTCCCTCGCTCTCTCTTCCCTTCCCTTGCTCTCTCCCTGGCCCACCCAAACCCTCTCACACACCCACTTCTCTCTCCGGCAGGGGAAGTCACCACCACGTCTCTGCTTGACCGGGAGACCAAGTCTGAATACATCCTCATTGTTCGAGCAGTGGACGGGGGTGTGGGTCACAACCAGAAAACCGGCATCGCCACTGTGAGTGCGCCCCGCTCCTGCGCCCAGCTTCCCCTCACCAGCCAGGCTCCTGCTCCCCGTTCATCTTCAGGTTGCCCACTTTGTACCTCTGGACCCCCATGTCCTGAGCCAGTGTGAGGCATTATGCAAGTGAGTGAGGGGGCAAAAACCAACTGATCATCGTCGGAGTTCAGCCCCAGGGCCACCACAGCTGTGGGGAAGAAAGGCATCACCACCAGGAATGTAGGGTACTCGGGAGGAGCAAAATACAATATTTTCTCTGCTGCCCCCAAAAATCCAGGAGGACAGGTGGCAGAAGGCATGAGCCCCATAGGCCCCTCCTTGCCTTGGCACCTGCCAACAAGCAGAAGTAGGTGTTCCTACCGGGAAGAGCACTGGAGGGTCCCTGGGGACTTGTCCTTCCCCAGCCAATGTGCCCCAGAGAGTAGAAAGCTAGAGGAGGAAACTGTGTGGGCCCTGAATGAGCTCTGGGCTGAAGAAGTGAAGGGGGTAAGTGAGAAGGCATCCGTGGGAGAGGAAGTGGGAGGACCCGCTGGCAGTCACTCCAGCCACCTCCCCTTTTTGTTCCGCAGTCGGTTTCCTTGGCTCTCCCTCAAAAGAGGCTCGAACCCAGCCAGCAGCATCCCCATCCTTACCCAGTCAGAGAGGCTGGAGATGGTATTTCATGGCCAGGGATTTGATGGAAAAATCCCCAGGGCCCTACTCTATCAAGGGAGGCCCCTGCTATTGGGAATCAGAGCCCTATAAAGAATGTACCTGGTGGCAGGTGGGCAGGGAAATTGCTTGGCTTGTAGCTGAGACGGGGAAGCTCAAGGGACTCTATGAGATCCCCCACCCTGTCAGTCACCTTCAGCCAAGACTGGAGGAGGGGGTGGGAGAAGTCCCAGGTCACCACAAGGATTTCGGGGGTCATCACATCCATTCCACTGCCTCCTGATGGGACCACACTAGAACCCTCTCCTAAAGGGGCCTGGCTCCTTCCTGTCCTTGAAAGCCCAGGCCCTGCCCAAGGCTCCCAAGGTTGGTGGAGCTGGTGGAATTAATGCCAAGATGGCCCGTGGGTATCTGAGCTCATTTCCCCTGGCAGACCCTGCCTGCCCTGGCCCATCTCAGCTGGGTTCATCCACAGCGCCCCTTGTGGTTTTACAGGTAAACATCACCCTCCTGGACATCAATGACAACCACCCCACTTGGAAGGATGCACCCTACTACATCAACCTGGTGGAGATGACCCCTCCAGACTCAGACGTGACCACGGTAGGAGCAGCAGAACTGCCAGGCAGCCCTTCCCAGGGGTGCCCGCCATGTGGGGCTGGTGGACTCTGTGTCCCTTTCAGCCAGCTCTTGGAATAGAGTTCTAGCCATCCTCTGGCATGGTGAAAGGCAGTCCGAGGTCAAGGGAAAGCCCTCACCTGGCCTCCAGTGTCAGCAGGCCTCAGGCTTTGTCAAAGGGAGTTTCAGGCAGCCCAGGGACAGTTGCAGGGGAGCTCAGGCCGGCTCCACTTGGAAGCCACACATGTCCTTAGAGGTGGGGACTCTGACCACCCCCTCTGGAGAGCTCCCACCCCGACACTGCACAAGCCCAAGCCCCACCACAGCGCCTCTCTTTCACTGCTCTGTCCCTGCAGTCATCAGTCTGGGTTAGCTGATCAGGAATTTTCTGGCCCAGGTTTGCACCAGCCCGTGTGTGTGTTATGTGCTCCTGGGCAGGGATGTGCACAACTCAGGATGCAGAGGGGAGATGCAGCCAAAGCCAGGGCATCCACAGCAGGGACCAGAATCCCGGGGAAACTGAGGAGGCCCAGGCCCCATGCCCACACCATCTGCTCTGCTGGGAGATCCACATTTCTCAGCCTTCTCATCACCCTGTAACCACGTGATCTCACTTGTGGCGGCTTGTCCCCACATGAGCAGCCCTACTGCTACCATCCAGCCCTGTGGCGGACATGAATCCTGACCACTCACAGTAGCGCCATTCACTGAACACCTGGGAAGTACCCTGAGCCCCACCTGAGGGCTTCTCAGGAATTCTGTCTCCTCATCCTCATCATCTCACATGGCAGAGGGATTCTGCTCCCATTGTTCTGTGGAGGAGACAGACTTAGAGCTTGAAGGGTTGCCCAAGGTCCCAGAGCTAGTAAGGGGTGAGGCCAGGACTTGAACCCTGGTCTGACTCGGAGACGGGGGATTAGAAACCACCTATCCCAGTCATTATTGCTCTGCTGGCTCAAGGGGTGCCCTGGCAGGTGGCCAGGTCCTGAGGAACTGGAGAACTCCGGTGGGATGGGAGAAGCGATGATATCTTTGCATCCAGCTCTCCAGAAAGGCTGCCCTACCTGAGCCCAAGCAGCTCTGGGCTGCTAATGCCCAGCCTCTCCAGCCCCACCCTCAGCAACCACACCCAGGAGTGGCTCTGGCTGGGCGGAGGTCCACCTGAAAGGAAGGACAAAGAGAGGGAGGGAAGGATTGGCCGTCATGCCTCTCTTCCTTTCCACGTGTTCACTGACTGGCTGTCAGCTGGTGTGTGGGTACCCCTCCCAGAGGATCCAATGGCATAGGGCAGAAGTGAGGAATCTGGAGTCTGTCATTTCTCAAAGCCCCACAGAGGAATTCCTTCCAGCCCAGGGCCAGGTTTAGAAGCCACTGCCCTGGCCCTTTGACACGGCTCTCTAGGGCCCTCTGGTGGGTGCTCTCTGCTGCGGCCTCGTGGTCACTGCACTGGCTCGGGACAACCTCCTCCTCACCCCAGCCAGGGATTCCAAGAGCTGGGGTTGGATCTCACCTCTGAATACCTTCTGGTCAGTCCTCCCCTTTCCCTTATGTTTCTGGGAAATTCCTCCCAAAGGGAATTGAGGGGCAAGTAAGGAAGGTTGCTCTGGGAGAAAGGGGCTGCGTGGGACACCAGCCTGGGTTACCGTTCTCAAACAGTACATCTGGCAGTAGGTATGCCAGGTGAGGACTGCACTCAGCCTTGGGCCTTTGCAAGCTCCGGTCCCCGTGGCCTTCACCCAGTCTCCAGCTCCTCACGTGTCCTTCTGAGCCATGAGCGGGCACAGACAATGGACCGGGGCACTGCCCAGTGCCTCCTCACTTTCCAGGAAACCCATGAGCCATCAGAGAATGCCTACCACATGCCAGGCCCCATGCTTGTCAGGCTGAGGGTACAGGAAGCAACGCCAGGCCAGGTGCAGTGGCTCATGCCTGTAATCCCAGCACTTTGAGAGTCCAAGGCAGGCAGATCACTTGAGCCTAGGAGTTCAAGACCAGCCTGGGCAGCATAGTAAGACCCCCACTCTGAGTCTTTACAAAAAAAAAATTTTTTTTTTAAGTAGTCGGGTGTGGTAGCGTACACCTTTGGTCCCAGATACTCAGGAGGCTAAGGCAAGAGGATTTTTGAGCCTCAGAGATTGAGGCTGCAGTGAGCCAAGATCACACCACTGCACTCCAGCCTGCGTGACACAGTAAGATCCTGTCTCAAAAAAAAAAAAAAAAAAAAAAGGAAGCTCCTGCCCTGCCTTTGGGGACCTTCACATCACTCTTCTGCTCAAACCCAGTGGTTCCCATCTCTCCCTGTGCAAAAGCCAGGCTCCTTGCCGGACCTACACCTGCATGCACCAGGTGTGGCCCGGCACGCAGGCACTGACCGTGTCCACCTGCAGAGGCGTGCGCTGGCGGAGTGACCGTCTCTCTGCAAGGGAGATTTTGGTCCCACTCTCCTTCCTGGCTCCTGCAGCTGCCTTCAAGGACCTGGCTGATGGGCATTGATTTAGAGCCTTTCAAAGCCCTCCAGCAAAATAAAGGAGAGGGGAGAAGGAGAGAGTTATTCCCCGTCAGGCAGGAGAAAAATGATGGGCGTGAAATTGGAAATAAATGAGGAGAAAGTGGTGAGATTCTACAAAATCGCCCAGCAGGGAGCCTGCAGGAGGGATCACAGCCCTCCACCCTCTCCTGTACCCGCAACCCACCCTGTGACCAGAGAGTCAGTCAAGAGGCCCAAAACCAGTGTCCATGCCCCAACTAGAGTCATTTGGAAGCAGCTACCCTGGCACTCTCTGGCATGGTGGGAGCAGGCAGAGGGAATCAAAGAGGAGAAAACATCCCCCATGTGAAATTCATCTCGCCTGTTCAGCAACAAGTGTGGTCTGGAGCAAGTCACCTCCAGAAAAATTAAACAGGGATAAAATCATCTCTCCCCCAGGCTGGGCATGGTGGCTCACCCCTGTAATCCCAGCACTTTGGGAGGCCAAGGCAGGTGGATCACTTGAGGTCAAGAGTTTGAGACCAGCCTGGCCAACATGGTAAAACCTTGTCTCCACTAAAAATACAAAAATCAGCTGGGCATGGTGGCTCTTGCCTGTAATCCCAGCTACTTGGGAGGCTGAGGCAGGAGGATTGCTTGAACCCAGGAGGTAGAGATTGCAGTGAGCAGAGATTGCACCACTGCATTCCAGCCAGAGCAATGGAGCAAAACTCCATCTCAACAAAAACAAACAAACAAAATGCCTTTTTTTTTTTTTTTTTTTTTGAGACAGAGTTTCGCTCTTGTTACCCAGGCTGGAGTGCAATGGCGCGATCTCGGCCCACCACAACCTCCGCCTCCTGGGTTCAGGCAATTCTCCTGCCTCAGCCTCCTGAGTAGCTGGGATTACAGGCACGCGCCACCATGCCCAGCTAATGTTTTGTATTTTTAGTAGAGACGGGGTTTCACCATGTTGACCAGGATGGTCTCGATCTCTCGACCTCGTGATCTGCCTGCCTCGGCCTCCCAAAGTGCTGGGATGACAGGCTTGAGCCACCGGGCCCGGCTACAAAATCCCTTTCAAACTGTTGAGAGAAGCATTGTAGAAACACAAAGCATCCTGATCTCCTAAGTCTAGCAGTGAAATGACTTGTCCTTGTTTGAATTATGCCTTCGGTACCTAAGAGCCCTGTCTCCTGTTTGCAAAATGGGGGTTTTGGGGTCCCTTTTTTGGAGGCTAGGGAAACTGAGGCAGCATGTCCTCAGATGAGGACACCTTAGGCCTGGAAGGCAGGGACCTTCCCTACCCTACCCTTCGGTGCTGCAAGGTTGAAAAGGGAGAGTAGGGCGGAGGCTGCCCCCGCCTCTCTGAAGGGGAAGCTGGTCTAGGTGCCACCGCATTCAGCCCTGCCTCAGCCTCTCTCCCGCCGGCCTTCCCAGGGCCCACGGACAGGGGCAGACGGGAGTTCTCAGCCGGGGCAGCTCATCTGTCTGTTCTGGTCTGGTGGCCCCAGAGACACCTCTGGCTGGGGAGGGACAGATTCTGCTGCCAAAGCAAAAAAGGCTCCACATCAAGTAAGATGAAGGAGCTGGCAAGGCCTGGCTGTCATCACCAACTGTCCTGCAGTTAACAATGACACTGTCCTGATGTGGCCCCAGGAACTGTGGTCACTTCCCACCCCCCACCGACCTCATCCACCTCTGGTGCCAAAGGGACCTCTGCAGCGCAGGGTCGGGGGTGATCGAGGGGTAAGGGCCACCTCAGGAGCCTCCAGGCTGAAAGCTGGGTCAGTGCCATGGGTGGTGCTGTGTGACCCTGAGAAGGGCCTGTGCCTCTCTGGGCTCTGCTTACTCCTTGTGACAAGCAGGGCGACGGATGGTGAGTGAGCTTCCCCACATAGCAGGGGATCGGTGCATGCAGGGGGCCTCAGCAAAGATGAGGAGACCTCAGGGGGCCCTTGGCCTTTGTTTATGACCTGGCTGTGTGGGATCAGGGATGCTAAGGCACAGCAGGCTATGGAGCTCCCCGCCCCTAGGTTAGGATGGCACTGAGCACTGGCCCCTTCATGATGTGGGGGTCGTAAGTGGGGAACCAGGGTGTGGGCCAGAGGGTTGAAGGGGCCAGAGTGTCTGAGGCCCAGTCCTGAGACCCTGCTTGTCACCGGGGGTGGCGTTCCTCCCTTCCGGAGTGCTCAGCCCTCTCTTCCCTCAGCACCCCCCTAGCCCCATGACTGCCCTGGTTAACTGGGTCCCACCTTCTGAAAGTGGGGCCCAGCGATAGCCTCCTCCACGTGCCCTGTCATCCCTGGTGTCACGTTCTAAAGCTTAAAAAGAAGGAAAGGAGGGTTTGAGGATGAAGAACCCAGTCTCCAAAATCCAGAGTTTCAAATTCTTTCAAAAATCTCAGCCAGAGCACAGGCTCCCCAGCCCTTCCCAGCCCTCCCCTGGAGAACTCCATGGTCGGGGACCTGCTGGGGGCCCCCTGGTCACCCAAAACCCATGGACATGTCCCCCTGAATGTCTGGAACAGAAGGGCACAAAGCTGTGGGGTGTGTGTGGGTGTGTGGTGTGTGTGGGTGGTGTGTGGGTGGTGTGTATGTGGCGTGTGGAGGTGAGTGAGGGGGTGTGTGTGGGGTGTGGATGTGTGGGGGGGTGTAGGGAGGTGGGATGTGTAGGGGGTGTATGTTTGTGGGGGTATGTGGTGTGTATGTATGTGTGTGGTGTGTATGGGGGATGGGGGTGTGTGTGGGCGATGTGGGGGTGTGTGTGTGTGTTGATGTCTAACGAATCCCAGCTCTGCGCTTCCTAGCTTTGAGGCCTTGGGAGCCCCGCTGACTCTTATCCATGCAGTGGGCGTAATTAGATATACCTGCTTCATACAGCTGTTCACACAGTAGCTGGCGATGGCCTGGTTCCTCTGGGACACTGGGTGCCTGCTGGGGGCCCCTGTAGGGGCGTGCCAGGTTCGGTCAGATGCACTAGCTCAGGCAGGGTTACACCCCCTGTCACAGATCCGGAAGCCCAGGAGAAAGGGGCTCGCCTGAGACGGAAATGGACAGGTTTTGCTAGAGTGCCCAGAGGCTTCCACTGCCGATTCACTTTCTGAACCTCCTGCCTCCCAGCCCTCTCGGACCACTTCCTGGGCCAGACAGAGCCAGGATGCGTCCTCCTCGGGACCAATGTCTGAGCTAGAAACCCCGGCCAGCCCAGAGACACCCTCCCTGGGCCTGGCTCAGCAAAGGGGTCTGCTCCCTCCCGGCAGGTGGTGGCTGTGGACCCAGACCTGGGGGAGAATGGCACCCTAGTGTACAGCATCCAGCCACCCAACAAGTTCTACAGCCTCAACAGCACCACGGGCAAAATCCGCACCACTCATGCCATGCTGGACCGGGAGAACCCCGACCCCCACGAGGCCGAGCTGATGCGCAAAATCATCGTCTCCGTCACTGACTGTACGGACCCCTCTCGCCCCTCACAGCCCCCACACCTTAGGCTGCGGGCATCCGCAGTGACTGGACCTCTGGGGAATCTGGGGCCCACCCAGGAGGGCTGTGTCTGATCACCAGGAGTAGAGTAATACCCACGCCCCAGCTGTGACTCCCAGAGCACCCCAAGGGAATGGACAGGGCTGGGGAGGGGAGCTGCAAGGCTCAGGCTGCTTCCTGGAGGGGCCGCTGGGATGGAAGGCTCTGACTCTGACACACTCTCACCACTTGCCTTCTTCCTGTCCGTTTTCTCTTGCACCCATCTGACCCCATTCTCGGCCCCTTCTCACCCTGGTCTTCCCAGGTGGCCGACCCCCTCTGAGAGCTACCAGCAGTGCCACAGTGTTTGTGAACCTCTTGGATCTCAACGACAATGACCCCACCTTTCAGAACCTGCCTTTTGTGGCCGAGGTGCTCGAAGGCACCCCCGCGGGGGTCTCCATCTACCAAGTGAGTCTCTCTCATTTCATCCCTACCAGCCCAGAAGGGGGCAGTGGGTGCCCGAGGGGCCTCGCCCAGGCGGAGCACTTTGCAGGGCAGGGGAGGAGCTGGGGCTTGAAGGACAGAGGCTCTGGAGACGTGGAGGGGACATGGCAGGAAAGTATAGGGAGATGGGCAAAGGCAGAGGCAGAGAGAGGGAGGGAGGCAAAGGTGGAATTCTGCAAGCCAAGTCCAAGTTTCTCAGGGCCTGATTATGGACGTCCGGCCTGCAGGTGGTTCTAGAATATAAAGAAGGCCAGATGAGTGTAGTCCTGGGCATCGTCTCTCCCATGCTTTCCCATAAGCCCCGGATCAGCTCCCTGTAGTAGAGGAGCCTCTGCCCACTTTGCAGAGCTCTAAAGAGACTTGCCCAGGACCCTGAGGCCACACAAGGCAGGGTCTGATCTTGGGCCTGACTTCTTTGCCTCCTGTTCCATCATCCTTTGGTCCGGGGGATCCTGAAGTTGCTGGTTTGGGGAAGATGACATCCAGGGTTTCAAGTCCTTTCAAAACCTCAGCCCTCCAGGGGCCGTTTGGGAACACCAGAGACCCTCCTGGTTAAGAGCATGGGCTGTGGAGTGCCAACCAATAGAGGTGTGGATCCTAGCTCCACCAACAAGTGCTGTGTGGCTTGGAGCAAACTGCTTACCCTCTCTGAGCCTCAGTTTCTCATCTGTGAAACGGAGATAATAATAGTACCTGCCTGACTGTGCTGTGGGGATTCAATCAGACACATGGTTGAAGCACCCTGGAACTTGGACTCAGGAAAACACGGTAGCTGTGGCGATCACTATGTGTCTGTCACGAGGGCTTATACCTGAGACGCAGTGGCAGGATCAGGTTAGCCTGTTCCCATTCGAAGGAGATGGGGTTGTTTGTCAGGATGCCAGAGGGGGTGAGCTTGGTGGCGCCCCACAGGCCCACTGTGCCTCAGTTTCTTCATCGGTAGGAGGAGGTGAATGGTGTTCCCCAAGCTCCCAGCAGGGGGCGCCTCGATCCAGGGAACAGCAGCCTGTCCTGAGGAAGCCCCCAGGCCAAAGGGGAGGCGGGGTGAGAACGAGTGAACCCCTAACCCCAGTTCTCTGGGGGCTCACACTGGTGAATAAAGATGCCCACCAATGCAACTTCTGAGTTCATAGAGGAAGGAGCAGGGAGCGTTTAACTTGGAAACTGTCTTCACATACAGGACGAAGCTTCTCCCCTGAACTGTGCTCCCTGGGCCCACCTAGGACTCAGGCGATACAGATTTCTGCTGGTTGTGCAGAAGAGCGGTCTCCAGGGGGTAGAGCTGTGTGCAAGTAAAGTAGAAATACCGAGCACCCTGTCCTGAAAGCATTCAAGCTGAGTCCAGACGACCTTGATATAATGTCTCCCAGTCCTGAGAGTCTCGGCTTAATCCCAAACTCTTATTTCAGCTGTTATTACACATTTTCCCCAAATGCCTTGAATCCACTTCAGGAAAACATCCAGGGTACCAGGGTCTTGAGTCAGGTAATCTGATGGGGGCTGGAGGTGCAAATGGAATTAGGGAGGAGGGTTGCCTGTACATGGTCACAAATGACTTTTTAAAAAATAATAATGAAACCCTCAAGTGACTTTTACAAAAGAACCCTTGATGTCATTTTGTTTTTGTTGTTGCTGTCTCACAAATCAAGCAAAGCGGGGAGGGGCAGCCTGCGACTCCTGTCTTCTAGGTAATTGAGCTCCAGATCATGGTGGGGGTCCTCAAGCTGGAACAGCTGCTCCAAATCTGGGAGGGCTTCCTAATGGGGAGAGCAGGAGATGAAGGGGGAAAGTGCTGTAGAGACCTGAGCTCTTATTCTAAAAGTCCCTCTGCCACCCCACTGTCGGCCTCACTTGGTGCCTCGGGACAGGTTTCAGCTGGTGCGTGACCCTCTTAGAGTCTGGGAGGGTCCCCTGGGGACAGTGGCCTGGCCAAAGGCTCGGAAGGGAGCATATGTGTCTTGTGTCTGGCTGTAGCCAAGTGTGTCTCGGCGGGGAGAAGGGGGCACTTATTAAGGGAGAAGCATCCTTCCCAGTGACCCCTCCCCGCCCTCACGCTGCCCCTCCTTGCCCTCAGGTGGTGGCCGTCGACCTAGATGAGGGCCTGAACGGCCTGGTGTCCTACCGAATGCAGGTGGCTATGCCCCGCATGGACTTCCTCATCAACAGCAGCAGTGGCGTGGTGGTCACCACCGCTGAGCTGGACCGAGAGCGCATCGCCGAGTACCAGCTGCGGGTGGTGGCCAGTGACTTGGGCACGCCCACGAAGAGCTCCACCAGCACGCTCACCATCCATGGTGAGGGGCGAGGGGGCTTCTGCTGTGTGCTTAGTGGGTGGGCATAGGCCTGGTTCAGGGCCAGGGGCAGTGGGGAGCCTGTGTCCCCCACTGCTGTCTGCTGGGCTTGTAGGCACAAGCTCCCTTGTTAATGAGGCACCCTCCTCAGCTGGAGGCACTCAACACTGCAGAGTCTTCTCTGCACCTGGCCACTGCCTTCAGTGCCCCAGAGCTCAGGGACAGTGGCCTGGACCTGCTGCCAAGCCCCCGCCCCCCTCCCCATTCTTCCTAGCCCCAGAGCGTAGCAACAGCAAAGGGGGCTTGCATGAGCCGGAGCTAGGACCTCAGGGTCATGAGCAGCCAGGGAGGGTGCAGAGCCCTTTGTCTTGTTTGGAAGGCCAGAGTTTTTGTTTGGAAACCTAAAGGAGACCTCCCCGTCCCATGGGTGTGGAACGCCTGGGCTGGCAGCGGCAGGGCATCACTCTGGGAAGAGAGCAGCTGGGACTCCCAGACTCCCTAAGATTCTCATCCCGCTGGGGCTGTTGTGCTCATTCCCACGGTCTCTGCCCTCTATCGGTGAAGGGGCAGGGTGCCGTTTCCATGTTGGATGAGTGTTTAATTTTTCAGGACAGGATGGGGACATGAGCTGTTGCCAAGGGGCCAGGAATAACCCCAGGGAAATTAGGACGGAGTTTAACAGGCAAGATGTGGCCTGTTCCCTGGGCCTGTTTGGTCCCATCCTAGCTCTGCCGGCCTCTGTGGGATGGTAGGGGCGGGAAAGGGAGTGGTTAGCTTGGCACAGGCACAGACACTGACCCTCTTTAGTTGAGACCTAAGATGGTAAGGATTTCAGAGAGCACGACACTCTCTCCCATCGCTCCAAGACTTCCTGTGGGTTTATGGTGTCAGTTTCAGGACCCACTTCTTGGCAGATGATTGACGGGGAGTATGTCCCAGCTTTCAGAGAGGACCCCTGGAGGGCCTTCTTCCAAGACTCAGCAGAAGCCATATCATCAAAGGGGCCCAGCATCCCTCCTGGGGATACCATGTAAAGGAACCTAAGTTGGATGGGGATCACTTCGCTATAAAGGTTGCCCAAGCACCCCTCTGCCTGAGGAATAGGGCCGAGCATGCACAGCTGAATAAACAAATCTCTAAGGGAAATCAAACCTTATTTCGGGAGATGGGATTATCAAAGTGAGTGCCCTTTGCTGAAGCTCCATTGCATACTGAGGGTAGACCTTGAGGCTCCGGCCCCTCCACTCTGCCGCTGTGTGACTTTGGGCAAGTCACTCAGCTGCTCTGAGCTTTTGCTTCCTCAGCTACACAATGTGTCTGATAATACCCGCCTCCTACGATGCTCTGAGGGCCGCATGTGGTCCTGTCCGGGAAGCACTTAGCATGGGCATGGCACACTGGACAAGCTCGTAAATGGTCACCATTATCATCACTGTCATGACTGTCCATGTTGTCATGGTCGTTGTTAGGTGCGTCCCGGAGAGAGGTTCTAAAGTTTTCTCTCCCGCCTTTGACAACTGAGCAGCAGTAAGCCCCCAGGACACAGGGGCACAGGGACAGCAGGAGGGTCTGGAGCGCTGATGGGCTTGGTCCTGGCCCTGGCAGGCATGGGGGGCTCTGGGCTCATGGCCAGGAGGTGTTAACACAGATGCCACTTGGAGCCCGTGACTCCTTTGGGAATTCGTTCCCTACTTGGTCTGGAGCTGGAGCTGGAGCCAGTGCTCTGGAGCTGGGTCGTCTGCAGCAGAAGGCAGACCTAGCCCCGCTGCCCATTCTCCCCTGCAGTGCTGGATGTGAACGACGAGATGCCCACCTTCTTCCCAGCCGTGTACAACGTGTCCGTGTCCGAGGACGTGCCGCGCGAGTTCCGGGTGGTCTGGCTGAACTGCACGGACAACGACGTGGGCCTCAATGCCGAGCTCAGTTACTTCATCACAGGTGCCGCCTGCCGGGGCCCTACCCACCCCTCCCAGATAGACAGCCAGGCCAGGTGCGGGTCAGGTGAGGGTGGAAAAGAGGCCAGGGCTCCACCACTGTGCTTCCGCCCTGCCGATGCCTCCCTGAGGGTTTGCTCCTGGCCCTTCCCAAGGGCTCTGCAGCTGGATCACTCTGCACTGGCTCCCTGGGGACCTCCTGAACATGTTGGTTGTAAGAAGGGGGAGGGTCTACTAAGGTTCATTCTGGAGAGAGGTGGGGCCCCATGATTCCTAGGGTGAGCCCTGAGCCCCACACCCCGCCCCGAGTCTGGGTGACAGAGCAGTAACTGGAGAAGTGTGACCTTGTCCTTCCTCAGGGACCTGTTCCTCAGGAGAATTCCCATCTGTTTAGAGGCAGTGGTTTCCATCTCCCTAAATGCAATGGTTTTAGCTCAAAATTGTTGCCTAGCTGTCACCTGGAGAGCTGTGGCCACAGATGATGAGGCTGTGTCCTGGCTCACAGGGGAAAGAGGGCCGCAGTGGATTAGTGATGTCTGCCACGGTGGGAGGATTGGTAGGTGGTGGCACACATGCCTTGGACTTGCCATTCCTGGATGAGAACAGCTTCTCAGCCTCCCTGACACACATGAGAGGTGCCGGGACACATGGAGGCACAGTCTTCCCCGTTCTTCAACCCCCCTTGGCTCTTTTACCAGCTCAGTCTTCTCTCTGTCCAGGACCTGCCTACCAACACACATGTTGCCTAGGCATCTGTGCTTCTGTACACATGGGCAGGGCACATACCAGCCTCCCGGATGCCTCCCCATGAAGCAAGAAGCCTGGCTCACAGCCCGCCCATGGCTTTTGCTGTGGTCAATGTGGCCTCCCAGCCCTCAGCCTGTACTTTCCTCCCTCGCCTCCCTGAAGGGGCCCAGCACCCTCACGGTCTGGCCCTCAAGTAGGCCTGAGGGAGGGCTTAGTAACAGGATCAGGAGGCTTTCCCCAGGGGCAAACCAGCAAGGACAGGAGCACCTGGCAGTCTGCAGGATGACTCTTCAGCACCCCAAAGTGGCGGGCTCCTGCTGACCTGCCCAGAGCCCTCCCGGATTTTCCGTGTGCATTCTGCAAGGAGCTGAGCCCAGTCCTGCCCAAGCTCACCACAAAGCTGGTGCCGTGGTGCCCTCTGCTGCCCAGAATGCCACACTGCTTGCCAGCTGGTAGGGGAGGGGTCTCCACACTTATGCGAGTTCTTCCTGGCTCCCATCCACCCCAAGAGGAGACCCTCACGCTTCCCACCTGTCAGAGAACTCAGGGAGACTCAGTAATTCCTGTCTCCTGTGCAGCTGCCTTGACTCCCGCCTCTGTGGAGCCTCCATGTCCCCACTCAGGGAGCTTCAGTCCTCAGCCCATCTCACCTCCAAGATGAGGGATGTGGGGGACGCCCAGCCAATCCCAGAGTCCTCAGCCACATATACAAGCCCCTATGCTGGTTAGTGGCTCATACGCTTCTACAGGACAGGCAGGGAGTGGAGGGGTGAAGGACACACCCAGGGACCCGGGCACGGAGAACCCAGAGCAGCAGAGGCATGCCATGGAGCAGTGGGTTCTCCTCTGTAAAGTGGAGGCTGAAGGATATGGTCTGTGTGGAGTGCCTGTACACAGGAGGCGCTCCGTGAAGGGTGGGCACTTATTCCAGGCATCTGGCACCCCCACTGAGCCCACCTAAGCTGCACCCGCATCAGAGCGCCTCAGGCAGGGCTGAGTCGACAGCACAGCCTCCCACTCCTGGACTCACCATGGCGGGTCCCAGCTCAGGAGCAGAGCCCCCTCTTTCCCTGGCTGGGAGCTCTGTTTCCCAGCCCAAAGCTTCCTGTCCTTCACCCACAGGTGGCAACTTGGATGGGAAGTTCAGCGTGGGTTACCGCGATGCCGTTGTGAGAACCGTGGTGAGCCTGGACCGGGAGACCACAGCCACCTACATGCTCATCCTGGAGGCCATCGGTACGCACCAGCCCCGCACCCACCAACGCGGTGATCTGGGCAAAGTTCACATGGGGTGCCTCCCAGGAGCAGGCCTTTTGCTAAAGGCTGAACTCTGCCCTGGTGCCAGTGGAGATAGGGCACCAGACACTCACTAAACATTACTGCCGGGCGTGAGGCTCCCTGCTCGGTGCTACATGCAAGACGCTAGGATGGTAAGGTGGGAGCTGCCTAGGAGACCCACGTGTAGACAAATCACTGCAAATCCAGGCAAGCCAGCAGGAAGGGAAAAGAATGACATAAGAGCATCAGGCACAAAGAGTGGTGCAAACACAGAGGGGAGAGGTCATGGGAGGCTTCCTGGAGGAATCAGCATCTGGGAGTGCCTTTGAGTCAGTTAGGTCTCCTTCAGTTGCAAATTTTAAAATAAAATAAGCTGACTTCAGCAATATGGGCTCACAAAACCAGTCCACTGGGAGATGTAGCTTCAGGTATGACTGGGTTCAGGGCTCAGGTGACACCTCAGGCTTCAGTCTCTGCATTGGCTGGCGCTGCCTCCTGTGTGTTGATGTGTTAGTCCGTTTTCATGCTGCTGCTGAAGACATACCTTAGACTGGGTAATTTATATAGGAAAAAGGGTTTAATTGGACTTACAGTTCCACGTGGCTGGGGAAGCCTCACAATCATGGCAGAAGGCAAGGAGGAGCAAGTCCCATCTTACGTGGATGGCAGCAGGCAGAGAATGAGGAAGACGTAAAGGCAGACACCCCTGATAAAACCATCAGATCTCATGAGACTTACTCACTACCACAGGAACAGTATGGGGAAAACCGCCCCATGATTCAAGTCTCTCCCACTGGCTCCCTCCCATAACACGTGGGAATTATGGGCGTACAATTCAAGATGACATCTGGGTGGGGACACAGCCAAACCATATCAGTTGGCTTTATTCTTCAGCTCACACGGTGGCAGGTCATTGCCCCAGCCTCACCTATACATATTCTCAGGTTCAAGTGCAGCAACAGGGAAGACACCACCTGTCTCTTTCCTGCCCTGGCAGAAGTCCTCAAATCAGGTCTAGGTAGATCCATTCTGCCCCAGTGCCCATCCCTGAACCCCTCACTGTGGCCAGGGAAGTGAGATGTGCTGGTTACTTAGACCTAAGTCACATGCCCATCCCTGGAGCTGGGGGCCTTCCCACCTACCCAGCATCCCAGGCCTCAGAGCCTGGAAGGGAGAGTCCTCAGGGGACAGTCAGGGCATGGTCTTCCCAGGGGAGCACAGGCCAGTGCTGATGGGCAGAAACGAAGGGTGCCCACTGCAGCCTTGGAGGCCATATAAGGTTTCATTTAAGTACCTGGAGAAGCAGGGAGGGCATTTCTGGCAGAGGCACCAGCCCTTGCAAGGGGCTGGAGGTGGGAAAGCGCCCTGCGTACACAAGCACGCGTGCACACGCAGCAGCTGGCCTATGGAGTGGCCCACGCTGCGGAAGGGGAGGCTGTGATCAGGCAGGGCCATGTCGTGGTGGCCTAAATGTTGGCCCAGAAATTTGGTCTTTGGTCTCTGGGCATCAGGGAGCCCTTGAGGGCCCCAGAGAGGAAGAAGGGCATGATAAGGCCTGTGCCCCCAGGTGCCCCTGGTCCTTCCAGGAAGTTTGCAGTGAGCTCTGAGTAAGAAGGGAATGAGCTCTCTGGGCCTCATTCTTTCCAACCCTCAGTTCCTTCCCAGCCCACCCATGCCCAGATGCCTCTGCCCTCTCCCCTGCTTTCCTCCCCTCCTGGGATGGCTGCCCACCCTCTGGAGACTTGTCATCACCCCTGAGTCCAGCCTTCACTTTGGGTATTGGCTGGCAGGAGGAGAGGACTTCAGTCAGCCTTCTAGGGAGCCTCCCACACACACACGATCCCAGCCAGAGCAATAAGCCTGCCCCTGAGGGTGGTGGGAGGCTGGCCTGGAGAGGAGCTTTGGAGGGTTGGAAGACCTACCCCCAGTGAGTGACGCCACCGCCACATATGGTCAGCTGCCCTGGGGAAGAAGGACAGAGTCACCCTAGGTCTCCAGGCTACTCCAGCTGCCCGCACTCCTCCCTGGGGTGACCACTCTTGCCTGGACATGCAGCACTGGACACAAGCTCCTTCCTCCAAGGAGAACAACCCAAGAGCTGCCCTGAGGCTAAGCCAGGGCCCCATCCTCCCCACCTCCCCAGCCTCCCCACCTCCTCACCTCCCCAGCCCTGGCAGAGTTCTGCTGGTAACTGGAGGGACAGAGTTTCCAGGTACCTGAGGCTTAGATCCCAAGCAAAGGCCATGTCCCTGAATGCAGAGGGCACGTTTGTTTCACCTATCCAATATTTTATAAAGAATGACCATTCGTTGTGAATATTTTAAAATCAGGAGATTTTATTGACAAGCTCAGAAGTTCAGTTTCTCATGAGCAATCAGGAGATCTGACGTCCCTGGGCCCACATTCTTCCTGTCCGCTGTGGACTGGAGTAGAGGACAACCGCCCATCGAGGGGGCCCACCCAGGCGTTTGACCTGGGTGCTACACCTGCCATTCCTGACAGCAGTGGGCTTTTTGCTCTGAGTGCCTGTATCTGCGTCCTAAATTTGCCATGACAAACTACCAAAAACATGGTGTCTTAAACAACAGAAGTGTATTCTCTCTTGTTTCTGGAGGCTGAAGGCTAGAAATTAAACTGTGGGCAGGGTCATGCTTCCTCCAGAGGCTCTGGCGAGAATCGGTCCTTGACTGCTAGTTTCTGGAGTCGAGAGGCGTTCCGTGGCTTGTGGCAGCTTCAGTCCCGCCTCTGCCTCCATCTGCACACAGCCTCCTCTCTCTCAAACCTCCCTCTGCCTTTCTCTCATAAGGACCCTTGCCATTGGATTTGTGGGCCACCCAGATCATCCAGGGTGATCAAGTCTCAAGATCCCTATGTCATTACATTTTCAAAGGCCCCTTTCCAAATAAATTAACCTTCACAGCTTCCCAGGGATTTAACGTGGGTCTGACTTTTTTGGGAGCCATCATTCAATCCACTTGAGTGCCTCAGTTACCTCCTCTGTAAAATGGGGATGACAGTAATGGTGCCTGCTTCATGGGTCTGCTATGAGGACCGAAGGGGTTGGAAGAATGCCTGGCACATGGTGTTATCTAAGCATCAGATACTGTTAGTGGTATTCCTAAGCTAAAAAGGAAGTCGGCTTTGCAAAGGCTAAGGCGGGTGGGGCAGAACAGAGCACCTCTCTGGCTGATGCCCGGGAGTGTGCAAAGGCGCAGGAAGTGTGCCCCCGTCTCAGACAGCTGCTAACACCTGTCCTCCTTCAACTCCCGCAGACAACGGCCCTGTAGGGAAGCGGCACACAGGCACGGCCACTGTGTTCGTCACGGTCCTGGATGTGAATGACAACCGGCCCATCTTTCTGCAGAGCAGCTATGAGGCCAGTGTCCCCGAGGACATCCCCGAAGGCCACAGCATCGCACAGGCAGGTGGCCCATGGTCCCTGGGGCAGGTGGTGGGCGGGGAAGAGGTGGAGCCACACACAGCCCTGAGGGCATATGCTCAGTGGCACCAGGGGCAGAACCAGGCAAGTACCCAGGGTGGGTCTGCTGCTCTGGAAGGTGCTGTGGGAAAAGGGGAACCCAGGCCCCCTCCCATACCAGGGAGTGTAGACCCCCCAGGTTGCAGAGCTAAGGACAGGGCTCTGGCTCCCCACAGACAGACAGAAGTCTTGGCCTCCCCCTCCACATCTCCCACCCCACCCAGAAGGGCCTTTCGGAGTAGGGGGGAGAAGGAGATGTCACAATTTCCCGGAAAGGAGTTGAGGAGCGAGCCAGGGACCAGCAAGGCCCAGAACAGAGCTGCTTTCACAGCGCCCTTGGCTGAGGCTTCTCTCTCGGGAAGTAAACAGGCCCAAGAAGAAAGGGCTCCTTTGCCCAGGGAGCAGGCACAACAGCCCCGAGGCTCAGAGGGAGAGAGGGGAGGACCCTGAAAACGATCTAGGTGCCCCCCCCACCCCTGCCCAGAGGCCTCAGTTGCTGGGTGGGGAGGGAGGCCCGGAATGAATGAGTCTCTTTACCAGCTATGGGGTTTCAAACTAGGAGGCTGAGCCAAATAGCGAATCTGGGCCTGCCCATCGGGGCAGGCTCCCGAGCTTGGGAGGGGCAGAAGCGTGGGAGGCTGGCAATGCTGGCCTCCCTGCATTGGGACCAGGAGGCGGGCAGGAAAGGGCTGGGGAGCAGGGAGCTGACTCCGAGAAACACAGAGAGCCAGAAAGCCCTGGGGATTTGAGAGTGTGGTGGCTAGCTCCAGAATGAGGAAGGAGAGGGTTCTCTCGATCAGGGCCTCAGCTGGTGAGGACTTGGAGCATACCCCCCTGGCCTGGCACCTGAAACCCAAGTGAGAGCCCCTCCTGCTCCTGGGCTTTTCCTTCTTCAGGCCTCTAGGCAGCCTCATCCCCTACCCCAACCTCCAGGAAGAGAGTGCTAGTGGCAAGCAGGGCCTGCTGGTGGGGTGGATGGCTGCAGGCTGAATCCAGCCTGGGATAGCAGGGAGGCCCCAGGGGAAGCAAACCAGGAAGAGATTACTGAGCCAGAAGGGAGGAAGGGACAAAACCCTGAGGGAGGAGGCCTGCCCCACTTTCTAAACCCAAAGAATCGGGTTCTGTTTACACAATACTACTCATACTGAAATCCTCGAGCTGGCGAGTTAATATAGGGCAGCGCTGATTTCTCCCCTTTCTCAGGGAGAAATGCAGTCTCAGGATGACTTCTCCAAGGCCCTCTAAGTTTCTTGTAAAGCTGGACTCACTTTTTGGGATCAGATTGGCTTGGAAAGAAGTAGGCTTTTCCAACAGGGCCTGCTTGGAGAGAAATCTATCTAGGGGCATCTCCGAGAAGATGAGGCTCTGTGTTGTACCAGCTCCTGCCAGACTCCTGCCTGAGAGGGCGGGGACACCCCCGGCTGGGCCGCTCTTCCCTCTGTACACAGAGGCCTCATACTTCTGTGCACAGAACTGGGGAGTCAAAGTGAGGGGTTGGACGAGGGCTGGCCCTCTGCAAGCTCCCGGGCTGGCAGGAAAGCGAAGACATAGACAGGAAGGACTCACGCTGCCAAGAGAATGCTCCTTGTCCTCCCCAGGAGAGGTGGGAGAGAGCGGGGGTGGGTCCAGGCAGGAGGGCTTCACAGAGTGGGTGTGTGTGAAGCCTAAGCCACAGTCAGGGGTGACAGGTCATTCAGTGTTCCCGGAGTTTTGGATCAAGATGACGCTAGAAAGATTTGTTGGAGCCTGATGGCAGAGGGCACTGCGCCCTGGGCTGGGGAGCTTTGGCTGTATCCATTTGATGTTAGGGAGCCAGTGAAGGTTTTGGAGCTGCAGACTGGCAAGCCAGAGCTCACTCGCTGGGAAGGCTTGGCTGGCTGCACCCCTTTCCCAGAAAGGAGTTGAGGAGAGAGCCAGGGGCAGTTTTGTGGCGGGCTCCTGGTCAGCTGACTGTGACAGGAGTGGGGCGGCCCAAGTCCTCCCTCTGCCCACCCTTCAAATTTGGGACCTGACCAAAGTGTTTCACCTTGGCCTTGTCGGGAGAGGTCAAGCAAGGGTTTGGGATTCTGAGAAGCCATCCTGGGGTGGGACTGCTTTGACAGGTAGTCAGCATAGCACTCACCAAAAACACAGACAGCATCCCTAAGTGTGGGCCGGGCCTGGGGCCCCACAGCTGTCCTGGAGAGGTCTGGACCATCCCACCCTCGGGGACGCTGCCTCTTTCCCTGGGTGAGGTGTGGCGCCGCTGTGAGCTGTCCTCCTCTGAGCCCTGGTGGCTTCACCTCCAGCTGCTGGCAGTGCCCTGCCTCTTGATGCTCTGTCACAGCACCCGCCCTGGCCTCTGAAGGGAGTCTCCTCACCCATCCTCAGTTCCTTCCTGATTGATCCCAACTGGACTTAGGGAGTGTCCGGAAGAGGGGCCACGAAGACAGCTGCCAAGACTGTGCTTGGAGAGCCCCCGTTTGCCCCTCTTCCCAGCCAGGGCCCAGGCATTGGATCCCAGGAGGGAGGCAGCTGCCCACACAGGGCACCAGGCAGATGCTGGCAGTGCCCAGAAAGCCCAAGGAAGGGAGCCTTGGGGTGTTGCCGCAGCACTGGGCCGGCACAGATAGCAGGACAGTACCTTGGCTCCGGTGGAGGCTGAGCATTTCACTCGGCCAAAGGGAACCTTTGCCATTCGGCCACTTCTGCAAGCTGGGCTTTGGCACCTGGAGGGCAAGGCTTCCGTGGGGAGCAAGGGTGCTGCTTCCAGGAGGTGGTGATGAGCCCCAGGTTGTCCCCTGTGGAGCCTCAAGCCAAAGACCCCAGATGGCCACAAGTGCTCATCTCATGACCGGAAATCTTCAGCAAGCAGCAGCTAGGGAGTCTGCAGAGAGGAAGGTGCTCTTCCGAGGACCATCTCTGGGAAAAGGCACTGGCCTGGGCCTGCAGGGAGCTTCTTGGGGGGAGGTGGCCCAGGCTGCTTGGGCCACTGTCTTCCTGCAGCCTGCAACCCCAGTCTCTGTCTGAGGCGGGAGGCTCTGCAGGACCTAGGGGGTCGTGGGGGCATGCGTGTGGACAACCCGTCACATCTTGGTCGATTCGGTGCAGTCACAGTCGCCGTGGCTGTCACCGGGGCCTGGCAGGGGCTGTTGAGGGGCGCAGGGCCGGCCACGACGGAAGCTGTGCAGGGAGAGGCGCAGCGAGCCCAGGCGCTTCCAGAGCCGGAGCTGGGGCTCACTGGGGCTCCCGGGGTGGTGGGGCATGCACTCACGAGCCCTGCGGCAGCTCGGGTCCAGTGCTGCTGGCTTACAGAGTGTCATGAACAGCAGACAGGTGGCCAGCAGGAGGAAGATGCAGGCCAGGGCGATGAGCACGGGGAGGGGGCCGATTGCCTCTGCAAGGGTCCCGGGAGTGACGGGAGCTGAGAGAAAGGCGAGGGGGCTGATGGCTGAGGAGCTGGCGAGGCTGGGGCCCTTTGTGCTCATGGCTCCTGAAACAGCAACAGGACAGAAGCTGAAAGGCAGATCAGCTGGACCCAGGGCAGCAGGTACAGGGGAGACTCACCTAGGGAACATGGATGGGGGCGAGGCACTGTAAAACTGGACAGCATCATGGCCACATAACAGGTTAGGACAACGAAGCCCAGAGACATGACAAGTCTAGGTGCACACACAGCTGAGCAGTGATGGAGCTGGGCCCAGGCTCAGGCCCTCTTCCTGCTCCACCCCCGGCCCATCGGCCAGAAAGGTAAGAGGGTGGTGCCTGTCCGCATCTCCAAATCAATCCTCATGAATCACCATAGGGTCTTAGGCCTGCAAACCTGGGACCAACTCCATCAATAACTTGCTCTGTGGCCAGGAGCAAGTTATGGATGATAGGAGGCTGCAGCTGCCAGGGACCCTAGCAGTTAGCTCATGCCGAGGCTGCAAACTGGGGCCCACTGGTGTGTTTCGTTGGGCCCTTGCTGTGTTTTCATAAATTTAATTGTGAATATTTTCAGAATAATAACAGATTTCACAAAAATATCTGGATGCCTGACTTCTCTTGAAATGTCAGAATTTCACCATTGGCACTGGCCCACATTCCTGCCTCATATCTGTGTCTGGGGCTGAGCGGCTGCTGCCCGCCCCGTAGACAGGGGACCGACCTACAGCTCCGTGCACTCCCTCACAGGTCCACCACACACTTTATTTCACCTGCCTGGCCCTGTGGGGATTCCTGTGGCTGCTTCCCAATGCAGTCCAACTTGCTCCCATGGCAGGTAGGGAAACTGAGGCCCAAAGAGGGGATTTGGCATTAGGGAGCCAGTGAAGGTTTTAGAGCCGGGGAGTGACAAGCTGGAGCTCACTCCTTGGGAAGACGTGGCTGGCTGCATTGTGGGTCACAGCAGGGTGGGGTGGGCCAGCTTGGTGCTGGGAAGGCCAAGGCCACACTATGAGCCAGTGGCCAAGTAAAGGCCAAAAGCACGTCTCCTGACACCTGGCCCCATGGCCTTGCCACCCCTCTGGCCCCTAGCCGTTTCTGGGCTCGGTCAGCTGCTCCAGGAACAGGTGGGAAATAAACCCACAGGGGGTTGACAAATGGAGCTGGAACCTCCCGGTCAGGGACATTATGCACCTGACAGGGCATTTCCATTCCTCCTGAAGATTATCCCGTGAGACATAATGCAGCAGGTGTCCCTGTCGATGGAAAACCAGGCTAAGCTTTTGGCTCAGTATGTGTGGGGTTGCGATAAAAATGCTCACAGAGCCTGGCCAGGAGATAGAGGATGACCAGAAGGGACACGAAGGAGCCGAGACACCTGGAGAGCAGTGGCTGGGCCCTCTCGAGGAAGTGGAGGGGCCTCAGCCCAGACCAATAGTGCCAGTGCCAAGTACAGGCCCAGTGTGGTCAGCTCTGTCAATTTCCCAGGAGAAGCCGGAAATACGGATTTTTTTTTTTTTTAGGCAAACATTCTAGACGTTTAAATATTGGTAACAAATTCAAATTTGTTTAAGGAAAGAAAAGAGCAGTGGGGTGGGGGAGAACACAGCGAAGGCCAAACAAACTTGATTTCAAAATAATGTGAAATTGATTTTCAAATATTTGAAACACTAGACCGGCCAAAGAAAACCCATAAGCAGAGGACGTCCAGCTTGCAGGTCAGCACATGTGATGTTTCAATTCTACTAACACGGACCAGAAATCCCAGGGGTTCTGATAAAAAAAAATCCTGATTTCCGTTTGACTTGGGGGTCTTTCCTTTTCGTGAGGCTGGGGGATGGCAGATTTTCCTCCTTCCCAGCTTGCGGCTTAGGTAACAGTCCAATTTCTAGCACAGAAGCTCAGGAGGAGGAAAAGCCTCAGGACACACCCAGGCTCTGCATGTAGGCTGCAGAAAAACCCTGCCACAGGTAGTGGGGAGGGGAGCGGGCCACCCAGTCCCCCACCCGAGGGACTCCTGTCCCTGCCCCAAGCACTCACCAGCAGCCGCAGGACCTGACTCCTGGCTCTCCGCGCCCAGCCGACTGAGGGCATGCAGAGCAGCCCACCTCCCACCCACTCCCCACCACCACCCCTCCCAGTACTTCCAGGCAGAAAACGACCCCTCCCAGCGCCCAGCTGGAAAGTGTGATGCCCGTCTAGCTGCCCAGGGCCTCCGCCTTTGCAGCATCAGTCCTTGGGAGCACTCTGGCTGGGCAGCTGTGCATGGGTTGGCCTTCCCTTGAGTCTGAGCAGGGAGGAGGGATGGGGTGTGCCCACTGCCCACTCCCATGGGGAGAAAATCAGCCATCCCTCTACGCTACCCTGGGCAATCCTTGGCCAGGAGTAAGAAAAGGGCAGTCTGAAATGGGAGATGCCTCAGTCCTACTAGTTCTAACATTATTTCAAGGCCTTCAAAGGAATCTGGAGACCCTATTGGGCTAGCAAAGAGCATCCAGGCTTCAGGCCTTGGGATCTGCTTTAATAAAAAGATAAGTGAGGCCAGGCGTGTTAGCTCATGCCAGTAATCCCAGCACTTTGGGAGGCCAAGATGGGAGGATCACTTGAGCCCAGGAGTTTAAGAACAGCCTGGGCAGCATATGAGACCTCATTTCTTTAAAAAAAAAAAAAAAAAAAAAAAGGTAGCCAGGTATTGCAGTATGTGCCTATGGCCCCAGCTACTCAGGGGCTGAGGCAGAAAGATCATTTGAGCCCAAAAGTTTGAGGCTGCAGTGAGCTATGATCACACCATGCACTACAGCCAGCAACAGAGAAACACTGTGTCTCAAAAAAAAAAAAGGATAAATGGAATTGGAATTAGCATCTGAGTTGTTCCTGTGGCAACGTGAGATTCCTAAGTGCTTGAAAACAACACAACACCCTTCCCAGAGCACAAGGCAAGTCCAGCTATCAGGCCCCTTGACACCCCCTACTGACTCACCAGCAAAGGCCAGCTAGTGCTGGGAGAGGGCGTCTTGCCTAGACCAAGCCAGGAATCATCTGGAGGGCAGTTGAAGCCGCTCCCTTCCCACGGGGGCCAGGGTGCGCCGGCAGGCCCTGCTCTGGACATACCTCTGCAAGCTCATTCGAGAACCTTCCTTTTCCCTTAGAGTGCCAGAGAGCAGGCCCTGCTATGGGCAGAGAGGACTGCTGTGTGGCCTCGGACTGGTCCCTACCCCTTACTGGTCCTTGCTTCCCCTCTCTACAGAACCAGAGGACTGCCCAGGTCTGAGCACAGCCTCGCGTTCTCCCAGGAGTCCCCCAGCCAGGGTTCCCACCACTCGTCCCTCTCCAAGCCTTCTCCTGTAGTTCCCCAAGCACTGACCTCAGAGCCAGCCCCCAGCCATCCGGAGCTCCGTAGAGAGGTCTTCTCAGCTGTGCAAGGGAGGCCCGAGGAGCCTGTGACCCCAGCCGTGCCGGGGCTCTGCTGTGCCCTGCAGCCCTCGGTCAGCCTGGCCGGCCGAGTAGCCTCCCCGTCACTCCCCAGCTGGACCTGGCTTTGTCTGGAAGAGTTGGGGCCCTGTCTTGGGGGAGGCGATAGCTAAGGGAGTAGGGATGGCAGCTGGGTTGGGAAGAGGGAGAGGGGAGCTGTCCAGAGGTGCAGGGCTGCCCCCCAGCCTTCCCACTGCCTCGCTCCAGCCTGTCTCCTCAGAGCCCTCTCAGGGGTGGGGGGGCTCGGGAGACGCAGGGGGAGGGTTTCACTGCCTCTGCCTTCCCGTGGCGCTCACCTTCCCCTGTTGGAAGTTTGAATGGTATGGTCGGCGGCAGCCAGCGGGTCACTATTCAGTGCCTGCCAGCCGACAGGTTACCCGGGAGAGGGGCTACAAACCGCGATGGGAGGGGAGCAGGCAGAGTGCTGGGCCCTGGCAGCCCCTGAGGCTGCCTCCTGCAGCGTCCCTGGGCCCCGCTCCTTCCAGGCTTTTCCCTCAGCTTCTAGAAAAGCACCTTCCTTTTGAAGGTGTCTGGCTACAGAGGCGAGGGGTGAGAGGCATCTTCAAAGGTCAGGGGGATCCCAGGGCAGAAAGCACAGGACTGAGGTACCGCCAAGGCCATGCTCCCCACAGTCCGGGGGGCCACGGAGAGACCGCCACTGGGGGCTCTTTCCAACCCCCGCCCCCTCGCCCCCCCCACCCCCCGCCCCCCACTCCCCCACCCCCCGCTACACACACACACTTCCCTAGCCTTCTTTCTTCCCGGAAACCAGAGCTTCCCTGGCAACCAACTGCCTGCTTAGGAGCCCAGGTCTTCAGCAGCCTCCCCACCAGGGACCTCCAAGCTCCCAGAAGTGCAACTCAAGATGGGAGTCATGGCTTTGCCCAAGACCTGAGCCTCGAACCCATTCCCTTTGTTGAATCCCCAGTTTCTGGTTTTTGGCTTTTCCCTCCTGCCCTTGCTCACAAAAAGACACTGTCTGCCAACCCCAAAAGGGACAGGAGCTTTCCTATGTGCTATTAAAGCTGGAGAGATCCTCAGGGTTATCTGACTCAGCCCCCTCTTCTCTCAGATGACCAAACTGGGGCCCAGAGAGGTGTGACCTGCCCAGGGACACCCAGCAAGTGAGTGTTGGGGGCCTTGGTGTTTCCTCTCTGCCACGTGGGCAGGGGCAGGCAGTAGGCATCCAGTGTCGGCACAGCATCTGGCCCAAAGGCATCCCCAATGCCCAGAGCCCCCACTGGAATTCCTGCGCCTTCCGTCACAGCCTTTGCTCCCCTCATTTTCCTTAACTTCCTCTTCTGAAACCAGCCGAACCCTTCATCTGTGGCCCCCGTTCCTCCTGAGATGGCAGGAGGCAAAGCTTTCAGGATGGTGCAGGCTGCTGGGGCAGGGGGGTGTCGAGGAAATCTCGCCATGGATAGACACGCAAGGGTGTGCTCTGGGCAGTGTGCCCTCTTCCCTGTCCTGAGCCTTTCTAGATCTGGATAGCTGAAGCACCCCGTTACCTCCCTCCACCTTCCAGCTCCTCAGATTTCTCGGGGAATGGGGAGAGAAAGAACCGCATGGCAAGTGGCAACTCAGTCATCCCCAACTCTGGCATAAATCAAGAGGGCTTCCTGGAGAAGGTGGCATCACTCATGTCAACCTTCACTACCCATCCCTGTGCCAGGTACCAGCCAAGATGCTTAGCAGGATGACTTCTGATCTTCCCCTCAACCCTGTGTCATCATTGTGCACAGTCTAGCAATGAGGAAACTGAGGCCCCAGGGGGCTAAAGTACTTATCCATGGTGCCACAGAGAGTAAGTGACAAAGCCTAAATTCACGCTTGGGCGCGCCTGACCCAGAGCCTTTGTTCCTTTTGCTCCAACATATTTGTCCTCCTCCCCACCATCAGCGTGCTCGTCAGAGTCTTTAGACATGCTTACCATAGTGCCCGGGTGTCTGTTGAGTCCGGCCAGGCCAGCACCTGCTGCAGGCTCCTCGCTGTCCCTCCACACCGTCCCTCTGTGCTCCCCGTTCTGCGAAGGCATCAGTGCTGCTGATTGAGGCCGTCATTCCACTCTTCAGCCACAGCCCTCTGCTGTCCCTGCATGAGCCCTTCATTCCAGACTGGGGTCCCGGTTCCTTCCTCGGTCTCCCCAGCCACCTCTACCTCAGCTCACACTGTTTCCCGGCACGAATGTTCTTCCCTCTCTGCTAAGCTAGGTTCTTCCCATCCTTCCAAACCCAGCTCCCTGCTTTGGAAACGTTCAGCCAATCCCGCCCTCACTGCTTGCTTTGCTAGCCGGAACCCATCCCCATCATCTCTGCTGTTTTGTCCAGTGAGCAAAGATAGGAAAGTCTGTATTAGGGCTTTGGGTGACAAGGAAAAAAAAATCCATTCTGTATTATCTTAGACAGGGCCAGACATGGTGGCTGATGCCTGTAATCCCAGCACTTTGGGAAGCCAAGGCAGGAGGATTGCTTGAGCCCAGGAGTTTGAGACCAGCCTGGGCAATATAGCAAGACCCCATCTTTACCAAAAAAAACTAATAATAACCTAGGCAAAAGGAGAAGTGAACTGGAGCAATACTGGATACCCCACAGGTTCAAAGGAAAAGTCCAACAGGGAGCAAGGCAGAGCTGGGGTCCTGGAATAACTGGGCCCAGGGAAGCAGTGCTGGGTGTTGCATGAGCCCTTCATTCCTGCTCACTGAGTGTTCCCTACTTCCTCTCCCTGGAGCTCTGCATCTAAGTCGCTCACATATTTGACCCTACTGTGTGCTAGGATTGTTGTTCCAGAGACCAGGGATATGGCAGTGCACAAAGCCCTTTCTTCCTGTGGAGATACAGGCGATAAACAAAGGTAGAGCGTATCAGAGTGTGACGGGGGTAGGGAAGGCCAGGACATTGGAGCAGGGGCTGTAACTCCATATGCAGTCCTCAGGGAGGGTCTTAGGAGAAGATATTTGATCAAAGACCTGAGGGAGATGAGGGCATGAGCACACAAATATCTGGAGGGAGAGCTTGCTGGGAAACAAACAGTGCGGAAGCCGAGAGCCCAGCACACGCCTGGTGTTCAAGCAGCAGCCAGGAGACCAGTGAGCTAGGGCAGTCAGGAGGAAAGAGTGGTGGGAGGTGGGGCCCGGGGGTGTGCAGGAGAGGGCGGTTGATATTCCCACATCTTACTGCTAGAAAGACCGACTCACTCTCTCCGGACCCAAGGTCAGCAATCCCAGAGAAGGATGCGATTGGCTCAGCTTGGATCAGGCACCCAGTCCTGGACCAATTCCCTCTGGCCATCTTGGCGGGGTCAGGAAGAACACGGCAGCTTCTGTGCATACCGCAGGGCTGAAGTGAGAGGTGGTGAGACAAGGAGGGGCAGACCCAGAAGAATTGGGAGAACCCAGGGCCTTACTAAGCAGTTCACCACGGATCCATCAGGACCACATGTCATGGGAGGCTCCCCGCCTCTCTCCACACTGCCCGGCGGGTGTTTGTTCTCCGCCTGCTTCGGATGGGCAGTGGGTAAAGTAGGTATTCAGTTCTGGGCTTGACAGGACTCACGCTGGGGTCAGCTATAGTTCTGCCAGTAGCCTCAAGGCTGAACTTCTTGTACAAAGGGCTGAGCACTAGGCAGTGTCTCAGAGTGACAACGACATCCCCCGCACACAAGCCCCACCAGAGACGATGCATAAACACATAAGCCTGAGGCGCAGCCACACCTACTGGGCCGGTCTGAAGCTAGACCGGGGTGATCGAGTGTGTGAATGAACACGGGGCCGTCATTTGGGAGGAGGGCTCCTGGGCTTCCATGAAGTGACTGTTACGTGTACAGTGTCGGGCCGGGACCCAGTGTGGCTAGAATAGCTTCAGGCCAAGGAAATTCGGGCAGGAGGCAACCATGCAGTCCAGTCATCATGGGAGAGGCTCCTGGGCTCGGAAAGCCTGCCAGGTAGGGAGCGTGGAGGATGGGACAGCCGGAGTGAACCTGGACCTAGCGAGCTGCGGTGCCATGTTTCACCTTCTTCTCCGTCCTCCTTGTGAACCTGGAGAGGGATTGGGGCAGAGCTGGCACTGGACAGGACCGCAGGGGCCATCAGCAGTTGGACATCCTCATGGGGACGAGACACACACGTCCCCTTGTCTCCCACATCCCCAGCCTCTGTGGGAGACCGCAGGTTTTGGCAGGATGGGGTCAGATGTGTGAAGGGAAGGGAAGGGCTCCAAAAACCTCTCCTCCCGCTGCTGGGTGGGAGTCAAGAAGTAACTCCAGTGTCTCCTTCTCCCTCAGCTGAAAGCCACGGACGCGGATGAAGGCGAGTTTGGGCGTGTATGGTACCGCATCCTCCATGGTAAGTGGGGCTACCCTAGGATGGGGGGCGGCCCTCCTGCCCGGGGGAGAGCAGAGCTTCTCTAGGCTGCCAAAGGTCGGGGAGATGAGGCCAAGGAAACCCCCAGGACTGTACACATGGGCGAGGCCAGAGGGAGGAAACAGGGACATTCTCCAGTATTCACACCAGGTGGCTGAGGGGGCGGCTTTTGATTCCCGTGTTCCTGACGTCCCTGGTGTCCTGCAGAGCTTCCCAAAGCCATGGCCCTGACAGAGAGGGCCCTAGCAACCCCCAGCAGCATGCTCCTTCAGGACTGGGTCCCATTGGTTCAACCAGAATCTGGTGCCCGTCCCTAAAGCAATCACTATGGCCAGAGAAAAAAATATGCTGATCCACCCACTTCTTGAATCGGGGGTAAAGTCACTGCCCACAGATGTTATGGACTGAGTGTAGAGGAGAGTGCATCCCCGAAGGAAAATCAGGGTGCTGTGCCCAGAAGACGGGGGAGTGAGTGCTGGACCAGCCCAGAGACGTCCACTGAGTCCTGGATCCAGCCACTCATGGAGAATTTGGTTCAGCCACTCTTTTTGGAGTGCCCCGGGTTCTTCTGAAATATTAGCAAGGCCTCACACCGCCCACATCTGTGGGTGTAGGGGTCAAGGAAGACCCCAGCCTCCCCACAAGGAGGGAACAGGTGCACTTCTGCCCCCAACCAAGGGAAGCCAGCACAGCAGGAGACTTCTGGGCAGGGTTGGTGTTCCAGGGGCTCTGTCCCTCCACACAGGTAACCAGGGCAACAACTTCCGGATCCACGTCAGCAACGGGCTCCTGATGCGAGGGCCCCGGCCCCTGGACCGGGAGCAGAACTCATCCCACGTGCTAACAGTGGAGGCCTACAACCACGACCTGGGCCCCATGCGGAGCTCCGTCAGGGTGAGGCTAGGGGCGGGCTAGGGTGCCGAACTCAAGACAGGGCCAAGCCCACAGCTAGAACAGAGAAGGCCATTTGTTGGCACCTGGTGCGGGCAGGGCCACCACTGGTTTAAGTGCAGAATGACATCTGAGGCTAAGGGTTTGGTGACAGGTGCCCAGCCTGGGACTTGGACTTGTCATTTTGCTCTGAGCCTGTTCCTCCAGCTGTGGAAAGGAGGCAGTGATACTGATGTCTGTCCCAAGGGAGGAGAGAGGGGTCCTTGCTGTACTCATCCCTGCATCCACAGAGCTCTCTAGGATAAGTCAAGGAGAACGTACATGGGTGATCTTGGAGGTGCAGATGCTCACCTCATTTTAGCATGAGGAAACTGAGGCACAGAGAAGTTGCTAGTAATAGAATCAGGACTGGAGCCCCCCATCTTCTGAGTCCAAGTTCAGTGCCCTTTCCAAGGGAAGTGACTCTAACATACTCCAGTCACCTCTCCCAGCTGCCCCATCAAATGTATTCTTTTCTGTCCGCCCTTGCCTGTGCAGCCAAAATCAAATCACCCACAGCCCTCCCAAATGGTTGAAAATATACACACACATGTTCCCGCTGGTAGTGTTATATGCAGTACCACCAGCAGCAGGGGGATGACTTAACATGAATGAGATGGCCTCTCAAGGCTGCCTCACCACCCCCACACACACCTCAGCAGCCCCCAGCCCCTTCCCCTAAACCAGTGGGAAGTGAGTCAGACCCTAGACGTCAGGAGTAGGAGGGAGATGGGAAGAGTCAGGCAGAGTAAGCAGGGACTTTTACCCAGAACTGAGCTGGCAGAACCGGCTCCTCTTATCAGCCCCATCTCCACCCCCTGCTTGCCCCAGGCTGGAAACAGTGAGCAGTGGTCACCAGGTACTCAGGATCACAGTCACGATTTCACCGTGATCCCGCAGGGGCTGTGCTGGGGTGGGTGACTCTGCCCTGACCCCCGCTCCTGCTGACACCCCCGCGACTTTGCCCCAGGAAGAGCTGGGAAGAGACACCTGTTACAACTGCCCCGAGTGAGACCTGCCCTTTGGAAATGGCTGAGGGGGTCAGATCCCCTGGTTCTCATAGGGCCCTGGTGACAGAGACTCAGACACCGTGACCTGGACGTGCACACAGCCACGCTGGCCTGCATGACTGTGAATTTCATTCACGGGCTGGTCAGCGTGCCCTATCAGAGCCTGCCTTGCGTGGGGCCCACTTCAGGCCACAGAGTGACTGATGTCAGCAAAGCTGGGGTTAGGTCCCTAGACTTCGGGCTTCCTAACCACAGCCCTCCATGTGGCCCCTTGCTCCCCGCTCCCTCCCCTAGGCATGGTGGGCACCTGCCTCTAGGGTCTGCTCCCATCAGTGCCTCAGCTTCGTGGCTGCAAACCACTTTTAGCTATACACCTTCTGTTTAAACAAAGTGATATGCAGCATCCCAGGGTATGGTATAAAACAGATCGAAGCTAGACTGTGACAATCAGTGCAGGGGTGAGGCTCCCAGAGCCACACCTGCTCAGCTACCTCCCTCCGGCCCCTGTCTCCGTGAACCCTGAGGAATAATAAACTCTCACACGGGCCTGATATTTTTCTAAATGCCTCATGTACTTTAACCCCTGTAACCCATGATAGCCCTATGAAGTAGGCACTGTTAATACTCCCATTTTACAGATGACAAGATCGAGGCAAAGAGGAATTAGCCTACCTGTTCAGGGTCACATAGCTGTAAGGGTAGAACCAGGCTTCATGCCCAGGCAGCCAGCTTGAGCCTGTCCCCTTCCCCAGTACACCCTGCTGCCTCACACAAGCCTCTGCAGAGCCCAGTCAGAAACCATTGACTCATCCCCGCAGTGTAATTTTAAGGTGAGAATTTGTGGGCTGGCCCCTGGGGCAGGAGCTTGGTGGTGCTATAGTATGTAGCCCCTACACCTATGAGCCTCAGGAGAGCTGGGGACCTTGCTGCAGGCAACATGGGGACCCTGGCTTTCCCCTAGACTCATTTCCCCAGAAGCAGGAGAGGCAGCTTGCAGGAGCCATCCACATTCTCCAATTCCTGCAGAGACTGGGGACAGCCCCAGTGAGGAGCAGAGGAGTGCAGAGTGAGACAGTCCCCATAGACACTGGGCGTCTCAGGGTGTACACGGCACATACACATGCACACATGCCCACATACGCACACCTCCTCTCCCTGTCCTCTTCACCACTACACCCCGTTTTACAGATGAGGAAACTGAGGCACAGCACTGGACAGAAAGCCGGTCTAGTTCTCCAGGAAGCCCAATAGCTCCCACTTGCTCAGCAAGAACCTGACAGACCTCTGCTTCCTGTACATCTGTGCCTTTCAAGTTTGCAAACCATCTTGTCTCCTCCTGTCTCTGCTGCTAAAAACAAGACTGAAACCAACCAGAGGATGGTGGCATGTAGCCAGAGTCATGGAGGACAGGCCCTACCCCGGCTCCGCACCACCTCTCATCTTGTCATCGTACTGTCAGCCTGGCCCTGTTTTTTCCCCATAACTCTTGGCGTTGAGGTCATTTGGACAAGCAAATTCAGGAAGGAGAAGGCTCACAGTTTTGAAAGAGGAGGGGTTAGTTTCTGTTGACAGAAAAAGAGTTCCCGAAATTCATCCATGCAAATTCCCCCCTGCACCCACCCTACCCGGGATCTCCCCAGCCAAATTCTGAGTGAAGCCAAATTTAGAAGGTTCCAGGCTGTGAGCAGCTGTGCTCTGGAGTAGACACATTAGTTTGCATAGTGGGTTCTGGGCGTCTGGACACGAAAATTCTAATGATACAGCAGAGCTGTGGTGGCCTAAGAGCAGTGATGCGGAGAAACTGTTACCCCCACATGCCTCTCCGCCCCCAGCCCTGCCACCCCCCACACCCTAGAGTCCTCCACTGGTCAGGTGCTGTTTTCAGCTTCTACCAGCCAGAAGCTCCGTCACTTCTCTCCAGCTGATTCCCAGCTAATCCCCAAAGAGAAAGCAGGGCTGATCCCAGAGGAAGTGACCATATGCCAGACACGCAGACCTCTGCTGCACGTGCCACCAGCCCCTCCCTTGGTGCTGGTGACCACATGCAAAGTCTGCATGGAGTGCCACGGCCCCTTCCCTGTTTGCTCCCCTTTCCACTCTGCTGGCAAATTCCTGCTGGCATTGGCTGTGTGGCTGGGAAGAGGGTACCTCTCCTGTTCTGGGGCAAGCTCACCCCAGCATAGAGCAAAGAGCTAAAAGCTAAAACTCCTGGGCTCAAACAGTCCTCCCACCTCAGCCTCCCTAGTGGCTGGGACTACAGATGCATGTCACCACCCCCAGCTATTTTTTTTTTTTTTTTTTTAGAGACAGAGTCTCACTATGTTCCCCAGGCTGGCCTCGAACTCCTGGGCTCAAGGGATCCTCCTGCCTCCACCTCCCTAGTAGCTGGGACTACAGGTACATACCTGTAGTCTGTCTAATTTTTTTGGATTTTTTGTAGAGACAGAGTCTCACTACATTGTCCAGGCTGGTCTCAAACTCCTCGGCTCAAGCAATCCTCCCGCCTCAGCCTCCCAAATATCTGGGATTACAAGCAAGAGCCACCCTGCCTGGCCTCCATAAACACCTTTTAAACTGTATTAACGTTCATGATGCTCAATACACATACCGATTAAAGAGAACTTAGAAAGTGCTGGTAAGTGGTGAGGAAATTGATGCATAATTGCCCAATTCAGAAACAGCTACTACCTTGGGTGGGGGCCTGAGAAGCAAACCCTGAGGAAGGATTGATGTGAAAGTAATGTGTAATGTCCACAGGAAAACGGAGAATGGGGTGCAACCAGCAAGGAAGAACAGCCAGCAAAGTGTCAAGGACGGAGCTTGGCCTCCGTTCCCTAGGGAGCCCTACATTGTCCCCTTACTGCCCCAAACAGGCCAAGGAAGTTGGAGTCTTGGCTCTCCACACCCATCAGTGATTGGCTCAGGGCTGCCCTAGGGGTGGAAGTTCCCAGGCATCTCTGCTCCCTGGGCTGGTTTCCAGCAGCCCGGGTATGGGTGCAGTAGGGTGGGGTTGGTCCTCCCTTTCAGGGCTGGGGGCTGGCCGTGAGAAGGTGCACAAGAATCGTAGAGTCCTGAGCAGTGACACTTTCTACTACAGCTGCTATTGTATTTTAACCTCTATTCTCCTAGATAGATTTTGATATTTGACTGGGGTCACTTTGAATTTTTTCAAGAACTTTTGCATGCTCATTTTGTCTTCATAACAGCCTTAGGAGTGGCATGGAGTATGAACTCTTATCTTAACATTACCACTTCATAGCTGGGAAGCTGGTGGCCCCAAAGAGTCACTAATTAGTCAGGCATTCCCACACGTTAGTCAGAGAGCTGAGAGCAAGATGAGGTTCACTCCGAAACAAGTACTGTCTCAGCAGCTGCCACATGCCAGGTGCTGGGCAAGGTGGTAGGACATAGTGACCCACCAGACAGGCCCGGGGCCTGAGGGAGCTTACAGCGGGCCCAGGAGAGTAGCGACCGCACAGGCCAGCCACAGCAGGCCCAGCCTGGGCTTCCCAGCCCCCGCCCTGCTCTGACTTTGCACCCCCTGCCCGGCTCCTGCAGGTGATTGTGTACGTGGAGGACATCAACGATGAAGCCCCTGTGTTCACACAGCAGCAGTACAGCCGTCTGGGGCTTCGAGAGACCGCAGGCATTGGAACGTCAGTCATCGTGGTCCGAGCCACAGACCGAGACTCTGGTGAGGCTGGCAGGAGGAAACCGGGGGTCCCAATGCTCAGAGCAAACCTCCCCAGCTCACCCAGCCCCTCCTGCGGGACCTCCATCCCTGAAGCTTCAGGGTCCCCTGTTAGCCATGCCCAGGCCAGGGAGGGACTGCTGGGGTGGGCTTGATCACTTCCCACCAGATGCCCAGGCCTGAGAGGGTTAGAGTCAGGGAAAGTTATCCCAACCACTAGGTGGAGAGAGGAGAGGCCACAAGCTTGAAAAGTCCAGCTCCATCATCCCGGGATCCAGAAGCTCCCACTGGCCTTTGGAGAGGGGCTGGGCAGAGCTGGGAGGGGTGAAGAAGACCCATCAGAAAGCTGGCTGTGGCCTGGCCTGCTCCTCCAGCCCCTCCATGCCCTCCAGGGCCAGCTCAGGGCCTGGCACACACAGCCCCCCTGACCCCCTGGAAGGGGCAGCACCCTTCCTGTGCTACAGGGCAGAACCTGAAGGCAGCCTGAACCTTGCCGAGGGTCCGAGCCCCAGAGGTGACCATACCAGGAAGTGCAAAATGAAGGGGAGACATGTCCAGTCTCTGTGGCCCTCTGTATGTGGCCTGGGCTGTCTGGCCTGGGACCCAGTCAGGGATATAGCTGAAACGAACATTTTCTGGGGGCCCACTGTCCCCCAGAGAGGCTCCCCATGCTGCTTTTCCCTCGTGTCAGCTACTTGGGTGGCTCCCAACCCCTCTCTCAGCAGCCTCAGATTATCTGTGGCACACACGGGATGGGGTGGAAGGAGAAATGGCTGCAAATTCTCGGGTGGATTCTCAGGCACATTAATCCAGTTTAGGGCACACATGCTGCTATGGCCCAGTGGTTCATGGCTTTTTCTATAAGGGATCCCCTCCCCAGAAACATGCCCATCCAGTCAGAGTGCCCAAGTAATTCCAAGGAAGTCTTGGATTCCCAGAGTGGTTTCATGACCACTCCCTTCCCTGCCCTCCTCTCGAGGTCTGTGGACTTCGGCTAAAGAATCTCAGCACGAGCTCCTGGTTCAATGGTTTGTTTCAAGGCACAGGAATTTGGGGTGCAGGGAATGGGGAGGGTGGGGGAAGGTGTCCCTGACACTGAAGCCCTTCTGTCAAAGGGACCAAATAAAGGATTGGCCACCTGTGAGGATGCTTTCTAGATCAAAGCCCTCACGATAAGAGATCCTTCATTTCCGCAACCTTTTTATGTCCGGATATCAAAGGGAGGTAGATGACCTTGAATTTTGAGGCTCCAGGAGCAGACCCACTCCCTCTATCATATTTCTAGCGCCAAGGCTAAGCCCCAGAGGAAGGCTCAACAGTGCATGCTGGACCTTGCCATCCACGTTGACCTTGACCCATCCTCTACCGCCTCTCTCGGGATGATCCTGCCCACACAGGTGGGGCAGCCCTTGCTGGGTGGGCCAGCCGGCGGGTGTGGGTGTGGCAGTTTGAGAAGCTGCAGTGCAGCCCCACTCGGTTCTACCTGGGACTGCACGGCCTCTGTGTCCTCCTGCAGGGGACGGTGGCCTGGTAAACTATAGCATCCTATCGGGCGCAGAGGGCAAGTTTGAGATTGACGAGAGCACAGGGCTTATCATCACCGTGGATTATCTGGATTACGAGACCAAGACCAGCTACGTGATGAACGTGTCAGCCACTGACCAGGCACCCCCCTTCAACCAGGGCTTCTGCAGCGTCTACATCACTCTGCTCAATGAGCTGGACGAGGCCGTGCAGTTCTCCAATGCCTCCTACGAGGCTACCATCCTGGAGAATCTGGCACTGGGTACCGAGATTGTGCGGGTCCAGGCCTACTCCATCGACAACCTCAACCAGATCACGTACCGCTTCGACGCGCACACCAGCGCACAGGCCAAAGCCCTCTTCAAGATAGATGCCATCACGGTGAGGGGCTGGGGGCAGGGAGCACCATTTCTTCCAATCTAACCAACATCAGTTGAGCTCCTTCTATGTACACAGCACTCTCCTCTTTGTCCTAAAGTATCCTCGAGATGGCCAGTCATGGTGTCATGTACCTATAGTCCCAGCTGCTTGAGAGGCTGAGACAGGAAGATTGCTGCAGCCCAGGAGTTTGGAGGCTGCAGTGAGCTGTGTTTGCACCACTGCACTCCAGCCTGGGTAACAGTGAGACCTCATCTCTTAAAACAAAAAAAAAAAAGTCCTTGAGATAAATATCCCTGCGACATATGCATTTTCATATTTAGGGGTAAGATAAAGTTTGTACCTATGTAGGCTGGTATCCTTCTTGTTACTAGACAATGAAAGTCTATAGTAGGAAAAAACAACTGGTTTTCCTTCTGTTTTCACACCCATCACAGATCCCTTCACCTCTGGTCATCGAAGTGCATATGGGGTTTTCCCCCATACCAGCAACTAATTATCTGACTCTCTGGACACCAACTGGGAATCCTTTAGCTCGATTTAATTCTGAACGTTTCTACCTGGAGTTAGCGTCAGATCCCACAGGTTCGGAACTCAGTCCCTCCCACACACCAAGCAACGCTCCAGCAGGCACCACAGGGTCAGATCCCACAGGTTGAGGGCTCAATCTCACCAAACTGCCTCCACTTCAGCTGCCAGTCACAAGCTCCAGGTGGTTTTACCCATGCTTCTGACTGGCCGGCTACATCGGGGTTCCCACAACCGCCTCCGCAAGTCTGATGAATTTGCTAGAGCAGCTCACAGAACTCAGGGAAACACTTTACCTACTATTGCCGAGGTATTACGAAGAATATTCTAAAGGATACCAACAGACAGCTGAATGAAGAGACACACAGGGCAAGGCATGGGAGAAGGGGCTCTGAGCTTCGGTGCCCTCCCTGGACATGCCACTCTCTAGGCACCCTGCATGTTGAGCAGCCTGCAAGCTCTCTGAACCCTGCAGTTCAGGGATTTCTTTCTTTTTTTCTTTTTTCTTTTTTTGTTTGAAATGGAGTCTCGCTTTGTTGCCCAGACTGGAGTGCAGTGGCACGATCTCGGCTCACTGCAACCTCTGCTTCCTGGGTTCAGGCAGTTCTCCTGCTTCAGCCTCCCGAATAGCTGGGGCTACAGGTGCCTGCCATCACACCTGGCTAATTTTTTGTATTTTTAGTAAAGATGGGGTTTCACTGTGTTAGCCAGGATGGTCTTGATCTCCTGGCCTTGTGATCCACCTGTCTTGGCCTCCCAAAGTGCTGGGATTACTGGCATGAGCCACCATGCCCAGCCTAGTTTAGGGATTTCTATGGAGGCTTCATCACATAGGTACGATCAATTATTAACTGAATCTCCAGCTCCTCTCCCTTCCTGAAAAATAAGGGGTATGGAGGTGCAGCTGAACATGTCAAGCTGCTCATCCTGGCTTGGTTTTTCTGGTGATCAGCCCCAAACCAGGAGCCCACCAAGAGTTGCCTCATTAGAGTGAGAGACTTCTATCACCTAGAAAATGCCAGGGAACTTAGAACTTTGTGCCGGGAACCAGGGACGAAGACAATACGTATTTTCCTATATCACAGTGTCACAGAAAGCTCTACAAGTGATAGTTTCCTTTTCACCTTGGCTGTTAGGAAGCTCGGATATAAATGTTGGGCTTCATTGCAATAGCTATTCTTAGCTAGGTGTCTGGTGCAGCACTCTCTTATCTACTGCCAGTCTCTTACTCCTCCATCTTTGCTTTAGTATGTCTTTTATCAGAATCCCTTCCTTGAAAAGTAGGCAAAGTGTGAATCCCTACCATGTGTGGTTGTAGTGGAGGATACTGGGAAGACAAATGGACACAAAGATGAACAAGACCCTTCCCAGCCCTCAAAGAGTTCTCAGGCTAGGAGTGGAAATGGGAATAATCCAGGATGCAAATCAGAGCACCACAGGGAAGAAGTGCAAAGAACTACAGCAGAGGGCTGGTAGAGCTCCTCAGGGCCCAGCAGTCATACCTGGCTGGGGAAGCAGGAAGGCTTCATGGAAGAGGTGGATTCCCAGTGGAATGTGAGAGAGAAGAAGGAGTTCAACAGACAGAGCTTCCTGGGGAAGTTACCCTGGGCAGAGGAAGTGACATGGAGGTGGGAAGGTGGGCAGAATGACCAGGGTTAAGCACAGTGCGATGTAGTCACTCACCCATCTGGCCCCTTCCCTGCAGGGTGTGATCACAGTCCAGGGCCTGGTGGACCGTGAGAAGGGCGACTTCTATACCTTGACAGTGGTGGCAGATGACGGCGGCCCCAAGGTGGACTCCACTGTGGTGAGTGGGACCCAGGGTGAGAGCCCCTCAGGTGTGGCCCGTTGCTGGCCACAACACTTCCAGACCCACATCTTTGCCAGCCACCCAATGTATGGGCCAGGCAGTGGGTGAGGGCCTTGATAGCCTGGGACCTCACCGTGTGCAGCCATGCCACACCTTCCCAACAGGCTGGGCTATGAGACCTCAGGCAGGTGGAGGGTGCTGCTGGGAGTGGGGTCTGGAAGAGCCACAGACTGCTTACCATCTGCATCTTTCCCTTTTCTCTCGCCCACCTCCTGCTGCTGCCTCTGACTACAGAAGGTGAGTAGCCTGTGGCTGGAGTTCCCCCTGTGCTGTTGGCTGTGGCCAGTGCTGGCCGGGCTCTGCCTGGCCCTGGACCTACTCACCTCTCCCAGAGAGAAGGCACATGGACAGGCCTCCAGGTCCCCTCCCAGTACCTCCACTCTCACACCTGAGTTCAGGCCCTGCTGGGCCATGTCCCCTGCCTCCAGCTCTGCTCTCTGTGTCCTGCCAGCCCCCATAGGGTCTTGGGTGGGGAGAACACTAGCAAAGGAGTCACTGGAAGACCACTGAGGCCTCGTTCCACTTCCACTCCTCGCTGGCTGTGCGACAGAGGCCAGCTGCTTAATGTCTCTATGCTTTCCTTCCTTGCATCTGAAATAAGGGTCATGCCGGCCTCCCTGCCATCCTCAGAGGATGCGATGGAAGCGGCAGGCGATTGCAGGCAGGGAGCCCTTTGTCAGCCAGCCCTGGAGGCAGGTGTGACCGCAGTAGAGTTCTTGCCCGATGCCTCAGCTGCTGCATCCATAAAGGGGACCCCTCCCTCTCTTGGAGGTTGGTGCAAGCATGTGGGGTGGGATGCACATTGCAGAGCCTGGGGAGCACTTCGGAAGGGGAGCCATGGGCACAGGTGAGTCATTGCCCTCAGGACAGCCTCTAAGTAAAGGCAGAGAAGACCATGTGCTGGGGCCCTGGGGGAGGGGGAGACACTGAGGTCAGAGATGCCAGACAAGGTTCCTATGAGGGGCAGCCCAGCCTGAAGGGAGAGGCAGGCAGGGGTGCTCAGGCTGCGGTTGCAATGGGAGTGGGTCCAGGGCCGGACCCCTGAGAGAGGTCCATGGATGGCATCCTGCAGTGACCCCAGGACACTCCGCCATCGATCTGGCCTGGGCACCCGCTAGTCAGGTCAGCTATCATCTGGAGACCACCTGGGGCATCAGGCTCGTCATCAGCCTTGGTTACAGCCACATTGCCACTCCCCACTGAGTCCCTGTCACATTAGCCTAAAAAAGCTGAAAGCAAACTCTGTGTCCAAGCCAAGAGCAGAACACAATTGCTTGGGGTCCTCAGCTCCAAGGCTCCCTGGAGGTGCCAGGTTCCAGAGGCCCTGGCTGTGACTGGGCTGTACCTAAAGGCCCCTCCATCCATGGGGCCAGCCTGAGGGTGAGTGAGGCTGTGATGGGCAGGGAGCCCCCACAGCTCCCCTCGACTATGCTCCCCAAGAGCAGGCGGTGAGCAGGGCGCTCAGGCAGTGGATGCCGGGCCACCCTCGTCCTGCCACTCCCAGTCAAAGGGCAGACACTCAGGTAAAGTGGGGCCCTCTCACTGAGCCTCACCCTCTTCATTCATACAATGGGCCCACCTGGCCCTCACCCCGCAGGTGTCTCAAGGAGGCTGGAAGGAGAGGCGAGTGGGAGCCCGAGGGCGGCAGGGATGGTGGGGAGGCCCCCCTCCGCTGACCACCAGCCACTTCCTCAGCACCGCTGGCGAGGGCATTGGAGCACGCGCTCCTGCCTGGGCCCCTGTATTTCCACAGGGCTTTGCCCTCTTCTGGGTAGCAGGGCCCACCCGCTTTTGCTCAGCCCTAAGAGGCTCGAGCTTCCTTTGCTTGGCTTCCTCTGAGAGGCTCCCAGGAGCTGCTGCCCCAGATTCACCAGCCCCAGAAGCCCCAAACACTGTTTGAGGCACTAGGGCGGAGGCAGAGGAAGGGGCCCTTTAAAGGTGGAACCATTTCCTCTGTGAGGCCGGAACCCAAACCACAGCTCACCTTCACCTGGTTCCTCCCCATCCCCAGCAGCCTGCCCTGGCCAGCCCCAGGAGGGGTGGGCAGGCAGACCGGAAGGGCAGGCTGGGTAGGGCACGGCTCTGCTGTAAGAACTCTTGAGTAAGCTCAGGCCTTCGGCGGGTAGGGAGTGCAATGTGGACCATCAGGCTTTGAGCGAGGACACAGATGCCCATCTCATCCCCATAGGCCTGGGCACCTGTCCTTTGTCACCCACCGAGGCTGACTCCCTTCCACTGGGAGGTCCAGCGGCCCCTCACCCCTGCCTTGCAGCCTCACCATGATCAGAGCAGTAGTCGTTGTGGGAACACCTGCTGTGTGCCAGGCAGTAAGCTGGGTTCCGGTCACAGCAGGAAACCAAAATCAAACCCAGCCCCTGCCTTCCTAAGTGTAAAATACAGTGAAGGAAAGACGTTGATCAAATGATCACACCTGGAAATGAATGCCATGAGAGATACCCTATAATAAGGTGTCAGGGAAATAGAAGAGGGCTTCCCTGAGGAGGTGACTCAAGCCGAGCTCTGCTGACGCATAAGAGTTAATCCAGCCTACAAGGAAGAGCATTTTGGGCAGAGAGAACAGCAGGCACGAAGGTCCTGTGGTGTAAGGAAGCATGGCGCGCCTAACGAGGCCTGGCCAGGGTGAGGGGGTATGGGAGGGATCTGATCACAGGGATCCCTGTCTGTTTTCGCCCTGAGAACAGTGCAGTAGGCATGGTTAGTCCCCTTTCAAATGAGCAACTGGGGCTCAGGAGCCTCGGGGAACTCCGTACCAAAATTCATGCCAGATGGGTAGAGTCTTGGCGAGAGAAATCACAAGTGTCAGCCAGGCAGGAAGCAGGAACAGGGACTCGGAGGTGCCACCCCTGAACTTTCTGTTTGCTCAGCTATTCCTCCCAACAGGTGTTCTCATTCTGATTTTCAGCCGAGGAAATGGAAAATCAGAGAGCTTGAATAACTTTTTCCAAAATCGCACAGCTCATACGTGGTGGAGTTGGCCTGGCTGCGAAGCCCAGGCTCACTCCCCTGCACTTCTTAGAGCTGCCTACAGATAGGGGAGTGGGGCTGGGACTGGGCAGTCAGACCTGTATAGGATGGAGAATGACATGGAATTTCCCCTGCAGCATGCACAGGCTCAGCTGGCTCCCTGTGACTCCTGTGCAGAGTCAGCAGGTCCTGGGAGCCCCTGAACCCCAAGCCCCACACCCTGGGAAGCAGAGAATAGGGTCTGGCCTGGAACAGGGCAGCGGGAGAAGGCCTGTACTGGGATACCTGGAACCTGAGCACCTCCAGCCCTGCTCACGCCCTCATCAGTGAACCTCTGTGCACCTGTGATTCCAGCCTCGGCGGCCTTGGCCGTCCATGGACTGGAGACCTTCACTCTCCTGCCACTCCGCAAGAAGCCCGAGCCACAGACACAAAGCCATATGCTCTTGCATGCCATTTTCTGCACGCCTGGTTTTTAGCTGACAGTTGGAAATTCACATGGCTTCCCCATCTGCCCTTCTATCCACTGGGACCAAGCCACCTCGCCCTGCTCCCCCCCACCCCCCCACCCCCGCCCTGCTCCTGGGCCCATTTCCTTCACGCTAAGCCCAAGGTTGCAAACAAGGACATCTTCAGGCAATATGTGGCCACCAGATGTGTTTTGGACAGCCTACACTACACATAGCTTTCTTCTCTAAATTTTATTACTCATCAGCCAATTTCACTTTAAAGTCTAGATTCCTTTTCATGAAAAATGGGAAGCTTGGTTGATGCTAGATCAGCATTCCCAGCCTGTGGCCACTTTAGCCATGGCCTGGCTTTTCAGTTCTCTTGTACCCCTGCCTCTGACGGTCTCCCCACCAGGCCTCTTCCCTTGCCCTCCTGGCCAAGATTTGAGTGTGCCTACCCCTGCCCCACACCAGTCAGACTGTTAGGAGCTACGAGCCCAGGGCCCGCTTTGTAAAGTGAGGATGAGCCTCGGTGGGCTCTGAGAGTTTGCTGATGTTCCGGAACCCACTGGGGATCTAGTCCCCGCTGGACGCATGCTGGGACGCTGGCGTTTGGGGCCAGGGAGGGGAAAGAGGCTGTAGGTCTCTGACCGCGTTCACCCTTAGGTCTACATCACTGTGCTGGACGAGAATGACAACAGCCCCCGGTTTGACTTCACCTCTGACTCAGCGGTCAGCATTCCCGAGGACTGCCCTGTGGGCCAGCGAGTGGCTACTGTCAAGGCCCGGGACCCTGATGCTGGCAGCAATGGGCAGGTGGGCCACCAAGTGAAACAGCCGAGATCCGCTGTGTCAGCAGAGGTCCCACGGCTCCCATGGCTCCCACAGCTAGAGGGGCCTTCTGAGCCACCCCCATCACCAAGCACCAGGCGCTTCCGGGCTCTGCTCTGCACTCATCCAGTCTGTGGTCAGGGAGAAGGGACAGAGCTGCCTCAGAGCTATGCAGATCGGTGGCCCTGGCTGGGTCATGTGGACATGGAGCCTGAAGGCCAGCTATGGCTCAGCCCCGCAGTGAAGTTGTTTTCTGGGTGACTCCTCCCCACGCAGCCCCAGCTACCTGAGAGGACATGCTTGTCCTCCCTCCTGCTTCCCAGGCCCAGCCTCATGGCGGGTTGTACTCACCATCGCTCCAAGTTTGCACGGCCCAGAGTGCAGAGGGAGAGGTGACAAAACCTGCCAGTGTTCACACAGCTCACATCTGTTCCATGCACTGGGCCTTGTGTTTGCAGGTGTTAGCATGGCTTGCATACTCCGGGGGATGGAGGGATGCTGGCTTTGGGGACAAAAGTATGTGGGTTCAAATCTCTAGCATTTGTAAGCTGTGTGACCTTGGCTGGCGGTTTCATGTTTCTGAGCCTCCTCTCTGTGAACTGAGGAGAACAGTTGCTTTTTGTCAAGGTTGCTCTAAGAATCAAGTAGAGTCCAGGTAATGCCCCAGCGCATGCTCACCCCAGCAGCATGAGCACAATCCCCTCTACCCTGGGAAGACATTAGTGCCATGGGACTCATGCCCCGCCCTCCCAGGCCAGGATGCTAACATCCCCTAGGCCCAGGAACCTTCCACGGGTGCTACACTGCCTCCATGGGCCTGCACCCCCATTTTGAGGGAGATGAATCACTTCTGCATAAAATGCTGTACTCCCAGATGCCCTTGCTGAACAGAGGGTCCAGGTAGGCAGGGGAGGACCAGGCAGTCCCCCTGGCTGGCTCTCCTCCACATCTCCTCACCTGTCACCCTCTCTTCTCCCCACAGGTGGTCTTCTCCCTGGCCTCTGGTAACGTCGCAGGGGCCTTTGAGATCGTCACCACAAATGACTCCATTGGTGAAGTGTTTGTAGCCAGGCCCCTGGACAGAGAAGAGTTGGACCACTACATTCTCAAGGTAGGGCCTGGCCTCCCTTGGGCCACGAGACCACGGGCTCAGTGCCTAGACTGGTCACTACTGACCATCCAGGAGAGAGCTCGCCCAGAAGCACATCCTGGTGGTCAGCGTCCCTGCTGTCACCAAGTAACATGGGGCCAGCTGCACCCCTAAGGGTCAAGAGCACAGTGAGGCTGACCCAGGATAGGGAGACCCCAGAGGGACCTTAGATACCCAGGAGGAGGCAGCTGAGGTGTCTTCCCCTGCTGTTAAGAGCCAGGAGGACGAGGGAGAGCCTGGTGGAGCTGGGAGAGCCTCAACTCTTCTACAAATACGGTGTGGCCTTGGGCAGGTTATTAACTCTGGGCCTCATTTTCCCTACCTGTGTAATGTACAAAAAATTCCCCATCTGGCCTGCCCTGTGGAGGGAAGAAACAGGTGCAGGTGTGAGGATTCACAAAGGGTGTGATTACTGTAGAATTGCCATGGCTGGGATGTTTGCTGAGGGCTTTCTGGGGACCTCAGGGCTCCACTTCTGCAGGGGGCTGAGCTCCTGGAGCACATACAGCTGTATCCAGGCTCCCAGGAACAGGCTCAGCCTATGGTTAGGGTTCCAGCTCATTGCTGATAATATTACTTGAGGCTCTTTCCCTGTTTGCCAGAGATCATGGGACAGCGTGCATGGGACAGAGGCCTTTGAAGCTAAAGACAAGATCCTTGGATCAGGTTGCAGACCAGGGTCACTGTCAAAGGCTGTCACAGCCCAGAATACAGTCGGGTAGGTCAGGAGATCAAGGCTTGGGTACATGCTAGTCAGATTCCAAATAAGGATCCTAAGTCAGAAGACGATTGGGCAAGAATCATTTGCAGCATGGGGCAGAAGGTGAAGGCGTTGGGGAGAGCCCAGGGCTGGCCAGGCCACCCAGGGGTGATCAGTGAGTCTCTTTGCCCTCCCAAGTGCTCCGCACGGAATGCACAGCCCTTTTGGACTCCATATTCCTGATCCTGCCCCACCCTTCAGCCCTGACTCCAGTTGCCCTCCTCCTTGCAGGTTGTGGCTTCTGACCGAGGCAGCCCTCCACGGAAGAAGGACCACATCCTGCAGGTGACCATCCTGGACATCAATGACAACCCTCCAGTCATCGAGAGCCCCTTTGGATACAATGTCAGTGTGAATGAGGTGAGGGCAGCCCCGGGGCCCATATAGCTCGACATCCAGGGGGATCATGAGCATGAGCCAACCATGGACCACCTGTTTAATGTCTTGCCTGGCCCACCGGCTCCTCGGATCTCATGGCTGGGAACTGTGGCTCATTCATAACGATATCTCTAGGGCCTAGCCCGGATCCTAGAACTCAGTATCTTTTTGGAGTAGAGGAGAAGAGAGAAGAGGAAAAGAAGAAAGTTGCCTTTCACCAGACAGGAAACTGAGGTTTACCCGGAGAGCTTGCTTTTTAAAAAAATGTATTTATTATTCAGCAATAAGATTGAGCCACACCAATCTGCCCTGGCATTGTTGGTTATCATACTGGGTTGGACATTCATGAAGGCAGGTTGGCATGGGACCAGAGTCTAGCTCTCAGGCCAGACTCCCTTGCTTCAGCTCACTGATTGGCTGTGTGGACTTGCACACGTTCCTTCCCTGCACCTCAGTTTTCTCATCTGTAAATAGGGATGATGATGCCAGTACCAAACTCACAGGGTTGGAGAGAGGACCCAGTGAGTTAAGGCGGGCTCCAGCAGGTCGGAGGTGCCTGCGGAATGTTTGCCGCCATCATCCTTATTATCCATCATTGCTTCAGGGTAGATGCAGCAAAGCTTTCAGGAGGCACAGGGGGAGCCTTTGGGCTACAGGAACAGGCGCAAGACTGTGCCCAAATTCCTTGAATCCAAAATGACCGCCCTCCTGTTCTCCCAGAACGTGGGTGGAGGTACTGCTGTGGTCCAGGTGAGAGCCACTGACCGTGACATCGGGATCAACAGTGTCCTGTCCTACTACATCACCGAGGGCAACCAGGACATGACCTTCCGCATGGACCGCGTCAGTGGTGAGATCGCCACGCGGCCCGCCCCGCCCGACCGCGAGCGCCAGAGCTTCTACCACCTGGTAGTCACTGTGGAAGACGAGGGCACCCCCACCCTGTCGGTAAGCCATGGGTGCGGTCACAGGGAGGAGCGGGTAGGCTGGGGCAGCTCTGCCTCCGAGTGAGGGAACAAGATGGGTGGGACGGAATTCCATGCGGCAGGCGAATCCGGACAACTTTTCATCGTGCCTTCCGTCTGTCTGCCCAAGATGGACTCCCCTTATGGAGGCCTGTTGCGTGCAAAGCTGGGGTGCTGGTTTGCCCACATTTACAGCTACTCGTACGGTCTGTTGAGTCCTCTTTGCTCTCACAGAGCAGCTCTATGGGGTGGTACAGGTTGAGCCTCTGTTTCAGGGCCTGGCCCAGGGAACAAGTGGGTATGAACCTAGCCCCCGCTTCACTTGCCCAACTATGCACTGTGGGGCCACATCAATGTATATGGTGGTGTCTTACGGAAAAGGTGCCTCTCTGGCCCCCTTCCCCTATGTTGTGTGGTGTGGCATGCTGTCACAATGCGTCAGGATGGGAAGGGACTGGTGTCTGTGTTCACACTGATTCTCGAGTGAACAGGGCCACTGCCCAAGGCAACGTTCAAAGTTTGCAAGGTTAGAGAAGGACTCTGGGCCTCAGGGGCTGGATGGAGATCTCTAGGAGGTGACAGGCTGTGTTGGGAGTGGCTTATAAACTGAGAGCAGGGAATTTGGAGTCAGGAGCACTGCGGCCGGCTGCATGATGTTGAGCAAGTCAGAACCTCTCAGCATATTGCTTTTGTCACCTGCAAAAGGTTGATAATAGCTACCTCATAGGTGTTGTTTGGGGAATCAAATTAGCTCACGTCTGTGGGAGCACTTGGTAAACCATGAGGAGGAAGAGGACTGTGATTAGTTCTCTATTGCCACAATCGTGCTGCCTGACAAACCAAACAAAACAGAGGTGTAAAACAATAACCACGTCGCGCTCATTCCGCAGGCTGGCAATCGGGACATGGCTTAGCCGAGTGGTTCTTCTGGTCTCAGCTGGGCTACTGCATTTGTGTCTGGGCACCTGCCTGTCAGCAGGGCTCTGTGCTTCTGAGGGTCGGCTGGCTTGAGCAGCTGGATGACAGCGGCAACTTGTCCTCCAGAAGGCTAGCCTGCGCCTGTTTCTGTGGGGCTGGAAAGTGTCCAGGACAGCAGAGGCATGCAAGGCCTCTTGAGTTCCTGGCTTGGAACTGCCACAAGGTCACTTCTATCACAGTCTGCTGGCCAAAGCGAGTCACAAGGCCAGCCCAGACTCAAGCTATGGGGATATAAACTCTACCTTTTGAAGGAATGAGCTACAGTCACACTGCAAAGAGTGTGGGTGCAGGAAGGTGAGAGTTCAGGGACAGTTTTGTGATCTAGAAGGACTCTGATTACAAATGAAGCCTCAGCTCCGTCCCTGTCACAGCAGGTCAGACCCCTCCCCTTTGACAGCAGCACTGTGGGAGGCGGGGTCACATCAGGTCTGGCCAGGGCTCTTTATCTGGAGCTTCTCTGGAGATGTTGGTCCAGTAATCCCAGGAATTAGGATTGGGCCAACAATCCAGGGACCCCCTCCCCACCCCCACCACAACATTCTGAGGAGTTCGGGCAATGGGACTGACTCTGGGCACCCCTGTGGGCATTCTTAGCCCCACGGCTGCACAGTGTCCTCACTAACCACCTCAGCTAGTCACACCCAGTGGGCTAAACAGGGGCACATTTATAGGACACGCATCACTCACTGGACAGGGTGGGGCTGGGGCAGAGAGGGGTATCATTTATTGTGTTAACCTGGAAGGACCCCGTGTCGACATAACCCCTCCGCAACTTCACCTGTCTTCATCTTGGTCATCTCTTTAATAGTACTTGTGAAGTAACAGGAACTGAACCATGGAGTCAGAAAGAATCAAAATGCATTTTCCCACACAGCAAAAATTCTACAGAGAATGTTGATTTCGGGCTCAGTGATGTCGGAGCTTGTGTTTCTTGGCCCTTCCCTCATGGTTGCAAGGTAACTACTATAACTCCAGGCATCGAGTCAGCATCCAGGCAGGAAGATGACGAAAGAATGACAAACAGCTATGGCAGCTGCTTTTGCCTTTTTATCAGGAGAGCAGCTGGTTTCCCAGAACCACCCTCCAGAGTGCTACTTGTGTCTCCTTAGCCAGAAGTGGCTCATACAGGCACCCTAGCTGCAAGGGAGGTTAGGAAAAATGAGGGACAGGATTATCATGGTCGGCATATTACTTGGGGATCAGATATATCACTGCCCACACAAAAGCAGGCATCTGTCAGTGAGGAAGAGGTAGAGAATGGATTTGGGTGGGGGGGGGGGCATCTGACAGCATTTGCCACTCTGCCCTCCCCAATCCTAAGGCAGGCCAATCAACGCACCACCCCTACTCCCCACCCACACTCCCACCCCCACAGTCCTAAGTCTCCCAGAGAGGTCGTCGGTGGGATCCATACCATTCTAAGACCCTGCAGTTTAGAGGCAAAATCAGGCTTCGTTTGGGTCCTCAGAATAAATGGGAACTGAAGAAATGGAAAATCACCCCAGCCACATTTAATCACCCAGAATGCATGGGCCACTATCCAAACAATCCTTTAAAATCTTGGGATTGGTCTCCATGGCTAAAAAGAGTTTCCATCTGCTGACCAAACCCTCTGCAAGGACCCATCCCAGCCTCTTGGGGACCATAAGCATTCCCTCCTCACGTTTCAGCCCCTGACATTCTGGCTCTCCTTGAAGCAGGGTTCAGCCCGTACTTGCTCCCTGGTGTGGGAAACTGGGTGGCATCATCCCTGCTCATCCTGATCATCACCAGCTCTGCTCCCTGAAGCCCCAGAAAATACCCTCAGGATGACTAGGACCAGGGACCTTGAGGCCATTCATCTCCAGGGGAATATGTATGGGGCTTCCTGGGCTGAACCATCAAGCTTTCTTCCAGACTGTAATACAAATAGCAACAGGTACCAACTTGAAAGATTTACAGAAAAATTTTTGTTGTTATTGAGACAGTCTCACTCTGTTGCCAGGCTAGGGTTGTGATCTCGGCTCACTGCAACCTCTGCCTCCCGGGTTCAAGGGATTCTCCTGCCTCAGCCTCCCAAGTAGCTGGGATTACAAGCATACACCACCACACCCAGATAATTTTTGTTATTTTTTAATAGAGATGAGGTTTCACCATGTTGGCCAGGATAGTCTTGATTCCTGACCTTGTGATCTGCTTGCCTTGGCCTCCCAAAGTGCTGGAATTATAGGCACGAGCCACCATGCCCAGCCAGGAAAACACTTTTAAGTTGAAAAGAATCTATCCCTCTTCAATGTTTTCCCCCTGGTTCTTCAAGAGGAGAAAATATTCCTATCATTTGGTTTTTGCAGGGGACACCTCAGTGAAGAATTGTAGTGACCATAAGAACATAGTTTGAGAAACCAGCACTAAGCCATATTTGTTCATTCATTCACTCATTCATTCATTCGGCTGTTGTTCCCTAAATGCCCACTGTGTGCCAGGCACTGGAGATGTAGAGATATATCTATAGAAGACAATGTGGTCTGTGGCCTGAAGAAACGCAGTTGAGTAAGGGAGGCAATGAGAACACCAGTATGCAGTGGGGCACTGAGAAGGGCTTGGGGAAGACTTCCTGGAGGAGGTGACACCTGGGCAGAGTCTTGTTGGTCAGTCTTGGTTAGCACAGCTAAGAAAGAAGCATATTATGGGGTTCAGCCTGCACACGGGCTGAAGAGCAAGCAATCATCGGGTGGGTTCCGGAAGCCACAGGTAGCTTAGGCCCAGGGCCCTCAATCTCCATATCCTCCCAGGACAGTCTATATGGGGCTTACCACGGGGGCTGCTCCCACCACCTTCTCAAGAGCCCCCTGTACTGCCTCCAGGCCTAGCTGAGCCAAGGTGGGGATGGGGCAGAGCTGGCAAGCAGGGGTCCTGCAGCCCACAGTGCCTACCAGGGTAGCTTGCCTCCAAGGAGCACTGGAGCCTTGAAGATTTGCTTCCACTGACCAGACTCTCACCTTTGGGCAGTGAACCCCTCAGGGTTATGAATAGCCTCAAGAGCAGGGCCCTTCTCTGCCACCGGGCATATTTCACTGGATGTGTGTGTGACGAAGGAGCGTTGTCCCAGCCCCTCCTAGAGCAAGCAGAGCCCTGAGCAGCATGCGGCCAACCACCCTGAGATTCCAGGAATGGCTGCCACAGTCTAATGGGTGAGAGAGCGGCTGCTACCCTGCACAGATCATCCCAGAGAAACCCAGCAGGCCCATACGCCATCCCTTTATTCCCATTGCAGTTATCTGCTTAGCTTCAAGACAGCCTTCACTGGCCCAGGACCAACCCTGCTGGAGGACAAGGGCATGAGAGATTCATTCATTTGTTCATCTGACACTAAGTATGTGCCAGGCTTATACTACAGGCACAGGTCTGCCCTCCAGCAGCCTACAGTCAAACGGAGTAACGGAGAGCTGATGTGTAACAGAGAGCTGACACTGTGACACGTAATGGAGGGCTGACACTGTGTGACGTGTAACAGAGCTGACGCTGTGACATGTAACGGAGGGCTGACGCTGTGTAACGTGTAACGGAGAGCTGACGCTGTGATGTGGTAGAGTACTAGGAGCCGGAAAGCCACAGCAGGTTTTCTGGAGGAGGTGTCGTTTGCATCTCTGTCTTGAAAGATGAGGCTCCCTAAGCAGGGGGCCTAGGATTTGGCTGCTCGAACCCTCCCCAGAGCCAAGAGAAATTCTGTGAGTCCCTTGGTCTCTGCTTTTTACCCTGGACTTCCTCTCCCCAGTTTTCCTGATAGCTAGACATTCCTGCAAACAGCCTAGGCCACCTCTGCCCTGCCTCAGCCCGTATCACCCGAACTCGGAACAGCTGTGCTGCAAGGGGTATCCAGGCCAGCCCCAGGCCTGCCACACAGTGGGTGCCACCCAGCCAGAAGTCATTGTGCAGCCTCAGCCCCTGCCTAGCTCCAGGCCATGGGCAGAGAGGCCAGGCTTGGGGGAGGGGTCAAAGTGGTTCTCAGGGAGGCCCCTGCAGAGGAAGAGCTGGGCCCGGGAGGAAGGCAACTGGGAGGTCAGGAGGTAGCCCAGCCTCGGAGGCACTTGGCAGTGGGATAGTGAGGGAGGGAGGGCCTGACCGTGGCCTCCCTGCCACGTGAATTGCAGCCAGCAGATAATACTATTCCACATAAGAAGCCCCGGCTCCTCAGGCTGGTGAGGACCTGCAGAAGTCACCTATCCAGGCAGAAGGACAGAAATCTCCCACCGCCCCCTTCTGGTATGCAAGTCCCCCACAGCAGCCCCATGACAGCCTGTGAGCTGGGGACACTACTCTTGGCAGTGTACCTCATGTCTTTAGGGCAGAGGGCCCTTATGTTTATTAGACTTAGACCATGCTGCCGTTGTGAACTCTGCTTCCCCTGGCATGAGATCAGAAGATCCCAGCCTAGCCCTCGCCCTCTGTGGCACCAAGGAGGCTGGCCTTCCCTCGCCCAGCACAAGTACATCCAGAGCCCTCCTTTGGCCTGGCTTCTTGAGGGATGTTCTGCAGTTGCCAAAATGCTGCACATACAACTGGCTAAGTTCCTCCGAGAGCCCCTGGGGCTCAGCTGCTGAGGGTTTCTCCCTTCCCCATCCCCTAATGCAAGCAAGAGGGGTGCCTGGGCCACTGGGCCTATCTGGAGTCCTCTGGCTCCACAGTTGCCAGGAAGAAAAGGCGGCAGCAGGAGCTGATGTGGAAGGAGGCTACCCATCAGCAGCAGGGTCTTCTGGACCCAGGGGAAGGCCCAGACCAGGACAGGCAGAGCACAGATAGGAACATTTCTGGTGTCCAGTACAGTGGAGCCCTGGACCTGTGGGCACAAGTTCATCTCCCAGAGCCCTGGTATGTACTCTAGGCAAGACCAAGGGGAAGGCCAAGCCAGGTCCTGGCCCATAATACCGCTCCATTCAATGAAGAGAGAGCAGGAGACCCAGGGTTTAGTCTTAGTTCCATCATCCACTTGTTTCGACAAGACACAGACCTTTCAGAACCTCTGTTGCCCTGCATGTTAAATGGCAGCAATAAAACCACCCAAAATTGTCGGGGAAGGGGGTGGATCAAACAAGTAATACCATATGTGAAAGTGGGTTGGAAAGCACCAAGTATTATAACAGAAAAGGCCAAGAGACAGCACACACGTGGCCACCTCCCTCTCCTGTGCCTGAGGCAGACACTGCTATCTATCTTGTCACTTTCTCACTAAGCTATATGGATCATTCAGAATCCCTCTCAACATATTCCAGAAAGCCATAACAATAGATCAGAATTGCCAAAAAAAAAAAAAAAAGTCTGTCCCGTGGCCTGCACAAATGTTTGTCCCACGATGTACAAGGTGAGGGCATTATTGTCACTGAGGAGTTCCCACCAGTCCCACACAAAGCTGCTGGGAGCTGGAGCTGATGGAAAGTCAGAGGGGGCCCCACCCACTGAGAGAGGTTCTAAGAACAGAACCTGGCATCTGGGGCAGCCCATCACCCAGAAGCTATGTATGTGTCAGTTATCAGATTTGCAGCAAGGTCCAAAGCCAGGCTGTAACTGGACCCTGCCCTCCCGGAACTCACAGGATAGTTAGGGCAATGTAGCATCCACGAGGTGAAGAGAAGCAGCAACACAAAGCAGGGAATGCCCAGGGAATGGGCCGGGTGGCCTGTGCTGTCTGTGGGCTGGACCCCATGCTCAGCTGGGCTGTGGCTGTGCTTCAAGAGGGCTTTGTTCCCAGCGTCCTGGTTAGCAACCCCAGTTCCTCTTTTGCCCATTGCGGTTCCCCAGCCCCTAGCACAGTCAGGCCAGCCCTGGGGTGCCCCAGCCAACACCCAGGAGGGCCTCATTCACAACGCAGGACCCCAGGGGCAAAGTTGGTACCGGGTGGTTGCAAGACCCCTGCAGCCCCTCGCCCCGCTGATCCTTCCAAGTCTACCCACCGAGGAGTATCCCCTGAAGAAGGCCAGGCATCAGCCCCTCTGCCCAGGCCCTGGCTGCTGCACGTAGCAGGAGCTCCAACCAGGCAGGAGTCTTTGAAAAGCAGTCCCAGGGCTCCCACACGCCCACCCCAGCGCCCATAGCCACGGACTCCCCCAGGCAGGGCCAGCGTGCCCACCAGCAGCCAGCAGTGGCCTCCATGCTGTGTTTTTAGGGAGTGCCGAGCAGCCCTTGCTTCCTCAGCAAACTGCTCTTAATGGTGCTTCCAATTCCATTCCCTTAGCCTCTCCCTGGGAGGGAATAAAGGCAGGAAGTCTCTATTAAAATGTGAATGTCGGGAGATAGGTAAGATGGCCCCTAATTCCCGATTGATCTCCTAACACTGAATTTGTTCTTAAAAGCATTTCCCCCTCAGGGCCTCAGACCATGCCAAGAATCCAGCACTCCAGGAGCCTCCTGCCCCAGCCCCACCCTGCCCCAGGCCCTAGTGCTCCTCCCACCCTTAGAGGCGCCATGTTCTTGAACCCAGCTCTCCTATGCACCCCAGACCACAGGCACCAGGGCTGGCATCAGGGGCACCACCATCCCAGGCAACCTGCCCCTCCCTGGCAGCAGCAGGCATGGCGTCCCTAGCACACTGCAGGCAGGGCCTGTGACCCTGGATGAAGATGGAACTGGGAGCTCAAAGTAAATTTCACTGAAAACAGGAAACCACGAAGCCCAGATGCATTCAGCTGTGAAAGGGTCCAGAGAAGAGAGGGCAGGGCCGCACCAGAGGAAGCTGGGGAGGAAGTGTGGCGGCTGCTCTACTGCGGGCCGCCTCCCTCTCCGCATAGCAGCAGCCAGGCCTGGGGTCTGGCAGCCAAATTCTTAGAAGTTGTCTCTGCCTCGAGGTCAGCTGGGTGCTGGGGCCAGGCCAGCCTCCCTAAAGGACAGGGCACGCTCTTCCTGAGTTAGGGGAACCAGAATCTGGGCTATGGGCTTGTCCTTCGACTCCAGGGGGAACAGGTGTCTCATCCCCTACTCCTGCCCTGCAAATTGTAAAAAACACACTCTCTTTCCTTTATTCTTTCTTTTTAAAATTCGTTTTGAGGCAAGGTGTTGCTCCGTCCCTCAGGCTGGAGTGCGGTGGCTTGAACACAGCTCACAGCAGCCTCGAACACCTGGGCTTAAGCGATCCTCCCACCTCAGCCCTGCAAAGTGCTGGGATGCCAGGTGTGTGTCACCGTGCCCAGCCAGCACCCTCTTCCTGTGGCAGCTGGCATCAAGCATCAATGACAGAGGAAATAAAAGAAGGGGACCCCCCCTCTCTGCCCAGGGACAAAGGAAAAGCCAGGGTTTGGGTGTTCTGGCCACCTGAAGTGTCAGTCCTATCTCCAGGCCTGTGTTTACTTTCTCCTCAAGGCCCCCAGCCCAGCCCAAGCATAGCAGGAGGCCCTCAGTGGCCCATTCCTTTGGGCCTAATGGGGGGGCTTGGAGGCAGGGCCATGTGTGCACACAGGGCTCCCTGGCTGTAGCTGTAGGCCCAGGGCTTACTGCTGCCAGACAGCCTAGAGTTGCTGCCTCTTCCCATCCCCTTGACCCTCCAAGCAATTAGGTAGACATCTCCCTGCCAGCTGGCGCCTTGCCCAGCCCTAAATCCTGGCTTTCAGCACCCATGCCCAGCTCAATGCTAGAGGGGGTCTGCCCAGCCCCACCTCCCCTGTCCCCACGCTTAGGCACTGCCTTCCCTGTTTTACCCCCAGAATGTGCAGAGATGCCCCTCCCCTGCTTTAAAATCCTTCAATCACAATTCCACAAAGGACCATCCTTGCCTGTGTGTATGAAAACAAATCCAGGGCATGCTTGCAAGCGGGAGATGGGAACATCACCCCCACCTGGCCGGATCGCTCTGCCATGAAGACTCCACCAGGCTTAGTGTATGGAGTGGAAGGTGGGAGTGTGGAAGGAGCAGCAGAGTGCGGATTTAACCGGCTCTTACAATACGTCCACAGGATTTGCACCTGTTGCCCCATGTAGTGTTTTTTGTTTGTTTGTTTGTTTGTTTGTTTTTGAGACGGAGTTTCGCTCTTATTACCCAGGCTGGAGTGCAATGGCGCGATCTCGGCTCACCGCAACCTCCGCCTTCTGGGTTCAGGCAATTCTCCTGCCTCAGCCTCCTGAGTAGCTGGGATTATAGGCACGCGCCACCATGCCCAGCTAATTTTTTGTATTTTTAGTACAGACAGGGTTTCACCATGTTGACCAGGTTGGTCTCGATCTCTCGGCCCCATGTAGTTTTTAATAGCATCCCACTTCAAACTCAGAAGTGTCCCAGGATGGACAAGACATTCTGTGGCACCCTTGCTATGGCCCACAATGAACAGCAGGAGTAGGGGATGGGGAGGGCTGGGGCAGGTGCCCCCTCCACTCACCTTCCTAGAAGGCCCCACCCACCTCCCTCACGGCCATCTCCGGTGGGTGATGCAACATCTGGCCTGGCCTCAGATTGCCCAAGACACCATTTGCTCACAGTGGCCACCATGCCCCAAGATGTACTTCCTGTTTTGGGACCACTAAGCTCTGGGGACCGGAATGCAGACAGTGGAAGCCCCAGATTGGCTAACCTGTTGACAGGTCATCAGAGAAACTGCTGGTAGGAGGCAGCTGGGGAAGGTGGTGATGGCCACTGGGCAGGCAGGCCTGGCCCCAGAGCCACCGTGGTACACAGAGGGAGTCTGACTGAAGAGCAGCCTCAGACAAGATGGGGGAGCCAAGGCAGCCATGGGGAGGAGTCTCTCCAACCATGTCCTGTGTCTCATGCCTGGGAGGGTGGCCCAGTGTACATCTTGTCCCATTGATGCTGCCACATCCCAAGGCTTATGTCTCAGAGTGAGAGGCTGCTGCAGGGCTGGACATTCTGAGACTTCTTAGGATGTAAGCCATTTGGCATCTGTAGCTGGTGAATGTCATGTCTCTAGGGGAGAATCTCAGCACATCAACATCCTTGGAACAGGAGCTGAGCCTTCCAGCATCCCCATGTAGCATCCAGAGGGGTTGAGGGTCTGGGCTTCTGGGATGTTGCAGCATCTGGGCCTAGAGCAGGAGGGAGGGAACCAGGCCCAAGGCCAAGGAAGCTACTCACAGAGCCAGCTCTGGCTCAAACACACCTGCCCCAGACCCAGTCACAATGGCCTACTGTCCCCCAGCTGGTCTAGATGACCTCAAAGTTTGGGGAGTCAGGGACAGGGTCTGCAAAAAAGAAACAGGAGAAGCAAAGTGAATGGGAGCTCCTCTGTCCCTCACCCCTCAACCCCACTCCATGAGGCTGTAGAACTCCCCAGGGATGGTAGGGAGTGAGGCTGACACCCTGCAGGCCATGGGGCCATGACCTTACAGGTCATGGTGCTGTGAAGATCAGAAAACACTTACCCAGGGATGGGAAGAAGACGTCCCCGGGACCCGGAGGAGACAGGGGGGTGCCAGGCTCCGAAAGCAGATGCCGCCCAGACTCAGAAGGCTGCCGCTGGGCCACAAAGGACAGCGGGTGCCTGACCTTGACTTCAGGTATCCCCTGGGTGGGTGATGAGGCCTCAAAGCCAGGGTTTTCTATCCCTTGAGTGTTGCTGCCACAGAATCAGAATGGAAGGTCATCTGTGCTGCCTGGAGTATGAGCTCTGCCCTCTCTCCCCGCGGCTTTTCTCTCTTCCCTTCCTCTCACCTACATCCCCATCCCCAAGCAAGAATGTAGAAGCCAGGCCCACAGAGCAAAGGCCACGAGCTGCACCTGCCCACCTGCCCTGACCTGAGGGTCTCAGGGCCCACCAGAGCAGACCCCAGCTCCTCCCCATGGTCTGACCGTCAGCCCCGGGCACAGCCAGGAAGCCAAAAATCAGAGTCAGGACTTCGGCCTCGGGAATTTGGGGACAAGTCTCTCTTTGGTCAGTGGAGTTGATTGCATGAGGATCGAACACCCCCAAAGCCTATCTTGAGCTGAGGGAAGAAGGGGTTCTCTTCTTTTCCCGGCTGGGAGTAGGATAACTTCTGAAGACCGCTGCAACCTGAGATGCTAGGTGGGTTACAGACAAGCTTTCTTCTTGGAGTTCTCTGCGGGCAGGAGGCACAGCTCCAGGGATGTGGCTGGGACTGGGCCTGCTGGCCTCCTTTGCATGTTTCACTGTCTGCTCCAGATCAGCTGCTTCCTCTCTGTCCCTGTCCTGGCACAGGCTGACCACTGAGACCCGAAGGTGGGTGCATGACACATCTGACAGAATCGGAGCTCAGCCCACTGGGTGGGGTGGCAGGAGAACAGCCAATCCGCACAGATGTGCAGGCTTCAGCAGCAGATGGCAGAGACTCTGAACAGCCGTGCTAGGTGGCTAAACAGGGGCCCTACTGCACAGAAGTATCTCCTCCTGGACAACTGGCCTGGGAAGTTTTCTCAAGAAGATTTCCACGGCCCTTACCTGTCCATCCGCACCAGCTCCTGGGCACCTTAGGGACAGACAGACAGAGAAGCTGGTCACGAAAGGGAAGGCTTCCCCACACAACATCCCGGCCTCTGCTGGCAGATGCCCTGCAGGGAACAGGAGTGAGCCCAGGAGGGCCCTGCCCAGCCCCAGACTCCATTTCTGTCCACATGGGCGCTGTCCAGCAGTGATCTGCGTGTCTGTCTGGCAGATGGGGCCTCCATGAAGGACCCATTTTGACGATTGATAAATGAAACTCTAGCTGCATTTTCCAAGCGTGTAAGAATGTAGTTTGCCATCAGGACGCCAAAGGCAGCCAGCGCTTTCTCCTGTGACTTAACTTACACAGCGTCAGACTTTCAGGATTTAAGTATTGACTGAAGGTCTGGCTCCTGAATTTGCTAGCTGATGTCACTTGGTTTGAACATTTGCCCAGTTCTGGTTTTAGCCATGGCCTACTGGATGGGAGGTGTAAGGTCCATTCCTAATTAGAGGGCTCCTGGTCCTCTCTGCCCCATCCCCTACATTGGCTAATAGGGTGGCATTCAAGGGAACATCTCACAGAGAAACCTTACAAGGTGCGAGTCCCCCGTCACGTCCCGGCCATTTCACTTACTTTTTGCTTCTCATCCAAGTTGCTGACACTTGCCCAGTCTTGGGACACCCCACCCCCAAAACTGGCCACCAACTAGGTGCAGTGACCCCAACTTCCCTCTTTTGCGTAGCACCCCATGTCCTCCCACAGATGCTTCTCGTTTTAAGGAGCTTTACTGCTGATGAGGATGGGGAAACAGATGGCGGGGGAGGGGCACACCAACAGAACAAACACAGGGAAGTTACCCAAAAGTTCCTGAAATCGACTCGAATCGTGGCTATTGTTTACGGTCGACTCATGGGCCAGGCTTCGTGCGGGTGCACACGGGTATTCCCTCATCTCATTCTCCCCACCACCCTTTGGGGTGAGGGTTGTTGGTCCCATCTTAGAGCAGGGGAAAGTGAGGCTTCAGTCCAAAGCAGGATGGGAAGCCACACCTGTTGGCCTCTGCAGCAAGCTGCCCTCCTCAAGGCTCCCAGCCCTATCCTTTTCTTTTTTTCCTGAGAGAGCCTTATTCCTGAGCACGCTCTCAGAGCCAGCCTTCCACCAAGGCACAGCAACACCTACTCCCCCCTGCCCTGCTGCCTGGGGTTCCTCTTCTGTTCCAAGCCTTTTACCTGACCCCATCCACCCCCAGCCATGGGTATTCCTGCAGGTAGGTTGTGGTGAGTTCTAAGAGAGCAACAGGGGAGTTCTGAGAGCAAAGGTGAGGTGGCCACAGCCCCCAAGTGACCCACTATAGGGCTCCATGTAGGGACCCCAGGAGTGAGGGGAGGGAGGGATGGAAGTTGTTAAGGACCGGCCGCAGGAAATCAGGTGTGAGCCGAAAACCTGGTGCCAGAGCAATCCTTTCTCAGTTACTTCTCTAACCAGGCAGAAGGGAAGAGACCAGGGAGGGGAGACAAGGACAAAAAACTCCCTAGCTCCTTCTTGGAGGACTCAGACTAACACCAAGACTCATGGGCGGGGCCAGGTACCAGGCAAGGGGCACTGTCACCTGGACTGGGAGGGTGGGAGGTAAAAGATGTCTGTGCCCATGACTTAAAAGGCCAGCCCCACCACTCATTTGCTGTGTGGTTCCTTAGGCAAGTTACTTAACCCTCTGTGCCTCCATTTGCTCATCTGTAAAATGGGGACAATGGTAGGACCAAATTCTTCGAGTTGTAATGAGGAGGAAGTGAGAGCATTTTTGTTATCTGGTAGACTTCTACTCCCAGGAAAGCGCATGCGCTGAAAGCTCTGAGATCAAGTCCTAGCTCCGCCACTCACTAAGTTATGTAACATTTGGTCAGTTACGTAACCCCACTGATCTTAGCTTTCTCGTCTGGAAAAAGAAAGGGTTGAGCTACGTTATCTCTAAGACCCCGTCCACTTCTGACACTCCAAAGGTCATTTTTTGTTCCAACAATTGCTGCTAATTACAAAACAAGCACACCCATACCTTAAAGCAGATCCCCCAAGGATCCCCGAGTGGCAGCATTTTTCTACAGCAACTTGAGCCACTCTGTATGATCATTCAGAAGACCTGTATTGAGTGCTGAGCCAGCATTGCCTGCGAGCCAAAAAGGCTGGTGGGCACTCGGGTCCCTGGAAATGGCAGGCCTTCTTTTTCTCAGCCATTTTGCCCAGCTCCTGGCGAAGTGCAGCAGCTCCCAGCTCTCAAATGGAAAGGAACTGTGCCTGCATCATGCCTTTGCTAACCCCAGAGGCTGAGCTGGGGGCTGGAGCAGGTCACTCACACCGTCCACCCACCCCAGGCAGCTAGGGATACTCACGGCGGTTGGAGGCCGCCTGCCTTTGCTTGTAGACCAGGAGCAGGATGAGGGGGAGGCAGAGGATTCCGACAATGCAGGCACCCGTAGCCAGGGCTGCAGCTGTGATGTCTGAAAGGGCAGAGAGGTAGCCAAGGTGAAGCCCCATTCTCACTGCTCCTCCAAGGGGAAAGTGAGACACAGAGAGGGAAGGCTAGGCAGCAGGAGGACCCGCCCCCAGAGTCCCACAGCTAGACCCCCAGCGACCTGCAGAAGCATGGAAGGTATGGGGCTCTCCTTTCAAAGAAAGTCCCATGCCTGCTGCCATGTGCACCTGGAGCACACAGAAACAAGACCTGTCACCTACAGCTGAGTCAGCTTCACACAAGAGAGGGAACAGAGTCCTCATCCTGGCCCACAAGGGACAAACTGGACCACTCTTGGCTACAGGTTATATCCTGAAAAGGGAGAGCAGGGCCTTTGCAAACCCCACGCCACAGAGTTCAAGGTCAAAAGAAGCCTAAGCAATGAAAAGATTAGAAAATAGATAGCGATGACGATTACACAACATCATGAATGTAATTAATGCCACTGAACTGGCTGTTTAAAATGGTTGAAGTGGCCACTTTAACATTATATATGTTTTGCCGTAATAGATAAAAAGCCCCAGCTCACCCCAGAGACCCCTTAGCTCTGGGATGAGGCCTCTGGAACCCCCCACCCTTTGATCTCACCACATAAGTCACAGGGAAAACGTCTGGGGTGAGACCTAGAAAAACGTGAATCCTCGTCCAATGTTTTTCAATTTTAAACTTAATAAATTACCAAAAAAGGACAAGTTTAAAAAATATTCAAATCTCCTCCTCCCTTTGTACCAAGACCCCCTCCAAAGAGATTATCACTGTCTGCGGTCTTCATGTTGTGGTCCTGGTTATGTTCCCTGAACATACAGCAGATACAGGATCATATGGCAATGCTTCTCCCACCAGCTTGGACAGCTCTTTGTCTCACCTACCCCATTCTGCTTAGGCTTTTATCACATCGCTCCCACTAAATTTATTGAAACAGTCCCCTATGGGTAGACAGGTTGTTTCCATTTTCAGCATAGCTAATAATGGAGCAATGAACTTGCACACGCATCCCGGCGTATTGGCAAATACATCTGTAAGTAAGTTCCTAGCGGTCAAAGTGCTGAGCCAAAGAGTATGTGCATTTTCTTTTAGTCTGTTGCTAAATTGCCCTCCAAAAAGGTTGTACCGGCCGCTTCGCCGTCGCAGCAGCATGGGGAGGTTTGATTTATTTCAGGCCATCTGCTGACTGCAGGAGTTTAGCTGGGAGCAGACGTGCCCTCGGAACTATAACCGACACAAACTCATTTCCTTCCCAATTTTAGCCTTTCCTGGGGCCAAAAGATGGGCTGGGATACCTTGTCACAGTGTCAACTTCGCCCCAAAGAGCTTTGAGAGGTAGATGGGCTGTGGTCTAAATGCTGCCTTTGCGCTATCTGTTTGGGAATAATGGCTGTTTTTGTTTTGCTCCGCAATCCGATGGTGTAAACAGGCTTTCGGGAGGTTTGTTCATACCGCAAATGAGAACCAACTGTTTTCAGGCACTTTAGAAGTACCCACTGCTACAGGAACAGTTGCTATGCTAATTACATAGCAAGTTCCGCTCTACATTACAGCAGGTTCCCTGCAGATCTTAGCAAGGCTGCATTTTGACGTGGAATATTGAAAGTGAAGACATTCTATAACCCAGGTGCCTCAGTATTTCAAAACCATCAAAGGACCTTATTATGGGCAATATTTGAGAAGCCGGTTGCAAAGCACTCCCTTCTAGTGATCAAAGCAGGTCTCCTCTGGACGGTTAGTAAGCAGCATTTTGTGAGCTTTGCCAGGTGCTCGCTGATGCCTGTTCCCTGTCTGCCTTTGGAAGGTGAGCTTGGCCAGATATCCCTGCCTAACTTGCATCCCTAGGTAGAGATTTCCCCTCTGTGGCTTAATTTCACTTTGAGAGCCTGAAGCTAGCTTACAACCTGGGCTGAGTTGAGACTGCGGCAGTGGGGCGCAGAGGTTTGGGGACAGGTCTGTGGGCCCAGCTGTTTTCTGAAGCCACAGGCATCTCTGCAAGCTCAGCCATGCCACAGTTCCCCACCCCTTCCCCCAAGCATGGCCATGCCTGGGCTGGCACTCACAGGGGAGGGCAGGCATGCTCACTTACCACTCAGAGCCAGGCTTATCCTGGGAAGGTGATCAGGCGCTGGCAGAGGTAGCTACCGACACCGCACTGAGGAGTGTGCCAGGCCCTGACACAGCAGAGTGGGATGGGAGGGGCCTGGCCTGCTCAGGCAGCCTTTGTCTGAGGCCTGCCTGGCAGCCCTCGGGGATATGTGGAGGAGGGAGTTCCGCTGCTGAGCGTTGGGCTGCCTGGTTTCCCAGGAAGGAGGCTGGGTGAAAGCAGACAGCACATTCTCCTGTGTTTGGGGGATGGGAAGAGGTCCACAAGGAGATGAGCTGCCTGGCCCCCTTCTCTGAGCTTACCGAGAAACCACAGCCCCTCAGCAATGCGGGAGCTCCTTGGGCACCAACTTCTCTAGCCTCATTCCCCTGCCTCAGGCCAACTTGTACTTTCATGTTATTTCATAGTCAAGCTAGACTCTCACTTCCCAAGGATAACATTAAGGGGCTGGGGCTGGGGTTGGGCACCGTGGCTCAATCCTGTAATCTCAGCGCTTTGGGAAGCCAAGGCAGGTAGATCACTTGAGCCCAGGAATTCGAGACCAGCCTGGCCAACATGGCTCAGCCCAAAATGTGTGTTCTGATTTTGCTCTTGGCCTGTTTGTTGGTTTGAAAAAAAGGTAGTCTGAGTGAAAAGTCACTGCAGCCTTTGAGTTGGGGTTTGGTTGGGGCCATGGTTTAACTGTTCCCCGTTCCAGCTTAGGTCCTTGTGCGTGTCCTCCAGGATGCCTTGGTATCTGCAGGGCCTAGCAGGGGCTGGTCCACACTGGATGCCTGTCACATACTGGGTATAGAGGGCTGTGAAAGCCAAGGCCTCCTCTCAGAAGAAGAGGGAGGTGCCCTTGTGTTCTGTCTCCAAGCTGCTGGGTATTCTCACCCAAACTCTCAGTGCCAGGCACCCTTAGCGCAGTGCCCCCTTACCATGTAGGGCACCTCTCTGAGCAGGCACCGGAGGCTGCCTGCTACCCACTGGATTGCCCTAAGCTGGGAAGAAGGTGAGTAAGCAGAGCTAAGCATGCCAGTAGCCAGATCCCAGCTATGCTGCTCTGGGCTATGTGAGTTTGGGCAAGTTAGTGTACATCTCTGGGCCTCTCTTTCCACGGAAACAAAGAAGATAGTGATCCCTACTTCATAGACTCCTTACAAGAATTCCCTGAGGTGCCAGGTGCAGTGGCTCACACCTGTAATCCCAGCACTTAGGGAGGCTGAGGCAGACAGATTACCTGAGGTCAGAAGTTCGAGACCGGCCTGGCCAACATTGTGAAACCCTGTCTACTAAAAATACAAAAATCAGCCTGGCGTGGTGGTGAGTGCCTGTAATCCTAGCTACACAGGAGGCTGAGACAGGAGAATCTCTTGAACCCGGGAGGCAGAGGTTGCAGTGAGCCAAGATTGTACCACTGCACTCCAGCCTGGGCAACAAAGAGCGAAACTTCCTTTCAAAAAAAAAAAAATTCCCTGAGGCTAGGCATGGTGGCTCATGCCTGTAATCCCAGCACTTTGGAGGCCAAGATGGGAGGATCACTTGAGCCCAGGAGTTCAAGACCAGCCTGGACAACATAGAATCCATCTCTACCAAAAATGATTTTTTTTTTTTTTTTTTTTTTTGAGACAGAGTCTCGCTTGTCGCCCAGGCTGGAGTGCAGTGGTGCTTCTCAGCTCGCTGCAACTTCTGCCTTCCAGGTTCAAGCAACTCTTCTGTCTCAGCCTCCCAAGTAGCTGGCATTACAGATGCCCACCACCATGCCTGGCTAATTTTTGTATTTTTAGTAGAGACAGAGGTTCACCATGTTGGCCAGGCTGGTCTTGAACTCCTGGCCTCAAGTGATCTGCCTGCCTCAGCCTCCTAAAGTGCTGGGATTACAGGTATGAGTCACCATGCCTAACCCCAAAAATAATTTTTAAAAATTTACCACGCACCGTGGTCCATGCCTACAGTCCCAGCTACTTGGGAGAATGAAGCAGAAGGAGCACTTGAGTCCAGAAGTTAGAGGCTGCAGTGAGCTGTGATTGTGCCACTGCACTCTAGCCTGAGTGACAGAGCGAGATTCTTTCTCAAAAATAAATAAATAAATAAATAAATAAAATCCGTGAGGCCAGGCATGGTGGCTCACACCTGTAATCCCAGCACTTTGGGAGCCTTAGGCAGGCAGATCACTTGTCAGTAGTTCAAGACCAGCCTGGCCAACATAGTGAAACCCCTCTCTACTAAAAATACAAAAATTAGCCAGGCACGGTGGGGCATGCTTGTAATCCCAGCTCCTCGGAAGGCTGAGGCAGGAGAATTGCTTGATTCTGGGAGGCGGAGGTTGCAGCGAGGCCAGATCAAGCCATTGCACTCCAGCCTGGGAGACGGAGTGAAACTGTGTCTCAAAAAAAAAAAAAAAAAAATCCCTGAGATAATAATACTTAAAAGGACTTAGTCCAGTGCCCGGCACACAGTGGGAACTCAGGAAAGGTAGTTCTGATCCCCTTCCTGAGCCTCTTCCTCCTCCCTCCCCTACAACACAGAACATCTGAAGAACACAGAAACACGGAACACAGAAATCTGAAGTAGTTGAATCCTAGGCCAAGAGAACCCCCAGCCTTCCCAAGTTGTAGGAGGCTGGTGGATAGAGCAGCACTTAGCTGCCTGGGGCACCCAGTACCTGTCATGAGGCACTTCCCCTGACCAAAGGTCACTGCCAAGGCACAGCCACTCCAGGGAGTCAAGAGGAGCAGAGACTCCAGAGCAGATGGAAGGGGAGTGCGCTTCTGGAGAGCGCATCGAGGAGAAGCAGAAAGGAGTGCAGCAGCAGAGGAGGAGGACCAGGGGCTGACGAGGCCAGAGTTCCAAACAGGGTCTGGGTGCAGGATGAAGACAGAAGAGAACAGAGAGCCCAGCAGGGGCAAGGGGATGGTCCCTTACTTTCACTCTCCTGGGAGGAGGATGGGTACGCCATGCAGTTGGATGGTGCGTCTTTGCCTGTGGGAACAAACAGAAGGGCCATTAGGTGAGTGTCAGGCCCAGGCGGCCAGGCCAGCGTCCCCCTCTTGCCACAGGTTCTCATGCTAGTACCTACTTGGCAGTGTTGGCCCAGTGGCAGCCTGCACACGTGTGCACCCACACACACACCCTGGCATGTTCTAACCCTGCCCATTCTCATGCCACCCCCAGGTGCATGTGGGTACCCGCTGGTGCCCACACCTCTGTCTGAACCATGGGCCCTTGGACTCTCACCTGAACAGACAGGCAGGCAGACACACACACACATATTCCCAACAGCCATTCAGCCATCCACTGAGTCATGCCCCAGGGCACCAATCAGTCCCACCGATGCCTATACCCATGGCAGCCATGATGTCATCATAAGCAAGCACACTCCCAGCCCAGGTACATACAGTCGCACACATGAAAAAGTCTCACTGTCACAGACGGAGCCAGGTACACCCTCCCTCTCCCCACTCCAGCTAACTACATACCCACACTCTACGCACCCTTGGCCACCCATCTCACCCACACACTCCCTGGAGTGCCAGTGTTACCCATGCAGCCTCACACTCTGCCCAGCAGTGTCAGCATGGTCACACCATTGGACAGGAGCCCTGCACACTCCCCGGCTGCCATGTGCAGGATGCCCTCACCTGTCTGCACCTGCAGCTCCATGGCACCGTGGACCCTGTGCTCCCAGTGGTGGTGCCTGATCTCCACCACCAGACAGCAGTAGAGGCCATTGTCCAGCAGGGTCAAGTTGCGCATGGTGATGGAGAAGTTGCCGTGGTGGTCAGAAGCCGACTCTAGCCCATGGCGCTGGGCCAGGTCATGGCTGGTGTTGGCAGCCTGGTGACCTCCGTGGTGCAGGTGAAGGTCCTGGAACGTGAGGTTGCGGATGGGCCGGCGCTCTGAGCAGGTCTGCACCTCACCCCTCGAGCTGCGGTACCACGTCTTGTAGAAGGTCACATCGTGCCCTTTGTCCACAGGGCCCAAAAGCCTGCAGGTGAGGGTGACGTTCTGCCCCTCGGGACAGACGTACAGGGAATACGGCGTGGCGACCTTGAAGGCTGCCACCGGACCTGCTCAAAGAGAGGAGAGCCCTGTCACCTGCCTGAGCCAGCACTACTCCTGGCGCTCCCAGAGCGGGGAGAACCTTGGCCGTAGCTACTCCTCAGCCGCAGGCCCGGGACATGCCAGCTGACTTCCCAAAGCCTGGCCTCTGCATTTGTTTTTGGGGGTTTGGTTGTTTTTTTTTTTTTTTTTTTTTTTTTTTCTGAGACAGAGTCTCGCTTTATCCCCCAGGGCTGGAGTACAGTGGCACTATCTCGGCTCACTGCAACCTCCGCCTCCTGGGTTCAAGCGATTGTCCTGCCTCAGCTTCCTGAGTAGCTGGGATTATAGGAGTGTGCCATCATGCCCAGCTAATTTTTGTATTTTTAGTAGACATGGGGTTTCACCATGTTGGCCAGGCTGGTTTCAAATTCCTGGCCTTGTGATCTGCCCGCCTCTGCCTCCCAAAGTGCTGGGATTCCAGATGTGAGCCACCGCACTTGGCCAGCTTCTGCATTTGTTCATGAACTCCGCTCCATTCTGGGCTGTGGAGCCTAGAATGGGGGAATCACAGAAGCTTCCCCAACTAGGGGTGACCCTGGATGCTGGACAAGGCAGGGAGAGACTCAGAGGACAGCGATGCAGGCGGGTGTGTCTCTCTTCCCAGTAGAGTGTGCGCCTAGCCTGTTAGGTTGGAGGCAGGTTGGGGAGCAGAAAGGCTGTTTGGAACAGCAGCTCCTTGTCCTTGGCCGCTCAGTAGAGGCCATCAACCACTCTGCCCAGTAGGACTGAACATGCTTTCCCATCTCCTCACCAGGGAGCAGCAAGAGCATCAGATGCCCCTTCCCTGCCCTTAGAGCTGGTGTTCACAGCCTGGGCCAGGTGCTGCATCTCACCTGCATGCTGAATACATGGCCTCCTGTTGAGCAGACTAGGCCTGCATTCATGGCAGTAGAACCCCATGGCAAAGGCAATCTAGTGCCAGCCCTCAGAGCACTTAGAGGAGGGAGAAAACGGCCTTCTGGAGACAGTCAGGGACTTCCTAAAGGAAGGAGGGTCTTTGGACTTGGTGCATAGATAGGATTCCAACCAGTAGAAAGGGTGTCCTAGGCAAGGGAGTGTGAAAATGGGAAAACCCAAAGTGTCTGAGGGACCAAGACAGAGGTCATCCCATCAATGCACTTAATCCCAGCCAACCTTGAACATTGTTTAGTTCTGTTTGTTTTTTTCACTAAGCAAATGAAGCAATCCCCTGGTCCACTTTGCCTTCCCAATCCTCCAGCATTTAATTGGGTTGATCCTCAAAAGCACAAGCTTTTGAAAACAGAATATGGGCCAGCAGCCACGTTTCTGTCTAGCTACGTGAACCTCGGTTTCCTCATCTGTGCAATGAGAAAATTATTGGCAATAACACAGGGTTGTGAGAGGACTGGGTAAGGGAAAGACAAGAACACGAGACATGAGCTGTAATGCCCTCTGCAGATATCTGAGGGATAGCTACAATTATTATACGTTAGTATTATTTTTATTTTATTTTATTTTATTTTTTAATTTATTATTATTATTATTTTTTTGAGATGGAGTCTTGCTCTGTTGCCAGGCTGGAGTGCGGTAGCGCAATCTCGGCTCACTGCAATCTCCGCCTCCTGGATTCAAGAGATTCTGCCACCTCAGCCTCCTGAGTAGCTGAGACCACAGGCACGTGCCACCATGCCCAGCTAATTTTTGTATTTTTAGTAGAGACAGGGTTTCACCATGTTGGCCAGGATGGTCTTGATCTCTTGACTTCGTGATCTGCCTGCCTCGGCCTCCCAAAGTGCTGGGATTACAGGCGTGAGCCACCCCGCCCAGCCTATTTTTATTTATTTTTATTTATTTCTTTTTGAGACGGGGTCTCCCTCTGTTGTCCAGACTACGGTGCAGTGGCACAATCATAGCTCGCTGTAACCTCAAACTTCTGGGCTCAAGCAATCCTCCCGCTCAGCCTCCCAAGCAGCTGAGAGTCCAGGTGCATGCCACCATACCAGGTTAACTTATTTTTATTTTCTGTAGAGACAGGGTCTCCCTATGTTGCCAGGGTTGATCTTGAACTCTTGGCTTCAAGCAATCCTCCTACCTCGGCCTCTCAAAGTGTTGGGATTACAAGTGTGATCCACCACATCTGGCCAGAGGTATTTTTATTTTAAATGCCATCTCAGGCTGCAGTGAGTTCAGCAGAGAGGGAAGGAGGGTTAGAACTATGTACAGAATCCAAACTGATACATCTTCTTCATTGCCCCAGCCAGGGGCACTGCCCAGAACCAAGATAACACCACATCCTCCTTCAGATGCTCCTTCCCTGCCCTTAATGCCCAGGACCCTCAGCAGCAGGCTTAGACCCACTGGAAGAGCCGAAAGCCTTGCTCAGTCAAGAGGGAGGCCAGCCTGCATTGGACCAGTAGCTGTGAGCCACTTAGATGCTGAGCCCCGACTCCTCACTATAAAACAGAAATGAAAACATCTCCCTGGCAGACTTGAGGCAAGGGTTAGTAATAATTTACGTGAAGAGTTCTGTAAGTGACGTGTGAGTAGTCCGTGCTTGGTGCTTGGGAGCTAGACAGGTCTCTAATTCATTCAGCACGTCAAGAAGCTCCTACTAGGAGTGAGCAGCACAGTGGGATGGAGAAGCCAGCTTAAAGTCTTTCCTGCTAAGGTGTGAATGACTAATAACTTGTGATCTGATCCTGGGGTACCTGTGTTTATAGGAAAGTCTCCAAAGGCAGCAAAGCTCCAAACAGCATGTCTGCAGAAGTGGAGTTTTAGGCCCTGGAGGGAAAGGAAGACAGATACGCATTCGCTCTGCCCACGTATAAGAGAGAGCCAAGTCTGGGAGCCCCAGATTTTTGGAAAGTCATTGTCAGGGTGAGCAGAGATTTCAGAACTTCTTTGGCAAGATGCAGGTCTTCTTTTCAGGCAGAAACACAGAGACCCAGAAAGGGACAGTGGTTGGATTGAAGTTCCAGAGTTCGAGAGGGTATGAACTCAAAGCCTGGAGCAGAGGGGACTTTAGTAACACAGGATCTAGGTAGAACCGTAATAAGAAGAAGACACAGCATGTATTGTGCACTATGCTAAGGGCTTCATGGACATATCTAACAATGCTGTAACAGGTATTGCTTTTTGGGGTTTTTGGTTTTTTTGAGATGGAGTCTCACTCTGTTGTCCAGGCTGGAGTACAGTAGCACAATCTCGGCTCACTGCGACCTCCACCTCCTGGGTTCAAGCAGTTCTCCTGCCTCAGCCTCCCAAGTAGCTGGGACTACAGGTGCACACCAATATGCCAGGCTAATTTTTTGTATTTTAGTAGAGACAGGGTTTCACCATGTAGCCCAGGCTGGTCTCGAACCCCTGACCTCATGATCTACCTGCCTCGGCCTCCCAAAGAGCTGGGATTATAGGCGTGAGCCACCATGCCAGGGCAAATTAGGAAAATCAGAAGATAATGCAAAACCAGCTTACCCACAGGGCAACTGTCAGCTGGAGCTCAGTAGCAGCTTTTGGGGGGCACCGGCATTCCAGTTTGCCACAGTCCCTACCACTCCCTAATAATTCCACCTGGCCTGATTTACTCTCTCACCATGGTTTCTTGGCCCCATGGACATTTGAGTTTGTGATGAATGAGTGTGGCTCCTTGGGCTAGCTGGCCTGGGATGTGGCTCCCTGGGCTAGCTAGCCTGGGACTCTACTGCCCAAACCCATTATGCTACAGATCTGACCCGCAGACTCAGAGAAGAGACGGTCCACCCACGGTCCCCAGAGGAAGCCTGGCAGTACAGGGACTAGCCAACTCTCCCCCGATTGCTAACCCATTGCCCTTACCCCTGCAGCAGGCTCAGTGGAAAAGGAGCCCCAGGAAGCTCGGCTGTGCCCCTGGTTTTGTCTGTGCTGGCCTGGACTTTTCCGTCACACCTGAGAGGGGTGGGTGCAGCTGCAAAACTATGGCTCAGCCAGGAAACAGAAGTAGGGAGGACCTAGGGAGAGGGCTCTCCCACGTGCTCCCAGGAAGAACCAAATCCCGCCCCAAGAGTGGGCCCTGTGCTGCCCCTTCCCCAGCAGGCTGTGTGGCAGGTCCCACCAACACCTCTCCCAGCTTCTGTCCCTTTTTCCCTTTGCCTGACATCGCTCCAACCCCAGAGCCACCCCAGGCTGGGAGCTGAATTCAGCTCCAGGGTCAGCTCTGGTGGTATTCATTTACCACCAGCACACACACCTCGGGGGCTGCCTGAAGGGCTGGCTCAGCAGAGGCGGGGCTGCAGGCAGGGCCGGTGGGGCAGGGCAGGCAGAGTAGAGGTAGTGGCCAAAGCAAGCATCTCACCTGTGTCCCTGTGAGCAAGGTGGGGCGGGGCACCAGGCTGGGAGCCGTCAGAGTCTAATGACCCCCGGATTGTACCCGTAGCACCCGCAGCAATGGAGAAGGGATGTTCAGCCCTGGAGGCAACTTCCTTGAGACACATGGGGGGCCACAGAGAGAAGTAGAGTTCAGGGAGGGCCGGAGAGGGGGCATTGCTCAATCCCCCACACCTCCCCATCCCCCACACACTGGCCACCCATCCCATAGGTCCCAAAGAACCTGTTCCCTTTTAGAGAAAAGGAGAAGTTGACTTAGGATTCAAGTTTGGGCAGCAGGGGAGGATGTTCAGTTTCAGGCAAGAGGGCTGAACAGGAGAGGATCAAGGGTTTTGTCCTGGGGAGGGAGGGAGGGCCAGGAAACATCTCGTTTACTATGTCTGAGACTCCAGCTGGGCCAAGGCCAGCTGACATCGCCTCCTACCCCGGAGCCACCCCAGGCTGGGAGCTGAATTCAGCTCCAGGGCCAGCTCCGGTGGTATTTACGTACCACCAGCACACACACCTCAGGAGACAGCAGACTGTCCTTCGAAGGACACTCGAAGGCATGGCACTGGGGGAGAGGCGGCACACAGCCACGCAGAGGGGCCTGCATGCACCCCTCGGCCTCCACGCCTGTGCATGTGCACGCGTGTTGTCAGGG